GAAACCAAACAAGCGAGCATATGAAGAATAGGAAACAATAGTCTTTTCTTCAAGTTTCTTTGTCAAGCATTATTGTGCAAATGCAAAAAAATGGAACCCAACTCACTGGAATTAAACAGAATGCCAGCGCTACAAAATAGTCCAAAATAAAGGTTGATAACTCCAAAATCTCATCAATCTTGACTTACCTCATTCTTTGGTATTTAATGTACTCTTTTCAAGTTTGAATTTCTCTGTTGGCGATATCAAACACATAAAAACAACCGAAAACAAGCCTGATCTTGAGTGCATACTTCGAACATGATGGGCTTTATTTTGTATCTCGTCCCAGTCCCCGCTGCGCAAATTATCTATCCTGACTGTGATCTCAAAACCATGTCCACCTTTCACAGCAGTTTGTGAGGAAACAAGCACGGTGACCCTCAATTTTTTTCCCAGGTATTTGCTAAGAACAGTCTAATAGCATATTTGAAGAAGAAAAAAGTTTGATATTACTAGTACAACATGATTTTTTTGGGGAAAATAGTGTCGTACTTGTTGCCTTTGGGTCAAGGCGAGGACTTCAAGCTAACCACGGAACTGTCTGAAAAAGTGCAATATCCCCACAACAAGGCAATCAAAAACGAATCAAATGAAGCAATACTGCTTATTTGAATAAAAGAAGCTTTATGTTCAAGATAAAATTTTGTGTGTTTCAAGTAACAAAGACTTAATCTGTAAGAAGGGGATTTGAATTTTTAATGCACAACTAGTAAAAATACCCCAGTTTAAGAGCCTGCTGAGGCGTAAACAAGCACGGTGAACCCATCTTTTTATTGCATTTTTTTAATGTTCATATCATGAATGTTAATTATGCCAAGTTTTAAAAAAAGTTTGGTAGTAGAATAATTTCAAGGCAATTACCTTAATTGATTTGAATACACATGCCTGTATTAGCTACGTTCCAGAACAAGGGAACTATTGTCAGTGAGATTGTCATGTAACAGTACGTTAAGAAGAAGTCTCTATTTGTTTGTATTTTCCCTTAACTGATTTTATTTTATTAATTTAATTTTTAGGAAGCATACAAAAACTGGATTTGTTTCGCTTTAGTATCAAATACAAGTGTTTGGAAAAAAACCAAGAATATGAGAAGGCCATGTCTAAGCCTATGCAAAAGTGTCGTGCGGAAATGTCCATACCTTCTACCTGCAGTGCCAAGTGATGGAGATGTAGATAATTTAGTCCAAATAGGATATTCAGCTTTTAATTGCATCACAGAAAAAGGTTTGTAGAATTATCTTGATGTAGCTTAGAAATTAAAAAAAGCCCATCGTTTTCAAAGCACTGTTTTAAAATTGCATCGTCATTTACAGTTTAAAGTTTGTTGAATTGTTGTGGAATTCTGTGCCCAAATTATAGTGAAGGTAAATCACCCTTATCCAATGAGTATTAGAACTGTTTGAACCAATAACCCAACAATACTGAACACTTTTCAAGGTAATGAAAGTTTGTAAAACAAATTTAAACTACAATCTTGGCCTAAAGGTTTTGGGACACTTCCCCTTTTTTACATGTTTTTGTATGGAATTTGTTGCTAACTGGCAATACACACTTATAAACATGGCCTTACCAAGGTTTCGCTCCCCCACCCCCCGATCAAAGTTGAGGCCCATAACCTGTGGAAGGTATGTAAAAGGTGTGGGTCAATTTAAGTTTCTGAGAAACTGCTCACTTACCCCTCCCCTGAGCCAACATTTTGCCCTAAGTGAGAAGAAAGTCAATGTTCGCTTAGGCAAGGGGTAGGTGGGCAGTTTCCTAGAAACCCGAATTGATCCGATGGTGTTTCTTTAGACATGCCTGCAAATTAATCCTCTTTGCAGCGCATAGAAATTCAACATTAACCCTTGAAGCCCCAGTATCCACATAGAAATTCTCCAAACTGATCTCCATACATTTCCTTTAAGAATTAGTTGAGAGAAATTGAAAAAACATCAAGGCATTTTCTCTTTCGTGATCATTTTTTATATTCTCACAACCTTATCTCTTGACAATGTATGGACATTGTTAGGAGAAAATTGCTGTTGGTCACTATTGGGACTTAAAGGGCTAAAGCCTGGCCTTTTGAGGAATCTCCTGACAACTCTATAGGGCTAACTTAAGGCTTTGCTCTAGCAGAGCCCGGTGGTTTCTGATGCCCAAATCATATGCTGGCCACCCTAGATTTTGCAGGTTCAGAGCACTGTGCTGCCCTTCAATTTTCCTGAGAGCACAGCCTTGCAGCTGGCGATTATCCAGGCTTTTTTTATGTAAAGAGTGAATGATTAAATCATTGAGGTTATCGTAGCATACTTTTTAAGAATGTTTAGTTGTTTTTTTTTTTTACCTCAAATTGACGTTAAATTTGTTGATTCTTTTTGTAGAATGGGAACAAGAGTATAAAATGGACTCAGAGGACTGTTTAAATGTTGATCAAATGGATGAATGTCAACAGAACAATCAAATTAGTACATCACCCACTCAGCCAACAATGTCATCACAAATTCCAACTACATCAAATTCTACAAACATTGGTAACAGATAGTATTTGTAACATAATAACTTTAGAGTAGTTTTATTAATATGATATTTCCTTGTTTTTTTTTTTGCACCATACTGTATGCAATAGGATTTGTTTATTTCCCATGTCAACATTATGTCAAGGGTTAGTTTATCAAAAAGAAGTATTTTGTGGTGTCTTCGCAGTATTAGCCAGAGAGCCAAGCATTTTGCATGACCATATTTCCCTTTGTTATGTCTGTAATTATTTCATACAGTAAATTTGCCTTCACAAAAGGTCAAAACACACTAGGTGACATATCATGTTGTAGCAACATGTTGCAGTGACAGGTAGCTGCTACAAATCACTTTGTGTGTACTGAAGAATTTCTTTGAAAGTTTTGTCTCCACAAAAGAATTTTGTCGTCGCAACAAGTTGCTGAATTTGTACAACGTGTTGCATCGACAAAATTGTGTTGTGGAGACTAAGATTTGGGCAAAAATTCTCCAGTACACATGAAGTGATTTGTCACTGCGATATGTCGCCAGGACATGTTGCTGCTTCTAGTCCCCCGACCTGTACTGAACAAGTGATTTGTCGCTGCGATATATTGCTGCAACTTGCAGTCTACTGTGTACCAACCTTAAGTGTAACACCTTAGCAAGTACTGTTGCTTAAATCAATATTTCATACAGTTTTGTATATACCTGCCAACTTTCGCACTTCAAGCTTCAGAGTCTCAAGCCTTCAGATGGAAAACTTCAATCTCACAGTAGCTTAATATTTCTCATGGCTTGGGGAAAAGGGCTATCACTGACAATTTTTTAAAAAAATATATATTTATTAAAATAAACTCAAAACAATGTGAGAAAGGAAAGTCAATATGAAAGATCTTTTTGCCTCAAAATTGTAAACTCAGTAGGGAATCATTTCATTTTCAGAGATTGCTGTGTCAGTTTGGATATAGCTTTTTCCATGTATCAAAAAGCTATTCACAAAAATAATGTCATTATTATAATTAAGATTATCTTCTTGAGAAATTTTGGAATGCTGTTGGTTATCTTTGAAGTGTCTCCAAAATTTTTTGGATGATTTTGGATATGACTGGGTCTACGGGGAATCCTGCCATTCTAAGTTTAAAAGTCTCTTGCCCTTAAATGAAATACAAGGTTGGCAGGGATACAGAAATGATTGTGATGAGATCGTGCAACGTACAGTGCAAATTTTCTTTTATATCAAATGTACAGAAACATATTATGGTAGTTAACTTACACACTTTTGGGACTGAAACAATCATGACAAAAAAGCTGGGATGTACAGATGTTTCTCTGGTTTAGCCTGGAGTTAATTTTATAACTTCTTGAGAAATATTAAGAGAAACCATTAGAATACAGAGCTACTTAGGTTTACCTTTGTCGCAGGGCCTTAAGAATAAGTCAATAGGTGCTTATGTCAGTCAATAATACGAAATTTTCTTGTTCAAAAACTGCCGAATGTGTACGACCTCATTCCGTCAAATTTGTGGTAAGTGTCGCTTTTCAAAGCGTTCTGATAAGTTGGATCTCTGTAGAGTGGCCCTGTATTCTATGGTCACTCCACATTGGATTATTCTGATCGGCTATTGATGGAAAATGGGAAAAAAATTCAAGTGCTACCTATAAAAGCTTATAATGCAATTTTTTTGGAAATCATTTTGTTTGCCCATTCATCAAGATTCTTGTGCATTTAAATAATGAAATGTACATAAAAAAGGTATTTTCTTATAAGCAAGATTTAGTAAGTGGCTGGGTCATAAACTAGCTTAACCAACTTGTGAAATCTGGGTTACTTAATTCTCTTCCATGGGTTAGTTAGCTTACCCTGCGCAGGATAAGCTTAGGTTTTTTTCGATGCTTTTTCACTTTTCCTTTTTTGTTTATGATGATATGACTATTGCTTCAAAGCATGTATATAAATGGTAAAGCATAGAAAATATGGGACAGTTGAAATTACTTGAAATGAAAAGAAAGGAGAAAGAAACAAAAAAGAATAATAATAATGAACATGCTGAGAAGGTGCAAACACTTATTAATTGAAGTTAAGCTTAATGCTACAGTATACCCAATCTGACAGAGATTTCTTACACTCTGGCAATTTACAGCAAAAATGAAAACTTTCCCAATGTTAAACCATCTTAGAGCAATTGCAAGGACTTACATACCTCTTCATAACGAAGTTTGAAGTCCTTATACTCAGTCTGCTCTTTAAATTAAGGATAGAGGTTTTTTCCTTCATGGCTCAAACGCAAATTGCCTGTTTGCGTAACTAGCGGGGAAGAAGCCTTTTTTCTTTTTTCCCTCTCATTCAGCCTCGATCCTCGTCAGCGCGAAACGAGTGACTGGTGATGAACTGCAAGGGACCATGGGAAGGTACAGACGGCAGAGGCGAAGCGACGTCTCGCCACGTCTCGCCTTACGTCTCGCCGTTGTCTCCTTCCCGCCTTCCTTTGCGCGCACGTTTTAAAGAGAGACGTCTGGGTACGAGGCAGCCTCTCATTCGTGTGCTTTCGCGCTCGCGCTAAACGAAACCGCCAGCTGGCGCCAGCTAGGGTTAAGCTAGAGGGGTCCAGGCGCATGCTCCCCGGTACCCCCGGAAAAATTTTGAGGTATGTGCCTCTAAGATGCTATTTCCGGCATTTTGAGGTCACAGTCAATTGAAAATAGTGGGGTGTTAAACAGGCAGTGAAAGCCAAGGCCTTTTGGTCCCTATCACATTTTGTGATAAAAATATTTGCTTGCTTGCACGGGAAATCAGAGAGCATGCCACGAATGAGCGCCCCTGAATGAGCGCAAGTCGAGGCAATCCAGTGCATTACCGCGCCCAAAATTATCGCAGGCTCATGCTCGGAAAATGCCAAGAAACCACAGAAAAGTGGCAAAGAACCGTTCTAAAAAAACTGGTTAAACGAAGAAAACATTCTCTTTCTTTGTCTAGGAAGAGTTTCAAAAACCGGGAGAATATTAGGTGAAAACAGGAGGCCGGAAATATTCGCCGAGAACGGGCGTTTTCCGGCCAAAACAGCAGGGTTGGGAACTCTGCTGAGAATTTGGTTCCTTTTCTTATGGAAATTTTGCTTAAAAAATGCTTGTTAGCATAAGAAACATAATTTACAAAATAACGCTGGAAGGATTGTATCAAAACAAGGTCAACTCCAGCCTCGTTTTCACCTGTAAAAGGGGGCTTCACGGTACGAAGACGCGATGGCAGCGAACACTTCGCTTAAAAAGTGAATTTACAGCCTCGTACCCAGGCCCGTTCGCGCTATCCGAGTTACCAGAGGAGGCTTGGCGAGTTTTCCTGACAAGCTTGACAGGTCACGTCACATCCGAAATCGCCGAGGACGACTGGGAACGAGGCTGGTGAATTCACGTTCTTGTAGTCTTTATCGTGATTATTCCTACCCATTTTCTTTATCAAAAGTAGGCGAACCCTCCAGGAGTTGAACTCTTAGGATCACTATCCAAGTTCAGAAAGAGAAATAAAGTTTCGTCGTCGCTTGTTTACGTTCTCCATGATTGTCAAATTAGGCAATTTCACGTCATAGACGTGCAAACAAGGTAAGGAAATGTACAAAAAAGTGTGATGCATGTGCAAAGTTGTTGTTTCACCTTCTAAACCCAGTTTTTTTGGTACGTTCTCGTAAATGTGAATATACTACTCGCCACTTAAGAAATGAGAGGGGAACTGGAGCCGAAATTTTCCCAGCAATTGTTAACTCCGCCCAGTTTCCTTCTCGTTTCTAAAGTGGCGAATGAGTGTAAACCAGGAGCCCATCACCCATCACCGGGTGTAAACGCTCTATGTCTGGGTCTCCATTATGAAGGCTAAGGGGATCTTTATATCTGGGTTCCACAATAAAGTTTGTTATTGAAAGTCAAGTGACGTGTGTTACAAGAACAGCCAAAACTCTAGTTTAAGCGGTCACTCTCGGGAATTAGCCAGGTGACCGCTTAATAGAGGTCTTCTAAAATTAAGCTCATCATGCGGCAGAATTTGATGTAGGGGCAAACTTCATCACTTTCTTTACAATTTATTGTTCACAGCAACGGTAACGCGGAAAATGAGGAAAGTGTTTGGATGCTTTGAGGAGTTCACGCCTAAACAACAAATTTACAGTAATGTCGCGCGTAAGGCAAGCGTCTTTACAATCAAGCACATCATCAGCAATTCCAACACCTTATTCAGAGAGACGTGTATTTAGTACCAAGATTACAATGTTATGTTGCCTTTGATGAGCTGTGATAGCTGAACATGCTTCGCTTACCTTATCGAGGATATTACATGGCCGCGCGGGGATACGAATTTTATCTTCGAGTGCTGAAAGTATCTCTCACTCGTTCGCTTCGCTCACTCGTGAGAGATACTTTCAGCATTCGGAGATAAAATTCGTATCCCCATGCGGCCATGTAATGTTCTGTTTATTTATAGATACTGTTGAAATTCCTACATAGAACACAACTTTTTGTTTTATTCATTTTCGAAACAGCAAAATAGTGCAATTGAAGTGGTCACCTATCGCAAAATGCCTGTCAAAAACATGTTATGAAACTCGGATATAAAGTTATAAAGGAGAAATAAAGACAATAATACTTATACTTTCTGTTCCAAAAAGTCAAAATTCTGATGAAGAAGAGAAAAATTCTATAACAGCAAAAGCGTATGTTAGTAACCATGGCGACACCAATATCCTCACACGTGAAAGATAAAAATAGTATCTTCACTGCGCATTCATCAGTATCTATATAATAAATGCGTATGTGACATGACAGAGAAAGTAAAATGCTATGGCCAAACAGGCGCATTTTTATAATAACATTTTTATTAACCATACTTCAGTTTACAAAAATTACAAAATCATGATCTTCATGACCAGTACCCTTGATTTTTTGCAAAATATGATCAAAAGCAAGATTTCTAACGATTTCGTCTTTTACATTTGTCCAATTCTTTACGCAAATAATGTAAACTTAATCATAATTATATAAGAGATTTGCACTAATATTAACATAGTAGACTAGAAACTTAATAACTTCGTAATTTCAATTGTCTGCACTACAATTATCTGCTATTTAAGATAGTTTTTTTAATTTTTAACTTTTCCTTTTATTACAAAGAGCTTTCCTTTCAGTTAATGCAAATCCGTATCAACTATACAAAACTTTTTTTCTGATCTATTTTGTTGACTGAGTTACGATTGTGCGTTTCATTACGCCAACTACAATAGTTTTAAATTCCAAACATTGACTATCTTGGTGTCACATTGGTTTGACCGAAAGGAAAGCTACCAAGATTACTGTGTATTGCTAATACAATAACAGATACTTCATGCTATATTAAACTTCCCCTCTGAGAGACACCTTAAATCATGTAAGGCATGGGTCGTAAAAAGATAATAGTGGCGTTGCAACATACGACAAGTTTACTTGTGTTGGGGTGCTAAAAAGCTGCCAGAGTATTATCAGGCCTCGCTTCACGCACCGTGGTTGGATCGTAAAAGCGAGATGGAAAATCAACTAAATGGGCAGATAGTAGTGCCCAGAAGCATTTTCTAATGGCTAAATATACGTCTTATCGCACGGGGATAAAAATCAGAGCCGATAACGTGTTCTCTACATCGTGACAGCAATTGCAAATGATAGAAACACATCACATGGATCAAAATTGTCTCTTGGATGGAAAAGCTAAGTTTTCTTTTAATAAAAATCAAAGATAACAAACGACCAGGGTAAAAATCGAGCAACGAGAGGCACGAGTTCAGTACGCCGGTTTATTAGCTGTGGTTTCCACGGCTGCTTCTTTTTTTAAAACATAATTTTTATATACCTGTTTTTTTTTATACCTCAAACACGAGTACGGCAAAATAGACACGGAACAATGGCAGAGAAAATTTAAGGGGGTCTCTAGAGATCTCAGCCAATAACTGCTGTCTAATTGAGGGCTTTGACAACCCTCACCTTTATACGTGCTGTTAATTTAAATAAACATCCGCAACAAAACATTATGGAATCTTGCATTTAACGGGGAACTGCAGGAAAGGGATCCAGAAGAAACAGAATCAAATGCAGTAATTTGGTTTATACTAATTGCAAGGTGCTAGCGTGTGCAGTCAATATTAACAACAAAATAATAAACTTTCTTAACAACTGCAGCGTAATTCAATTGTGGTCGCCAGTTTAGGAGTCGAACAGGTGCACAACTACAAAAAAGGGACGTGTTGCGTGACCAAGACGGTATTGCGTGACGAACAAGAAGCAAAACGCACCAGTTATTTCGTGAACACCAAGCTTAAAAATAAAGTTCAATCCATCTAATTTTTTGTTATCTAAGACTGACGGTGTTGACTCATAAGTCGCGACGCCGTTCCCGCGTTCAGTTCGGGAATATCCATGGGGAAAGCGCGGCGTCTTCTCTTCTTTTTACTGGCCACTCGGTAGCAAACGGAACAGCGACTGACGCGGCTCAGTAGATTGCCGGATTTAAGCGTCTCAGGGGTCTGTGTTGCATTAAACATGCTGTTAACAGTGGTAAGCCAGAAGCTGTATTTATTAGCAAAGTAGTGGCAGGTGCCCCGGCCGTGGCATTCAAAGAAAGGATTGGGGCGGAACGTCCTGAGACAAGAACCGGGCGAGGCCAAAGCTTGTCCACTGCCGCTACCACCGGCACCAGTGTGCTGTAAGTAAGAAAGAGAAAAACAAAACAATATAAGCAACTGTTATCGGTTTCAAGGCAGTTTTAAAGTCATTAGGAGGTTGAAAACCAAAAGATGTCTTGGAAGCTCATGTTTTCTCCTGTTTTAATTTTTTAAAACGATGCATCGACTATTTCAGTGGTTTCTCTTCAAATAGTGGCTTTATAAGTTATTCATCGCAAAAAGAAATAACCTCAATTCTTTGAAACTTGACTTTGTCTCACCTAACGCGCACATTTTGTAGCCCGAATTAACGCTCTAAGAGCATCTTGTTTTGTGGAACCAGATGAGGTGCTATTGCTTGAAGACTACTAAGTCACTACCAAGAAGCAAAGTGCCAGCCGTGAAGAAACGGAAGGGAAAGAAATTAGTGAATCAATGTGCCTCTGAGACACAACTCACATGTATAAACTTATCAAATAAATGTAATCAGGATAAGAAGCTAAAAAGGAGCCTGAAAACGTCCTCGCTGAAATAGTCTAGGGGGACTGGGTTCTAGTCCTTGGCACTGAGATAGGGATGTGTATTCTGACTAGCAGATATACTTAATCGTATAGTAGTCGTGATCTGTTGATTGCTATTTTTGTTTATTCTTACTATGCTTTTGATACTACAGTGCAGCTAATTTGGCTTCGGCGTGATGTGCATGTGGGATAGCCGAGATCATTTAAGCAGTTAGCTGTCATTAGTTAATGGGTGTCTTTACATTCCATAATAACCGTTGATGTGCGAAAACTGGTTCATGTACCCAGTGTGTCCAATGACTGGCTGACAGACTGTTAGCCTGCGAAGCAAGCGTATTTTGCACTGCGAACGATTTGGACGTTCAAACCTACCGAGAGTTGGGGCGAGTCAAAAAGTGAATCCAAGGGAGAGGTTGACGCATCAAAATAGGGGAGGGGGAGGAGCAGGGTTATCCTTTTTCTCCCCGCCCCTTCCCCTTGCCTGGCCCTCCTCCATGTACCTCTAGGTCCCGTTTTTTTTTTTTTTAAAGAAAACGCTCTGCAGGCTAACTGACTGTATAAAAGAAAGAAGATTACCATGATGAAACTGTATCCGTTCCAAATTGGTTGCCAACCTGCGGGACATCTCGGGGTTTCTGTTGACTGACTATGTGTTGCGACCACAGGTCCCGGAGCCTCGCACACGGAGCACCTGCTAACATAGGGCTCAATAGCGGTGGCGCTGACGGGCATCATGGGCATGGTCAAGTCTGTGGTTAGCCAATAGCTGTAGTCATTTCTGGAAGCGTAATGGCACACTTCGTACACGTTACAGAAGAGATAGGGCATGGTGGTGAAACGCCTCAAGCACGAACCTGACGCGCCCAGATCTTGACCGTGCGAATTTTCGTGACCCAGGAAGTAGAGCAAGCTGAAAAAGATCATTTTATTATAGCATTTTACCGACAAAAACGAGTACCAGTGCAATATCCAGCCGTTTTTGGCCCCATAACAGGGGTGTCTGTTATGAGGTAGGGAATATGTACCAGATTCTGTTAAGGTTGTTTTGGATAATGAGCAATTGCGCACTGGGAAGATATTATTTGGCGGTCACTTAGGCAAATCATTGCACTGTGTTAGTTATGCCCAAATTCCAAAGGCCAATTTCTACAGCAATCTTTATTGAATTAGGTATATAGCGTTTGTCATATTTAGGACAAAGAACACTGTCCGTAATACATGAAGAGAGGTTAGACTATAATTTCTTACTATTTTTAAATTTTGTTATATGCGACCCCGATCTCAATAATTGCTGCCTTTATTGCCTCTCTCTGAACACACGTACTATATAAAATTGGTCATCACGAAGAAGCCTTATAATAATGAACTTAAGCAAAGACGTTTTTGAGCGACGCACGTCAACCGGAAGTGGTCTTTTTTCATTTTTGGACAATGGTTTTGCCCATCTTTTAGGACAACTCGTCTCTATAATAGCTAAGACACTTAGAAATACAAATTTGGGAGCGTCAAGGTGCTTTAAAATGAAAAAGACCTCACTTCCGGTTGACGTGCGTCGCTCAAAAACACCTTTGCTTAAGCTCCCTAATAATGAAGGGGTGCCTCAAATTAAGCCTTACGTAACTTCTCAAAAACTGCTTGATTCTCCTTCCACGTTCAATGCACAAAAAACCTACAATGACTCCGAGGCTTTCTGGTCATATCTCTATGTTTGGTTTGGTTTTCTTTCTGCTCAAGTCTCTTCTCGGAATGCGAGACAATGGAGTCGTCGTAAATTTCCAATTTTGTCCGTAAAGCCTTTTTTTTTGCTGCACAGACTACGCCTTTTATTTTTAGATTTTCTTTGCCACAGGCAGCCCAATAAGCAGTTTTACCTGTATCCAGTCCACAGTCGAGTTAAGTTCATTGGGCAATCAGGTATGCTAGTGGACTGGCTGTGAACGACCAGATGAAATCCTTCACCAGTTGCAGATTTTCCTGCAATGCCGATCCCACCTTGAGGTCCAGCTTCTCCTCTGCTACCAGGGTAACCCGGAAGACCATTTCCCCCTGGGGTTCCTGCATCACCCTTTTCTCCCTTCTGATCAGAGGGTAATCCCGGTACCCCAGCGTCTCCTCTAGGGCCCGGTTCCAGGCCAGGCGGACCTAAGGACAAAGAGAAATGAGTATAACATATTGTTATATTGACACAGTTTTTTTGTTTGCTGTCTGAATTTTTTTCTTTTATTTACGTTTTTTTTCTGTGCAGCTGTGTGTCGTGTGTACCTGACCCTTAACAAATCATTTATTAATAACTTAAATAAGGCTGCCCAATCTCTTCAGCCCTTAATGGTTACTGGGGGCAGCCTGTGCTCTCTCTATATGTAAAAGTATTTATATATATATATCTGTCTGGATTTGATAAAAGGTACCTCCACAAACTTTTAGCAACAGTCTCATCTGAGGCTTGTTCAGTACTTGACCATTCTTTTTTTTAATGATCTTGGCAGTACAAAAATCCCCTTAAAAGCTGTAGTAGATAAAAAAAACATGTGTTTCATATGCTGTTTACATCTTCCCACACCCCCCTATCCCCCCGCCTCCGCAGCTCTCCCCTACCTATCATTTCCCATAATTCTCTCCTTGGCATAAAACACTATGACATTTGAAATCAGCGCGCCGGTAGAAGTTGTTTTCCGCGGTCGGTTAATTTTCTACGTTTCTTTTTGGCCGCCTGCAGCAAAGTTTTCCGGAAGGCATCATTAAGCCTTATGAAGGAACAAGTTTCAAGATTGGCAAAGTCTGCCGTCGTCCAATATGTTACCGTATTTCGTCTCATTTTGGCTAAACGGGTGAAACACACCGATCTCGGGCTTGAGAAGGAATTGAAAGGCATCATATTGTGAGCTTTGATGTGGGCGGTGACGAGTCTCTGGCCTCAAAAAGTAACTTTTAGGAGTCAAAACTATTCGGCGAGAGCAAAATTGATGGTGGTTTCTGACCAGGCCAGAGACTTGGTAAAAATTTGCTTTGAAGGCCGGCGTCCATGTGTCCCTTTCAAAACGGCTCGTCTACATCCGGGATCTTGAATAAATCGACTGTGTCAGCAAAGTTTACATGTGATGATTTATGTGGAGAAAGCAAGAGTTATTGAGAGAGAGTAATGTTGGTTGTGGATAGTTTTATCAGTGCCGCGAACGTGATTAATCATAACCATAACAAAATTGTCAAATTTGATTGGCTATCAACTGCCCTGGTTTCAGCCTTAATTGGACAGTTTGATAGGACAGTAACCGTCATGCCTAAGTAACTGGACAGTATTCGCCATCACGCGCGCGCTTAAATGGCTTTTTTTTTTCACTGCTAGCAAAACAAAATTTCTAATTTCTTGTGTTTTGATTTAAAAAATAGCCTATTATATCACAAATTTTGTTAAAGTTATGATTAATTGGTAACAGAACTTCGTGTCGTCCAATTCGGTCTGTAATCATACTCGTGATTAAACAAATCCGCTACGCGGTCGTCCGATTTTGTTAATCACTCGTATGATTACAGACCCAATAGGACTCCACTCAGTCCTGTTACCATTACTAATTGTGTGATTTCCTGAAGTTGTTGACAGACAGATTTCAGGTATGTCGTGGCGCTCGTGTTATAAGAATATTGTGTACAAGCATGAAAACGCTTTGTAAGTATTTAGTTGAAGTGATTTTGTCTTAGGCAACCGATTGTGGGGTCAAGAAAGGTGGATTCTAGGTCTGTTTTAGTCGGGCATATCACTATGTTATTCATTTCGTTACAAATCTGTCGCTTTTGCCAAGAGCAACTTTTCGTGTGTTGCCAGCGATTAATTCGTCCGTTTTAAGACCTAACTGGCGACTTTCAACTGCTTTTTATTGACCTCACGGGTCAAATTGTTAAGACGTACTTGCAATTTCTGGAGGTACCTTTTATCAAATCAAGACAGATATATAATTCAATGTGGAGTACAAATAAGGTTGTTGCTGTTGTTGTTACTCCTGTTGGTGAGTCTTGCGCGTGAGCCTTAAGTACTGCTCTGAAGTTGACATTTAAAAAGTTAACTAAAAAGAAGTTAAGTAAAGCAAAGTTAAGGAAAGAAAGTAAATTGAAAAATACCACTGGAAAATTGGAAATAAGATAAAACAACGACCGTTGAATATCACAGTTTCTAATCTCACATCCCTCCACCTTCCACCCACCATACTTGGGTGTAGGATACAGATTGTACTGACTTTTCGAACAATCGTTAAAATTTATAGAACGTTTTTACGCAGCAAGGGAATGTCTTATATGGGTATACGGTTAAATGCCTTTTTTTGTTTCTTAGCTTTCCTGTCCAGCTTCACGAAGCCCTCAGTATAAACATCTGCAGGGCCCAGTTGTTCGAACGCGGGTTAGCACTAACCCAGGGTTAAATTTTAACCCCGGTTTCTTTACCTTTTTATCAAAAGCACTCTCTCGGATAATTTTCTCTATTCTTTTTAGAGTATCCAAATACCAAATTGTTGGCAAAGAGAATTTAACTGAATTTGCTTTTTAATCTCTCATATCTGAGTTCAAATTTCGCACTAACCCAGGGTTATCTTAACCCAGCTTCGAACAACCCGGCCCTGCGTGGTAGAATATGGAAGCTAAGAGTGTTTTCAATGATAGCATGCGAATGCAGCCATCTCTGCCCGGTCCTTCCCGCGAAACGTCTCTAGCGGGCCAGAAGCGAGTTTAGTTAAACACATTACTAATACTTTGTCAAATCACTTAACGCTTTGAAAGCTATCACTGTTGATGTGTCGGCGTCACACAATTTTGCTTGGCCGCGAAAAGGCGCTCTCATTTATCAGAGAAAAAATTGAAAATGAATACATTAAAGATTTAGCGTTTCCACGTAGGAAATTTTTTAATACATGAAATCCCATTGAAACGCCTCAGACATATTTGACTGCGGTAGGACCATCACGCCCCTATATCTAAAGGAGAAAAATATAATTACCTTGTGGTCCGGTGGCCCCGGGAGGTCCTGTTTCTCCTGGAGTTCCTGGTGGTCCCATCTCTCCTCTTGCACCCTTTAATCCCTTGACAACTTTATCTTCCCCCTTTCTACCTTTGGCCCCGGCTTGTCCTGGTGGTCCACGCGATCCAGATGGACCTTTAGCGCCCTTGTTTCCTGTTAAACAAAACGAGAGTGATCAGCACTTGAATTCTCCTTTTCAATGAAATACTCCCATGGTTCGAACAGATTTTTGGATCCAAAATTCAAGACTTTTTCCAGACATTTTTCCAAAACATTTACTTCCTTTTGCAGACTCAAGGTTTTCAAATACATCTGTAGGTGATCAATAGAGACCATAAAGGACGAATGAAGCAAACATACAGGCGACATTAAGTAAGATTTCACCAATACTAAAAAAATCACTCTTAAAGCACTTTTTTAGTTTTGAAAACAAAACTAAAGACTTTTTACAAATTTTTCCAGACTTTTTCCAGCTCTGGAAAATTGCTGGGCAAATTTTTAAGACTTTTTCAAGCATTCAAGACTCCACGAACCATGAATAAAATACTCATACTACCCTCGATTTAAAGATGTTACTCCACTACCGGCAAAAGTGAAGACAGTAAACAATTAATGGCTGCAACGTTGAGGTTTATTGTCAACTCTTACAGCAACTCATTCGGGCCATTTATACGAGGAAAAATAAGACGCGTCTTTCATTAGACGCGTCCTAAATAAGACGCAAACTATTCCATATGAACGGCGCATTAAGACGCGATTTAGCAAAGACGCGTCTTATCGAAGAACAGGTGTTAGGGGCTGTTCTTAGGTAAACGAAATGTGCCGTTTATAAGTGATAGTTTGAGTCTTATTTAGGACGCATCCTATGTAAGATGCGTCTTATTTTTCCTCGTTTAAACGGCCCAAATGACGTTCGTTTGTTAACCAGTTTCCAAAAGTTCCCGGAGAATCCAGGTAGATCAGGTTAGGGAGAAATTGCAAACAATTTGCTGAATTTCAGCTAATGTAACGCGATCACCTGCGCAATATTATTGTGACGTAAATGCACTAAAAAGAAAAAAAATCTAAAAACACTGATCCACAATCAAGGCATAAGTGTGTAACCTACACAAAGAATAAAAAATAAATAAATAAATAAAAAATAAGGAAAGGTCAAACGTCAATTTGCGAAATACTAACTTAATAACTAACGATGATGTGTTAATATTGTTAGGGGAAAATTCATTTTGGTCTTCTTTGGTTTAATCATGAGACAGCTTACCAGGTGTTCCAATAACCCCAGGATCTCCATCAAAGGCATCCAAACCAGGTGTTCCTTTCTCACCCTTGGAACCCATTGTCCCTGGCTCCCCCATGTCACCACGAGCTCCCTCTTCTCCCGCAGACCCATCTTCTCCAGTAGCACCAGCCGGTCCTGGCGGTCCCTTTTCACCCTTGTCACCAGCAGTTCCATTTATTCCAGGCGGGCCACGTACACCTTGATCTCCTAAAGTAGGCAATAAAAGCAAAAAATATCTCTAATTTGGAAGGAAAAAAATTGAACATCAGAAAACTCGGAAAAAAATTCCGAGCTCCTGGTGACAATCGAACTCACGATCCTCAGAGTTCTAGTTCGAATGCTGTAATCACTGAGATACTGGAAGCTCTATGGCGAGCAGGGTCGCAATTTAATTCTCCACTAAGAAGGGACGAAACTGGGCACCACTGCGAAAATTTCTGGATCGATAACTTGAACATTTTACTGCCATAAAAAGGTTGCGCAAGCGTCCTTTTTTCCTCCACAGCATTCAGATGCCACATTCATCATCTGACCGGAGTTTTCCGGGAAAAGAGATCTTTATTATAGGGATTTCAAGGAATCTAGAAGAAAACTCTGAAATTCCAGCACTGAGCATTACTACGAACCTTTTCCGCTCAGCGAAAATTTTCGGACATTTTGATTGTAATTCAAATGGAACCGTCGGTTCTGGTTCGATCTGATCGGAATATGCACCAAAGAGGGTCCACTTTGACTGGTTTAAAGAACCAGACTGTTCCACTCGCTGCATTTTTATTCATATTACTATTTTTTTGCAATGACGACAACTTTATTCACTACAGTCGAACTTGCACTAACAGCCTCCTCTCCACAGCCACCTGACCTCTCTTGTTGACAGTCTATACTTTGACTCTTGTTGAAACCTCGCCACAAAGGACACTTTTTTGTCCCCCAGGAGGCCGTTGAGGAGAGATTCAACTGTACTGACTCCACAACATTAAATTGCACTATATTAAATTACATTATACTACTACATGAGAAATTTCTGTAATTTGATTGGCTTAGAGCAGTGGTATTTCAGCTTAATTTGAAATAACTACAAGTGAAAATTACAAAACCTTTGCGGGTAGTAGTATAAACAAATAATAGCATGATTTGTACGTGATATTTGGCATAAACACCACTCGCGATATTTCGCTTAACGGCTCGTGAAATTACGTATAACAATTTCGAAATATCACTCGTGGTTGTCACTACAAATCATGCTATTACCTATACAAACACACACTCGCTACATGGAGTTTTCAGATTCATTCACATTCTAACCAGCCTCTGACTCATGACTTACAACGACAAACTGCAAGTTGAAGTAAAAAAGTTTAAGTGGCCCTTGGTAAGCCGAAGTATGAGAGCTGCTTACTCAAAAGACAGCTGCTTGCCAAAAGGACAAGCTGGAATTCAAGATTTTCTCAAGCCTTAACTGGTGGTTTAAAACATTTCTTACCCTTAGGTCCCGGTTGTCCTACTTCTCCTTTAAGTCCATCAAATCCAGGTAGCCCAACCAAACCTCTTTCTCCTGGATTCCCCTTGGAACCTTGTGGTCCAACTTGTCCTCTATTTCCCTTCTGTCCCCTTTGACCGTCTGGTCCTTCTGGTCCTGGTTCACCCGGAGCACCTGGTATTCCCGGAAGACCTTCCTCACCACGTGGTCCTTGAATCCCTACTAACCCTTGTTGACCCTTATCTCCTGCAAAAAAGGAAATTTCACAATAACTGAGCGCTTTCTCGCGTGTTGATTGGTCGAGAGCTATGGTCGATAAGAGTACAGATCATGGAAACGACTTGATGGTGGTGCAATTTGTTTTCTCTTTTTTTGCGCCCACGATTGTCCGAGAAACCGCACTCGAAATGGACCTCACAAATTGTCGATGTCATTGTTAAAAAAACAAATCTGCAACAATTTTTCATGGTCTATACTCTTATCGATCATAGAAATGAAGTAAAAATAATCAAAACTCTGCAGTGAAATTACTCGCCATGGAAAATTGTTGTCGATTGGTTAAAGGCCTACCCTGCGAGCAGAGGCTACATTCGCTGTGTGAGCTGGCCTGCGAAAAGTAGCAGGCTACTTTTCGCAGGCCAGCTCACACAGCGAAAATGTATTAAAGGCCGTGAACAAACTATAGTTATATCGTAATTTGAACAGATTGCTACGGTCGCGTTTTACTGGGAAACCTGGCCATTAGAGTTTGGATGATTGGGGATTTTTTTCCCTGCAAAAGCCAAACAGCCACACCTGAGGATGTAAAAACACTGTCAGCTAAATTGTGACTGGGAAAACAAAACATTATATCCTTCTATGAAGGGAACTAGTCCTTAAAGGTCAACAATGAAAAACGCTGTATAAGTTAAGAACTGTGTGTCTGCATGAAGGTAACGTTTTGGTTTACAACAACTTACCCATATCACCGGGCAGTCCATTAGCTCCAGTCTCTCCTTGCGGTCCAGGGTCCCCATCCATTCCATCCAGTCCAGGCATACCAACCTTTCCGGGACCTCCACGGTCCCCAGGATCACCAGCAGGTAGAGCCACACCCTCTGCTGGCGGAAGACCAGGATCACCTTTGTCTCCTTTAACTCCTCCGGGACCTAAACCAAGGATGGCAATAGTTGTAAGCCACATAAAGTGCCAAACCATTCTCCTGATAGGTACCTTTAATAAAAGACCTGTGACCCAAACTTATCCATTTCATCCACTGAAAACATAATCGCCAAATTGAGGGGCTGTTTATACAATAATAATAATAATAATAATAATAATAATAATAATAATAATAATAATAATGATCGATTATTCAACCTTTTTGCATCATAAACTGAATTACAAGGCGGGTCATTAATTACATACAAATACCTTGGAATTATGACACGTAAATATAACTGTTAATGTTAAGACATATCACATTTCGCTATTTTAAACGTGATTCTGGTATTTGACGGTGCAAAAATTTCCAAATCTGTTAGTTCTTGAGGAGGCACGCACAGAAACAGATTCTCCTGTTCTAAGGGCATACGGTCTTGTGTGCGCAACGCGCGGCACAAAGCTTCGTAGCAGGTCGGAAGAAGAGTAATAGTGTAGTGTAGTGTAGTAGTGGAATGAGGGATATAATAAAAGTAGGAACAACATTCCACATGCTTTTCATACAAAGAAGGTCGGATGGTTTATAGCTTCCTTTCAACAAAAGCGCCATTTTGAACACTGGTTTACAGCTGCCTTTCAACAAAAGCTCCATTGCGAACACTGGTCTTTTTTAACTCCTCTTTATGTGATTTCATAAGTTACAAGTTATTTTTTCGCTTATGTTGAAGTTCATATTGATTACAAAATTAGCCTGCGTGGAAGGCGTTCGAAAGGGAAGGGAAAGGGAGTTTAGGCGCGAGACCGCGCGTCCTGAACCCCCTTCCCCTTTCCTTCCAAACGCCTACCAAGCAGGCTATTACAAAATTGACCAAACTGCTATGAAGCAGTCTCTTTAAATCTTATTAATAATAGGTTGTAATGGGACCATATAATCTCACGGACTGAGGTCCGAGTTATCAAATAACGCCCCCCAAATTAACTTTTGACTGTTTCTCTCCTGGGAGAACTCGCATGCAGCTTCATCTTTTTGTGTAAGGAATGAACGCTGAACGGAAAGAAAAGTTAATAGTTTGCAAGACGATACAAAGTGAAGTTTGCCTTTCGCCACAAACTTGATTCTAAATCTCTCCTTTTTGTATCGTAAAATTTGGTATTTTCTATCTTGGAACCCACCAGCCTCTCCTGGCTCCCCGGGGGTAGAATTCCCGGGTGGCCCTGGTAAGCCTTTATCTCCAGTTCCTCCAGGTGAGCCCTTTAAGCCTTTGATTCCAGGATTTCCACTCTCACCAGGGTCTCCTTTATCTCCTGGTATGTCAAGACCAGGATCACCAATAGCACCTGTAGGAAAAAGCAAAACAAAACAAAACATTTTTTATTACAAGCTTTCTGAGGCACAGGCAGACATTAGGGAGCTTAAGCAACAACGTTTTTGAGCGACGCACGTCAACCGGAAGTGGCCTTTTTTCATTTTTTTGACGGTGGTTTCGCGCAAATTTTCAGTCAAATCGCCTCTATAACAGTAAAGAAGCTAAGGAATACAAATTTTATATCATCAAGGCATGTTGAGAGGGAAAATACCTCACTTCCGGTTGACGTGCGTCGCTCAAAAACGTCGCTGCTTAAGCTCCCTATTCCCAGTGTTCTCTTTTAGGGTGCATTTTTTTCTTACTTGGCGTATACACCGTTACGGGGAATTCTATAGTTGACACAGTTCGTTATTGCAGTTAAACAATAAAAACGCATTAAGTCTTAATCTCGGATCTCTGAGATTGACGCCGTCATTTACTTTTTGCTAGTTCTTTGGAGAGCCTGGGATTACTTAGTATGTGACATGACAACCGAAAATCAACAAATCAGAATGTGGGATTTCCAATAGTCCAGTTTCGAATTCGCTATGACCGCTGAATTAAAGAAGTGAAGAGGCGTAATAAATTCCCAAATTCCAACGAGAAAAAGACCTGTTTATTACTATGTCTATTGTTTATATTCAAATTTCAAACACTTACTTGCAGGAATTTTTGAATATTTTACTTTATGTCGAGGTTAACCCTGTATGAATGTGTCGTTAATGTTTGTATTCAGCGGTAATTTTTAATTCGAAACTGAACTATTTGCGATAGCATACTTTAAGAACTTTACTAAATTTTGTTTATAAGGTACTTATGAAGACAATTGCTTTGCTAATAATTTCCATAATTTTAGTGGCCTTTGTGTTGATTAACCAGCGATAGTATAAAGATAAATTAGATGTTGATCCTCACCAGGGTCAAGAGGGTCAGTAAGAACAATTGTACTACCTTTTTCACCAGGGCTCCCAGGGAAACCAATAACACCGCTTGAACCCAAGAGCCCCTGCGGTCCAACATCACCATCAGGGCCAGGAAATCCTTCCATTCCTTTTATGCCTGCAATACCTTCAAAATGAACAAACACCAAAACTTTTGGGTCAGTTACTTAAGGTCTCGGTAAAGGAAAACGAGGTGCCCACAGCAAAAAATTCTACTCGCGCGAGTATTTTCGCTACAAAGGCAAGTTATATATCAAATTAAAGCTAAAAGACTAAATTACCTTATAACAGACTTTATTTCATCGAATTTCAAAAGGCGCTTAAGTTTTTTGCTCTCGAACTCAGAGGTATCGAGTTAACTGCTGAAGCTCCAGCCCTTTCGCGTTGTTAAATATTCACTTCCTTTTTATTGCGTCTGATTGATAGATAAAAGACCTAAAAAAGGGTGTGAGGAAATTTGCATTTGTCTCGTATTAGCGGAATTATTGCATTTCAAACTAAAAAGTCGAATCTCGAGCGCGATTTACGCAAAGAAACTGACATAAAATGAGTTACAAAGGGAAATCGGAAAATTCCTCACACCTTTTTTGAGTCTATATCATTATCCATCATATCTGAAAGTTTCAAAGCGATAGCTTAAAACCTGTCCCGACTGGAGGTCGGAGAAGTTTGCTTTTTGCGTCTAAAATAGAGTGAGAGAAAATCAGCTCTAAAGATTTAGCGCGAGGTCCACGCTTGGCTGGTTAGCTCAGAAAAGGCTCACTTTAGAAGGGTTAAAAAGCACTTTCTGATTTTCTTTTTCTGTCAAAATAAAATTTAGGACCCACTCATGCCAAAAATCCAAAAAAACCAAAATCGAGCAATGTACTAAAATTTTCATTTACCGAGACCTTAAAAGACATCTAACTTACAAGGCAGGTTAAATGAAGCCTATGGGGCTGTTTACACAGAGGGAGGAAGATCTTAGAACCAGGAACAACGCTTCGTTGGGTTTACATGCAGAAATTTTGCTCCGCTGTGGTTAACAGTTGAGAAGGAATTAAAGATTAAAGATTACCCCCTGAATGGCCCGCCGCCATTTTTGTGTGGTTTATCCCTAGCACTAGGATCTTCCCAGCGAAGCAGTTTACATGGTGGGTACTACGATCTTCCTACCTCTCAGCTTGGAAGATCCTAGCGCTAGGGAAAAGTACAACTTTTTTCATGTAACCTAAATACAGAAAACATATGGCGCTGGATGATCCGCCTTCTAGGATCTTCCTCCCTCCTTGTAAATAGCCTCGAAATAAAATTGTAAGGCAAATACCGTAAAATTCCGAAAATAAGCCAAGGGCTTATACTTTTCAAAGGCCCTTTTTGAGGGGCTTACTTTTGGAGAGGCCTATATTCGGAGGGAAATTTGCGTTTCAAAATCGATTGGGCTAGCTTGTAGTGGAAAGGAAATTCACCATTTTTACTTTGTTTTATTTTGTATTCCAGGGCAAATTCCAAGTACAAACCCTCCGGGGGGCTTATATTCGGAGGGGCGATTTAACGGAGGGTTGTTTGCTTTACGATTTGGAGGGGCTTATACATGGAGGCGCTTATTTTCGGAATTTTACGTTATAAAATCAAATCAATCCTCGTAAATGGTATCACCATCCAATAAGGAGTCAAGGGAAAGAATCATGTGCTTTCGTTTTACACTTGATAGCCAACTTCATGATTTTTGAGATGCAATGGCCTTTCCTTCACAGACCCTTCTCTCTTCAAAAGAGCTTTGGGCGCACTGGCACTGGTTTCACTGTATGGCGCATTTATATACTCAATGTTTTGTTCAACCAGTAACAAGATAGATTTTATAGAGAATCAGGACGCAAAGAAAGTCATTTTCACAGCTTTCCGTCCGGGCAAGCTGAAGCTAACATTTAATAGCCCAAACATCATCTCAACTACAGTAAAAACCCGCGTATAAGAACCTAGAATTTTGGAGTTCAGGCTGAACAGGCTCTTATATTTTGGGGTATTTTTTCCAATAACAGGCTGATTAGGTTCTTAGTGGGTTATTTCTTTGCAAAAGTTATTATAGTGATAGCATTCGGGGAACTGCAATTGTTACTGTACTTGTAACTACAGCAAAGTTTCATGGAATGAATAATATTTCATTGGCAAGACTAAAAAGCGGTACACTACAAAAATTTTCACAATTAAAACCCAGAACTTGAACATCAAATCTGGAGTGTTTTTTATCTAACAACCTATTTTTCTTTGTCAGGCTGAATAGGTTCTTTTATATTTGGGTATTAAAATGCAAAATTTCAGCCTGTAGGTTCTTAAATCACTACGTTCTTATACGCGGGCTTTTACTGTAGTCGCAAATGAGCAGATTGATTTCACAGTTCTTCAGTAATTTGAATTCCTCAAAACACTTCACTTGCCCGTCGGGCAAGTTAATAACAGAATTCACTAGCCCGATAGCAAAATCCACTAGTTCTGGGCTTTTGGACACTTCTTTCTTTACGCGCTAAGATTTCTTTCAGTTCGCACCTTTTAAAGCTAGGGCTGGATTACAAGAGCAGGTCAGTTATGTCATAGCAGGCTCACTTGTGCAAATTGCGAATTCGAGAGAAAACTAGCACAAGTAAAAACTCGTCTAGCGCCTGCTAACAGGAAGTAAGAGTTTACAATAAACAGATTTCGCTTCTAAACGCTCCTGCATTTTTGCTTATGGTAGAACAAAGCTAACAATATCTTGACAGGCAAAACTAAAAACTGGTCTAGTGCCTGCTAACAGGAAGTAAGTGTTTATTATGAACAGAGTTTGTTTCTGCACATTCCTGTACAATTAATTTTTTTTTTTGGTAGAACAAAGCTACAAATGATAGAATAACCCGCTGACTACCTGGTTGTCCATTAGCTCCCTGTTCTCCTTGAGGTCCAGGAGACCCTGGGGAACCAGGATCACCGACCTCACCAAGCACACCAGCGGCTCCTTGAGCACCTTGATCTCCTTTGTCTCCAACATTACCATCTAAACCACGCTCTCCTGGTGGGCCAGGATCACCTGGGTCACCTGGGACACCCTTAGATCCTGGAGTTGCCTTCCCTGTACGAAAAACATACACAGCAAATGTGTTAAACTGCGTTACTTATAAAACCATGCTTTTCACGTTTTGTCTTGACATGGCCTGAGAACATACGCGTATTTTCGGTCGTCCCTTCTCCACACGGGTGGAGAGAAGTGACGACCGGAAATACGTATGCGTTCGCGGAGTATTTGATGAGATTATAATTATGACCAGTGATGCATTGTGGTGCTACCTAATAATACTGTGCAGAGTAATTCAACTTTTGAGTCTGCAAATAAGTTATACACTGTAAAAAAAAAATTCACTTTTTATTTGAGTGTCAATGTATTTAGCACGAAAGTGCTAATTGGGGACACTATTTTTACGTCTCCTAATGGAGACGGGACCGCCATTTTACGTGGTCATCCGAGCCACGCGAAGGTCTTGCCGCTTGCAGTGCAAAGGAAGTACCTTCATTTCTCAGTCATTCTAAGACCCTCAGTAATGGTCCGGCCCCGGGAATCGAACACGCGACCTCCCGCTCTGCAGTCAAACGCTCTACCGACTGAGCTAATCCTGCCACGGTAAATCACTTAAATGAAAGCTACGAATCAGTACCTCCCCGTGGCGCTGATTGTTATGCTCTGCACGGTGTATTTAACAGTTCTCTAGTAAGTGGTTTGTAACTATAACTCGTTGTCCCCTTGCTAACAAACCCCTTCCCCCACCGTGTCGTGTCTTACAAGCGTCGTTTGCTAATCCCCCTCACTCTCCCTCATATCACGTGCTTTTAATGGCTTCGCTCAAGTCTATCGCACTTTTTGCATAAATAAAGTAAACATAGGCAAGGCAACGTTTCACAAAATGGCAAACGCATCAACATTTCGTCCAAAGAAAGTTATTTAAATGAAATCTGCCCTTATACAAAGATGTTTTTATGATACATTACCTGGTGGCCCACGTTCACCTTCGTCTCCTTTATCACCTGCAGGTCCTTTGGGTCCCGGAGCTCCACTGATTCCTCGATCCCCAGTAGAGCCTTGCTGTCCAAGCATCCCTGGCATACCCTCCACACCAGTACCCCCTGCAGTTCCGTTGTAACCCTTTGGTCCCGGAATACCAGGGTTACCAGTTGGACCTAAGGAAATAACCAATCGGCTTCTTATATCGAACACTGATCACGAGTTAAACAATTGGAATCGCATTTTGACGAATCGTTTTGATAAGATGCACAAAACTGGAACCAGTCTTTTTCTTAACCCTTTAAGTCCCAATAGTGACCAGCATCAATTTTCTCCTAACGATATTCACGCAATGTCAAGAGATAAGGTTATGAGAATTAATTAAATGATCACCAAAGAGAAAATGCTTTGATCTTTTCTCAAATTCTCTCAACTCATTCTTTAAAGAAATGTATCGAGATCAGTTTGGAGAATTTGCTTGTGGATATTGGGGCTTAAAGGGTTAAAGTGGCCTGACTAAGGGGAGTAAGAGCGCTATCCATTTGTGAGAACTGGCCGACCAGAGTATCCCCGTCGTAAAGAGAATTTCACTTTATCCCGCCAGATTGGTCAAATCCTAAATAGCAGGCACGAAAGACATGAGTCAGTGCTGGGTTGACCAAGATGGAGGTTGAGTTAATTTTTGTTTTGATTGTACCACCAACCTCGATTAGCTGTGCTGTGGTTTGTCATTTTTTTGTAATGTTGTTCTTTTAAAAACAGAGTCAAGTGTTGTTGTTGTACATGGTTTTTCACCAAAAACTCTTCGGAAAAGCCTATTTTATTGTCAAAATGACTAATGCGGCCATGGTCCGGCCAGCCAGTTTTGACTCTTGGAAAGTGATGGGTACATGCAATAAGTAGGCAAAGAAATTTATTTTGGTTCTAATTTCTTCTTGCTTCGTATGAAATGAGCCAAGCGAAATTTGGCTCCCCGCCCTTAGTGTCCTATTTCCTGTTATGATTACACACCTCTACAGCTCCTGCCAACGGTTGTCCTGACGAAAGATAAAAGTTCTGAAAAATTTTTAGGCTGCAGAATATCATTGGTGTCGGTGACTAAAGTTGCCAGCTGCTCCCTGTCTACACTTCCAATACCAATCGCAATAACCTTGACACCCAAATCCTTGATTGGTTTTATTGCATCCACTAGAGGTGTCTGATCAGGGACAAGGTCAAATCCAGTTTGGTTTCCGTCAGTAAGAAGCACCATGACCTGAGGAGAGAGAGAATAACTTTGAATGTTTCTGTTACTATTTCAAATTCATAGGTAATTCGCCACGTTATAAACGAGTGAAAAGTTGGGTACGATATGCTTGGGATTGCTTAGAGGGACAGCATTAAGGCGAACAAGCATTACACCACAAGTGCTGTATTCCAAACTGCGGTAAAAGTTTCAGAAATGCAACTATTCTTCACTATTACAGAATTCCTTAAGAGCCTAACACATGTCTTCTTTAGTCAGAATAACCTCGAGAGCTTCTTTAACAGGTGGCTTGCTGCTGTGTGCAATGTATTTAATGTCCCTCTAAATAGCCTTTTTGCAGTCATCCATTGTACCACTCGTTCAAGATTTGTTCACCTTAAGGGACTGCGCAACAGGTAGCTTTTTAATTTACAGTAGGGTGGCTGTTACATTTACTTTTGTACCTCTAAATGTGTATTGGGACAGTGTTACCTCTGTTTCAACACCAGAAGATCACTATTGGGTAAATTCTCTGAAAGCCTTGACAACTACAGGGTGTCCCAAAAGTTCCTCTACTTTACAAGTCTGTAAATTTGTAAAGATGTTCAAAAGCCTTACTGTGGAAAGTGGCCGAATTTATCATCTTTTCTTGGATCAATGCCCAAAATATTCTTTTTCAGCTGCCTAATCTAAAAAATTATATTGTTTGGGAGTCGAAGTGGCTCCTGCTTACCAGGTGACAAAAAATGCTTAAAATGAATCACCAGGGGCTCTACACGCTACATGACTTACTCCACTCGATGCCACAACTGCTACAAAGCGTGATAAAAAAAACGTGATAAAAAAGGGGCCATGTCAGTCATTGAACTTCTGAATACATGTGCTCGATAGAGCAATAAACATCTTTCAGAAATTTCATGTCAAAATAAAGTTTTGATCAAAAGCTTTCGCTCATGAAATTAGAGGAACGAACTTTTGGGACACCCTGTATAAATACAACTTTAATACCTTTCTAGAGTCATCTCTCATTCCTCCTTGCGCTGTGAATAATTCTTCTGAGGCAATCTTCAGGGCCAAATCGATCCGTGTTATACCTGCGGTATGGGGTACGTCATCCACTAACTTCTTTATTTCTGTTTTATTAAAGGATCTAGTAAAATTAAGCTGCAAACTAGCTCCCCGGCTGTATTCGATAACACCAACATGCGTCTTCTCTTGTCCAATCTGGAGAAAGTCTATCACTTGTTTGACAAATTGTTTTAAAATATCAAATTCCGGTGGGAGAATACTACCAGAGGCATCCATTAGGAAGGCATAATCCGCACTAAACTGACCACACACTAGAATTGAAACAAAAAGTATAAATAAATAAGAGAAAGAAAGAAAAAAAGAAGCCAATGCTATAGTTTCGCGTTGATTGAAAATTTCCTGCAACATGTGTTGATCAACAAATGTTGCAGCTCCTGCTTCTGTTGAACAACCCTTGTGCAGAATAATTTTATTGTAGCATTGGACTTGCACTTAAGTTTGGTCAGAAGTCCGTTGGAGAAACGTAATGGATCATTCCACAAGCGTTTGATATACAGAAACCCGAGTCTGTGAGGCGATTTGAACCCATAATTGACCAAGTACTGGGCAAACGCTCTACTCACTGGGCTAGAGCGACTAATGAGAAGCAAGCCATTTACTAGGTTTATAAAAGTAACAGGAGCCCTGACGGTAAAAAGAAAAAAACTTACAGATTTCTCCTATTTCCCCCTTTTGTCCTTGTGGTCCAGCTGGTCCTTGAGGTCCGTCTTTTCCAGGGTCACCGGGTGAGCCACGTGATCCTTTAACACCAGGCGTTCCAGCCATGCCCTCTTCTCCGGTTGGTCCAGGCTCGCCTTTTTCTCCTTAAAAACAAATACAAAAAAAGACAAAAAAAATTTTTTTTCCTTTTTTTACCGCAGAAACTTCATGCAGTGCTGGAGGAAAAATTAAACAAACATTTGGTGTAATATTCTGCAATGCTAAGGCCTATCGCACTAACCTAAACCACTCCTATTTACGAAGATTGCCTGAAAAGCTTGGAAAAGTTACAATTTATGGCTATGCAGTCTCCAATTGCTATTGACTTTGCAAGCTTTTTCTCTACTTGATAAAATAATTCAACAATGTGTACACAGTGTTTATACAGTGGCTTCACCTCCAAGCTAGGTTCTGTACTGTTCTGGTGGAAACACATTGAAGCATGCAAGTGATGTTCATGTCCTTAGAATGTCGAGCCACATACGTACGTACCTTTCATGGCCATAGTGGTTAAGCCCATCACGCCCTGATCTCCAGGTGGCCCTACAATGCTGACACCCATTTCTCCCTTGTCTCCAGGCTCTCCCTTTTGACCTTTAGGGCCTTCAGTGGATCCAGCAGTTCCATTCCCACCAGAAGCTCCTTTGGGTCCTCTTGGTCCAGTTTCTCCCTTACGGCCATTGGCACCACGATTGCCCTTAGCCCCAGCCTCGCCCTTTACCCCTGAGATAGAAAGGACAATTTGCCGGACACTGAATTACTCCTACACTCTCATGGTATGGATGCCAAAGAAACAGAGCAGACTCAAATGTCAGTGCAAGAGGTAAGAATTGTGTGAAAATTGGGTTGTTTACCATTTAGATGGGAAAACTGCTTGGTTCAAGGACTGGTAAATCTCATTCCAGAATTGTGTTTGTTATTTGCACAAATCAGTTCCTTTTAATGAAAAACAGCTGCAAAGGCCTGAAACTGTTGTCAAAGATGGGATTCAATTCGAATTTTCGTTTGATATATTCCGTCCAGAAAAACATGTCTACTTTTCAGATGTTCATCACTCCCAGACATTTTCCTCTGGAACAACACAAAAAGCCGTGCCCTATTGACTTTTCAACCAGATTTTCCAGAAAATTTTTTAGTGGATGGTAAACAAGCTTGGCGTCTTTGAGAACAAGGAAAACGTCCATAGGAGAGAGTTGACCGTATAATGTAGGTGTGGAAGTCAAGAAGAGCTATAATAGGAAACATAACTTAAAAATAAATTCCTGCAGCTACTTTATAAGGAAATGTAGTTTGTCACTTTAGCTTTGCTCTACAGCAAAGGTATAAACGTTCGCCCTATTTGCCATTGCCATTGTTATCTGAAGTTTTTGAAAATTTCCGGGACATTTCCACACTATATAAGCTTAGTAAAACATAGGCTCTTATTATTATTATTATCATTATTATTAGAAATTTGTACCTCGCAGTTTCTATGAAAGTATTCAACTGCGCCTTACTGCAGACACTACTGACAGCTACTCTGACCGGAATGATTTAGACTTTTCTTTTACATTAGTAGTCATTACAAAGGAAAATTCCTGTTATTCTCTATTGACTTATTATACGGTACAGTATTTTTGCCATGATCGAGATCACCTTAGAACAATGATGACTAATAAAGAATAATGTAGTACCACAGTGTTTTTTCTGAACAAATGGTGTTAATTAAAGTGACGCAAGCTCCTGCAAGCACAACCGTAATTCTCCTTGCTGCTAGAGGCCTCTTACTGGGACCATTCAAAGTGGAACATTACTGTTCCACTACCCGAGAGGCCACCCAGTAGGGAGCTTAGAGTGTACCTTTCTGGCCCTTGAGTCCAGGTTCTCCATCGGTACCATTGGGCCCTGGTACACTGGCCCCTGGTTCTCCTGGTAATCCTGCTGCTCCAGCTTCTCCTGGCGGTCCCTGTGGGCCCTCTGGTCCTATGTCACCCTGGTCACCTACAGGGCCTCTCTTACCTTCAATTCCTGGTGCACCTGTGTTACAAGGAAGGGAAAAGATACAATACAGTCAAACCTTGCTTTACGGGCACCCGCTTAAAAGAGCTGTGTCACGAAATTCAGCCAAATTAGGAAATTAAAAAATGCCCGTTAAATTAAGAGAAACAAAAATAACCGCTTAAAACTTTAAAGGACGGTTAAAATAACATAACAGAAACAACAGATGCCTTGGAAGGGCAAAACTGAAGAAGATTGAAACGGATTGGAATAAGGGTTTTTGAAAACTGTTCAGCCTAACAGTTTTTCAAAGTTGATCCGTGCTGATTGCAACTTCAAAAATAATGCTCAGGAGACATATTTGTTTGTCTCGGATCTCTGATTTTGTCATATTACCCGTAATTTCTTTGCTTACTTTAAGTTCCAAAGCAACTGAGGGCAAGTGATTGGCAAAACAAACCAAAATGAACTGGACTGCCGTGACACAGCCCCTTTAATACGGACACTTGCTATGGCCCCCTCAGTGTCCATATAAAGGGGATTTGACTGTCTTTAAAACAACAACACTGGACCATTACTTTTGGAATTCAACTGATGCAAATACAAACATTAGACATCATATACAAACTAAAACAGCACTAAAGAGAAAAATTCTTTAACTTTTTTCCCTAATTCTCTTTTCTTTTAAAAGGAATTGTATGAGAATCAGTATGGAGAATTTTCATGTGGATACTGGGCCTTGAAGGATTAAGTCAAGGTTGTGGCTCATCGGACTTACCTATATTACCAACTAATCCACCAATTGGCGGGGGGGGTTCCCCTGGTTCTCCCTTTTGACCTGGTGAGCCGCTTACACCTGTATCACCTCTGCTGCCTTTTGTGCCATTATCCCCCTTTTCTCCTTTTGGACCTTCAATAAAACTTGCTTCACCCTTGGATCCTTTGAGTTTTATCTGATCTACAAAAACAAATTGGCAAACCGCAATAATCAAAAACAAGGTAGCCATTATGACTCCTGAGGGAGGATTAAGATCTGTCATTACAGAAAACCCACCCAGCCCAGGAAAGATTGGCCACATAGAAGGGGACCTCCTGAAGAAACACTGTTTCTGCCTGCCGGTATAGGTATAGTCTGGAAATGGAAATGGAAATGGAACAAACGATATTCTCGGTTTCTAATTTATTGGTTACACGACATAAAAATCTCTCTCACACTGAAGTAAAATTTGTTCTCTAAAGATACCGCACATACATTGTTTCACTTATCTATCAGAAAACCTGTCAATACGCCCTATACCGGAATGTTTCAATTATGTCATGAGATTCTCGCATTAACTACTACTTGTGTGTCTCACTAATAGAGCTCTTAACAGATTTAATAGCACTAATTGAAAATGCGATAATAATCAAACACTACTGACAACAGTTTCCGACAACAGGAACAAGTTTTCCATGTGTTTGTTTTGAGCAAATATGTTTTATTTCTTAAATGTGGTAGTGGGGTTATAGTTCTACTTGGTAGCCTAGCTGTTTCTCCAGTGTGAAAGCAGTCTACCCGCATTGACCGCTACAGGTAAAACTCTTGCAAACGTATTTGATTCGCTTAGATGGTTGTTCCTCCATACTGGAAGGATATTGCTGAGCCGAGTCAGCAGTGCACCAATACTGGAGACCAGCACCCAAACCCTGAAAACAATGTAACTTAACATCTCTAACATTGGAACATTACTTTCACTTTAACGAAAACAAAGAACATTCAAAATTTGTTACCAACATGAATAATCAGGTATTCCTGAATAGTAACCTGTCAACTATACAAAATGCTTAAGCTATAAATTCATTCAGCACTGTCTTGTATTTCCTGGACTAAATAGACAACAAAGATCATGTATACCACTGATTGAAACCGCCCACTGTCGCTGTTTGTGCCATTTTCTTGACAATTATTTCAATTCAAGCTCCACTTTTACCAGAGGTGATGTCTAGTGATAAAACTTTATAATTGCTCAGGAGCCATATTGTGGGTACAGTAGTTTCAAGTAAAACACATTCATCACACATTGTCAAAGTGTTAGGGTTTTAACATTCTAGACAAATTCCCATTAAAAAACAAAACAAAAAAACAATTTATTACCATGGATCCATGTGCTTGGTAATATTGTCATGAGCAAAACATTATTTAAAACTAATCTCAAAATAAGTTAAAATCTTTCTGTGAGTTAAAACACACACTGAGATTTCACAAACTAACTAATTTTACCTTCAACGTTTGGCTCATCTCCTTTCTGTCCTTTAGCTCCCTTCTCTCCCTCCAATCCTTTTGTTCCATTGGCACCAGTGTCTCCCTTTTGACCCATATTTGGAACGGGATCAATGGGTGGTGAATCACCTTTTGGACCCATATCTCCCTTCTCACCAGGCTCACCTTGTCCCCCATCTACTCCGGGAAAGCCATCGTCACCCTTTGGAAACAGAATGTACGAGAAAGATGATTATCCAGTCAGTGACACAGGCAGCTCAGAAGGAAAAATGCCAGTAGTCCCAATGGGAGTTAAACCTACGACCTTCTGGTTACGAGTCCAGATGCTCCACTGCTAATTTACTGGAAACTCATGGGAGCTAAGACCAAAGTTAAACTAAAAAAAGCAGTCCCTTTTAGAGCTCAAGAGGTTATTTTAAGTAACTTGGTTTATGCCTACCTTCATTCCAGTGGGACCAGTGGCACCTTGTTCTCCAGGAGGCCCATCTTGTCCTCGTGACCCGTTAACTCCAGGAAAACCTTTCAGCCCTTTCTTACCAATAGTACCAACATCACCAGGGGGACCAGGGGGTTCGAACACTTCTTGTCTAGGTTTAAGTGGTCTCTCACCTTTTTCTCCAGGTGGCCCTGTTGGCCCTGAATCACCTTTGGCACCCTTCGAGACGAAAACATTATACTCTTCATCATTCTGTTTATCACATCAGCTCTGCACTAATATTGGGGAAGTGGCCATAGTGAGTGTATTAAATGAGAACCCGCCTTGACTACAGGTTGAGTGGCTATGTAAGGGTCCAACAAGCCTTATATGAATTTCAAACCTACGAATAAATGTATTTTGTGTGCATGAAGCTCGCTTACAATGTCAGACTACTCCATGCAGGGACATTTAAATCTTTTCCTTAGTTTCTACCTGTGTTAGAATAAGGGATATAGAAATGAGACCACATCTATTTTATTGTGGGAAGCCAGTGGAGGGTAACCCCATTACAGTCAATCCCGTTGTGAAAATATGACCCCATCCAGTGGTATATCCTCCCATTAGTCTATGGCTAGGAAGTACCCCCTCTGGGGAGTCCATGCGTGCGATCATTTTAGTATCTCATGTGTTTTGGTTGTCTGACTAAGGAAAAAAGAGAGACTGCTCATAATCTACCAATCAGCAACAAATAACAGTTCAATGCCATTTGTATTTACCTTCTCGCCTGGTGTACCATCAACTCCAGCTTCTCCTACTTCACCGGTAGGCCCTCGTGAACCTTTAATTCCATTTGGTCCTGGATCTCCCTGAGTTCCATTTGCACCAGGGCTTCCTCTATCACCCTTAGGGCCCTTTTCACCAGGGGGGCATTGCGGGCACTGATCTTTTTCTCCCTTTTGTCCCTGAGCACCTGGTGGTCCTGGAGGCCCTTGTTCACCAGGTTCACCCTGGCGACCAGCAGCTCCAGCTTTTGGCACAAAAGTGGAAGTGGGGCATACACCTTCTGGGCAATTTGGTACCCTGGCTGAAGATCATGAAATGAAAGAGAAGCACGAGGAAGAATGTTATCGTATAAACCTTTTTAATCCAAGTCAGCCTGACTAGTAATGATTGCTCTGTAACTTTTGTATACATCTGAGCACACAACATAAACCTATCAAAGGTCATTTGATAGGTAGGTTTTGCATGATCATCAGGGTGCTTTGTAGTCCTGAATATGACTGCTGTTGACAATGATTGACGTTTTGACAACCTGTGCGGTAGCCATCTTCAGAGTGAAAGTGATCGAGTTGTATCACATCAGTTGATGGTATTAAACCCTGGTTTTTGAAGTCGCAATGTCACTGAGCTAGGTTTTGTGCAGGATTAATAGATTCCCAGTCCAAAATAGATGTTAATATTTAACGAAATATGAATATTGAGGTACAAGTTAGAGTCTCTCTTACTATGAAGGCTTTAATTTACAAAAACTTTCAGAATTCATTTCATTCTTCTGTTCTCATCAAATTAAGTAATCTTAGTGAGGTTTCACCAACACAAGCCATTAGCCAAAATCCAGACAGAAGAATCAATCAGTTAAACATGCTACCTTTTTCTCATGGGTTTAAAGTATATTTCAACTGATGAGGGCTTCAACACTTTGTCTAGCCCAATGTCAACAAAGCTCAGAGAAAAAAAATGTAGTGAACATGGGTAAATAATGATGAAAAGACAATGTTTTACATTTTCACCACAATATTTGGGCACATGCCAAAAATAAAGAAAAGAGCGATACATGTCAGAGAACCCAATATCACTTGGACATGAGATATCCTGAAGGTATCCATACACTGTATAAAACTACAAACATTTATGTCATAACCATTGAGCTTCTGGCTGTGCTAGAGATCTCACCAGAGTTCCATGTAGCAATGAGAACATTTACTGTACTCCCTTAGAGAATCTAACAAAACCATGGACAGACTGGATTATCATTGGCTTATATCTACAGTTTGTCTGCATCATTGTTACCTGCTGGACCTATTCTGCCTGCTGAGCCCTGGACACCCTTGTATCCTTTGTCTCCAGGAGGTCCTTTCATCCCATCTGACCCATTAAGTTGCTCTCCAGGCAATCCTCTCTCTCCTATTTCTCCTTTGGGACCCTCCACTCCTTCAGGACCCACTGGACCCTCCATACCTTCAAAACCTAAAAAGGATGAAGTACAGTAAAAGCCCAGGACTAAAAACCTGGTTTTTAGTCACGTTATGCTAAAATTTCCCAGTAAGGTCCCCACTGTACAATAACCTGTTAAGCCTAACATTTGAAACAGGTTCTTATTAAAATTTTTAAAACCTATTGCTTAATTATTTACACTTAAGCAAAAATAATAATAATAATATTTATAATAATAATGACTTAATTTTAGTGTCAATGTATTTAGCATAACAGTTAGCTAATTGGGGACGCATTCCTAAGTACTGGCACTAATCCATTACATGATTATTAAATTAATGATCTTACCAAAACCTATAACTATATACAAAATTTGTATACGATGTACACGACTTAGAATTTACAAAGGTCACAGCAGTTACTATTATATTATTTATTTTAAGGCTTGAAAGGTCAACACTGCAAATATGATAAGGCAACTGCTATACATTTAGGATTCTCTTTGGAGAATTTGCAACGTTGCTCCCAGGTTCTCTCTCCCACCTGTTGAGAGACCCAACAGAGAGGGATTTTCCCTTCAAGATAAAAACGCTTTTGCAGAACTCAGTCCAGTCGTAGATTTTTATTAGTGATTGGTGTCATTGGTTAAACTGCGACAGCACGAGTTTTTTCTTTCTCCTCTGGTAAAATAATTAACTTGTTTATCTCTTGGCAGTTCTGTTAAGGCGGAAATTTACCATGGATTCAGTTATAGTTGTAGGGTTAGCAAATCTATCTTACTCTTGCCAACACCTTCGATCGTTATGTGAACGAGACAAAAAATTGAGAGACTAAAGGACTCCTCCCTTAGAATTAATTTTGTTCCGGAGCCACGTGACCAGACCCAGCTAGGGCCTCTCTCTTTCTCTCCCTCTCACTCCGTAGGGACGGGTAGCAGAGAAACCTGGGAATGAGGTCGGAGAAATTGGTGCCTTATCACTCCAACTGCAATTGTAATGGTATACAGGTTTTACCTAAGCTTGAAAAAACCTTTGATTATTACTTTCACATGGTACTGTGATAATTTTTTTTCTGTTAATATGTAAAACTTAACAAAATGAAATTTGAGAGTTTCTTTCAATTTTGATTAGGGACATCTTCAGTAGAAGAAAAATATGTTTATTTTGCAACATAAAAGTCAGTCAGTTTGCTGAAACACATGTCGATGGTTCACCTATATCTGATCACCTTTGATGATGTAATAAAGTTTTACAAGACACAAATCATATCACGTTTAAGCTTGTGTACGTGATACAGACATGATCTTCTTACCTTGTGGACCAGGAGGTCCTTGTTCACCTTCGGAACCAGTAGCACCTTTATCTCCCTTTGGGCCAAAACGAGAAGCACCTTGATCACCCTGAGGTCCTACATCGCCAATATCACCCTTCTCGCCTGGTTCACCAGGTCTTCCTGCAGTACCTTTTGGTCCTTTTTTTCCTTTCTCTCCTAGTCCTTCAAGCTGCAAAGACACAACAGAAGTGTCTAAAATCTGTACAAGTATGAATTATGAGATACTTATCATTTGCATGCGGAAACCAGAAATTCTCATTGGACAATCAAGACACTCTTGCTACTCCTTATGGAAAATTTCACCACACGTGGGCTGCCATTTGAGGCTATAAATTATGTTTTACTTTGTAATGTCTCTTCAGATAATTTGGCCACACATTTTAGTGGGTTCTTCTCCCACATGCACCACAGGTCAAATTTAAAAGGATTGACACTGGCCATGAGAAAGCAAAAAATTCCCCGAATTTTTAGTGACTTAGCATTAGGTGACTAATAATAAAAAATAATCCAAGTTTGCATTTGCTTCGGGTTTTTTTGTTGAGCATTAATATTCTTGTCTTCCTTTTCAAACTCTTAATGCTTTTCACAGGATTTTGTATGCAAGGAAAGAAAATATCAAAAGTTTACTTTTCCCCGACATTTTTAAGCATATTCCCTGACTTTTCCCTGACCTTGAAAAACTCTAGTTTTTTCTCTGATTTTTCCCTTACTGGGGCCACCCTGCTTAATCACTGAATGTCTTATGCATGAGATTAACTCATTTAATTATAAACCTGACTGTTTGTATAATAGTAAGCAACCTTACATTTCAGATATAAGATGACATGGTGTGAATGCCAGGTTGTCATTAGAATAACAGCACAAGGTAAGCATGATAACTTAATTACACCAAAGGTAAAAGTAGTGACATAAAAATAAACAAACAAAAGCAATTGGTTTTTTAAAGTTAAGTTTAAGTAGGCTATTAATATTATAATAGGTAGGTTGAGTATGATCGTCCCGGTGAATGTATTCCTGAATAGGACTGTTGTTGTTAACAGTGACTGACATCTTTGAAGTCAAGGTGAGTTGTAGGAGGTCAGTGCTGTTGATAATATCATACTTACTCCTTTCTCTCCAACAGGACCACGAGGACCTTTGTTCCCAGTAACACCTCTACGTCCCTAAAGAAATCATTATCAGTTTAAATTATACTTGCATCTTTTTTCACAGAAGAAAAGGCTGGGTCTTAAATCATAATGCTACTTGCAGGGCTGTCACTAAGGGCCACAGATTTCCAAAGGCTATGTTCAGAAGAAACAAAACAAAAAATGGAACCAAGACAAATTTGAAGTGGCTATGCCATTCCACACCGTAACTGAATGCATATACCATGGTTCGTACAACTTCAGAGAAATAAAATTCAATGACTTTTCAAGGACAAATTATAGTTTTCAAGATCTACGATTTATTCAATAAACTGGAATTCTTTGACCTCCTTTTGAACACCTTAGGGACGGACCATTAGAAAAGTTATGGGGGGGGGAGGGGAATTTTCGAGCTGCAGGAATTTTTTTTCGTTATCAAATTCCTTGTATGAATTTTTTTCAGGCCCTTGCATGAATATTTCTTAGGATTAATTGGCTTGCAAGAATTTTTTTTCATTTAATTTTCCCTTGCGCGAATTTTTTTTTTGTACTTCGCCCACCCCCCCCATAAGTTTTCTAATGGTCCGTCCCTTACTGGCTAAAACACTTAATGGAGTCATTTACGATTTTTACATCTTCAGCCATGGTTGTCATCATCTCTCACATTATGTTGTACTACTTTTTGCAACAACACTACTTTGCAAAATGACAGCAGTCACTGGGTATGACTTGCAGTCTGAGATACAGAAATAGCATTTTAAATAAAGAAACAGAGATAAAATATTGTTGCTTCTGATATATACTGACCGTTTATTTTCATTTCACTCCCTTGAACTTTTTCTGTTTTGTACCTTTCATTTTTCCTATGCTCTAGAATCTAATTTCACAGAAAATGATGTGGCATAAACAAAGTAGTGAATTTCAAGGACTTTCCAAGACCTTTTAAAGAAATCATTTACTTTTCAAGGACCTTGTTTGAATTCAAGGACCTTTCAAGACGACGACTAAAATTCAAATACTTCTCAACATTGTACGAACCATGATACACATGCAACAACTTGACATCTTAGTAACACACCAGCACTTATTTCCTGAGGTTTGATTATTGGAACTTTAAGGAGTAAAAAAGTTGACAACCTCACTAGACTAGTGAGTACGGGTAGTATAAATTTTGTTTACTTGCCTGTGGACCAGGAGGGCCTGGTTCACCCATGTCACCTTCAGGCCCTGATTCACCCTGCGAAATTGACAGACCCGTTGTAAATCGATTATCTATTATGTTTCCCATGGGCTCACTGTAAAGTGAACTAAATACCTCTCAAGCTTGAGCCTCTGATTCAATGAAAAATTATCAATAACGTATTAAAAAAATAGCATACAACCTCAATGGGTCATACAAATAATCTCCTCATGATATTTGTCACTGTATCCTTCACTGTGACTGATTGCTGTCAAGTAGCCTCAATGTCAATGACATACACGTTTATTACGGGTTGGTACAGATTTATGGATTCAAAATTCAATACTTTTTCCAGACTTTTTCCCAAACAGGTGATCAACCGAGACGTTGAAAAAATTCAGGAACCGAGTATATTTTTCATGATACAATACTTCAAACGTACTGTAACCATAGTGCAAAGAGGACATGAGTTCTAAAACTTCTCATTTTGTGACTGAATGCCTTAGCTAAGGTTAGGTGACTAGATTTAATTGACCACAGGAAAAAAAATCACTTACTTAGGACTTATCGTAGGTTTGAAAAAAAAAAAAAGAGAACTCCATTTTCCAGACTTTAAATATCTCTATTTTCCAGAATTTTTCCAGGCCTGGAAAATGGTTTTGCAAATTTCAAGACTTTTCAAGAATTCAGTCCTTGTACGAAATCTGTACATAACATCTTTAAGAAAACAACTGCAATGATTCTTTTCATTTCCTTATGATTTCCAAGCTAAATGGAGCTTGTCTACAGCCGCAAATTGTTACAATACCTAATCTGACTATAATTTGATCAAATTAAATTTTCTAAGATCAATTTGCTGTTAGCTATTAATTATCTTACAGGAGGTCCAAGATTTCCAAGGTCTCCATCTTCTCCAGTGGTCCCCTAAAAGAAAAATAGACAACATATGCTGAGTTTCAACACAAGCTTTTAATATGCTCATTGGCCAACAAGAAATTTTATTTTTCGCCATGATAATTGATTGAACATTTTCCATAATCAATTACAATAATTTGATGATTGGCAGAGCAATCTCAGATAATGTTATGGATTGTGTAGGTTGACCTAACGACTTATAGTGAGTGTTATACAATGAGAGAGCTCAAGGTTCGTACAGATTTTTGGATCCAAAATTCAAGACTTTTTCCAGACTTTTTTCCAAACTTTAATTTCTTTTTCCAAACTCAAGGTTATCAAATTCATCTGTAGGTGATCAATAAAGACCTTAAAAAACTAAGGAACAAAGATTTTTTGATGATGCACTGCAAACATTCGAGTGAGATTGAGTAAGATTTGACAAAAACGACAAAGACTTTTTACCAATTTTTCCAGACTTTTTCCACGTCTGGAAAATTGCTAGGAAAATTTCAAGACTTTTTCAAGAATTCAAGACTCTGTACAAACCCTGAGAGCTCACTCTCAAATCAAGTACTAAACTAATAAATTGGAATGCATTTGTTGTTTTCGACCTTCGTTGATTTGTATGGTCCCTAGTATTTTCCACTCACGTTATCACCAGCCACTCCTTTTTCACCACGGCTTCCTCTATTTCCTCTTGGCCCCTGACTTCCTTGAGGACCATCCTCAGAAGATGCATTACCTTTTTGTCCCTTCTTCCCTATATCGCCCTGGATTGAAGGCAACAACATTATCAACACAACTTACCAGCAACTTGCAAAACTAATAGTCTGATCAAAATGGCATTGTAGTAAGTAGTTTAAAGCAATAAGTGCCAGGATACTTTGTCAAGAATGATTACTTGTGAAAATGTGCATGTAGATTGTATACGTCCTTAAAAACAACACACTGTTTCTGTTTAAAAGTTGTTTAGGCTAACTATGCTGGGGAACATGGTTCGTGGTTAACTGACCTAGAACACTAAGGGGAACAGGTATGGTGCATGGTAAAAGAATTTGTATACCATTAGGCACACTAGATGCACTGGAAACCCAACTGTTATGTACCTCCCAAGGTAAGACCAGAGGCAAATTTTACTGCTATGTCATGTAATTATTGCTTACATTTCGTTCTTGTGGAGCTTGCTAATATGAAGGCTAAGAAATTATATACCATTAGGCACACTAGATGCACTGGAAACCCAACTGTTATGTACCTCCCAGGGTAAGACCAGAGGCAAATTTTACTGTTATGTCATGTAATTATTGTTTACATTTCGTTCTTGTGGAGCTTGCTAATATGAAGGCTACAAAATGTATGAAATTTTTGCAAGCCCAATTAATTCCTACAAGTAAGGGTGCTTACCATTTGTCAGAACTGGCTGGCAAGAACAGTCTAGTTGTCAGGAGAATTCCACTATTAATCAGGAATATCCAGCTAGATCACTTTATTCCAAAATGGTATGCCGCAGTGATGGGTTTTAGCAAAAGTTCCAAGAAAAGACTTGTTCACCCAGTTCTAACTTTTGAAAAGTGCCTTAATTTTCTTGGAAAGTTGACCGTTTGTAAATGCAAGTTGATAACTGAAAACAAAATCTTACTGATTTCAAACACATTCTACCTGAAGCATTTTAGAAAATGGTTGTAACACTTAATTTCCCAGGGAATTTATCTCTTTGAGAAAACATGGCTTATGCATGGAAAATGCTGCACCATAAATATTTTCATTGATAACCATATAAACTATTATGACACAGAGTGCAAAGAAAGACAGTGGGTAGCATGAGTCATTTTAACTAGCCCGAAAAATTATTGACCTGCAGGACTGAATACAGTTCTTCTGTAATTTGAATTCCCTTCAAAAACGTCACTTGCCCATTGGTCAAGTTAAGAACAGAGTTCACTATCCTGATAGCAAAAAAATCTACTAGACTCAGGCTACAGTTAAAACTTGCATGTTACTGTTTTTTTAAGCCCCGTCTATAAAAGAACCTGTTTAGTCTACAATTTGCAACAGGCCGTTACTTTCAAAATTCTGTATGCTTGGGCAAAAAGACAGCAAAATTCATGTGGTCAGAACTTCAGTTCTTCTTCTCAAAGTCACTTCTATATAAATTCTAATTTGAGATGCAGATTTTACAGAGTATGTAAGGAACAGGGTTGTCACTAAGATTTCAAGTTGCCGGGTATTAATTTTTATTGTTAGTAGCCGGGGAAGTCGCAAGCAGTCATGAAGCCCCTTCTTATACAATGCAAATGAATTAACATGCGCTGTAAAATCAATTGTAAATCCTCATTTAGTTATACAACTTTCAGAAAAACAGAAGTAAAACTAATATCACAAATGAATTAACCCACGGAGAAGTGGAAAGAAGACAAACGGACGATGAATGTACGAAAAAGCATCATAATCATAAGGTTACTATGGTTTGTTGAAAAATAAAAGTATGATAAGGCTAAAGCAAGCGTGACGTACAAAAAATCGCGGGATAACATATGGCAAAACTAAACTGCACTACTGGTAACATTAGTGGTCTGGAATTTATGAACGAAAGATCACTTAACATACGAAGAAACTGACCTATGGAAAAGCGTTTAAAAGACAGGGCTGATACTTTATAAACGACGCTGAGATGTCAAAACGAGACTCAAGGAGAAGAATGCAAAAGTAATGCTAATGCTTTACTTCCCTTTTATATATCAGTAACTTCTTGGAAGTAGAACTGAGCTAGAGAGGATGTGATCACGAACTGCGGACAATGATCAAACATTTCCTGTTGACCATGCGTTATTTTATATACTCGATACCTAAAGCTAAATGTAGACCTGGTCACTTAAATGTCTTTATTAAACATGGCAATCAGTCATACTCTTCATCTTCAAAGCCTTCATCATAATCCTCATTATCATCAACATCAGCATCAGGGAGATTTAACGCTCGCGTGAAGCCTCAACTTGTGATGTCAACAGAGATCTGCTCAGGTGTGACGACATGTTAAACACAAAGCCGACAGAATGGTTGAAACTAGGGACTTTTAGCATCGACAAAGGTGACGGCAGCGAAAACGTCACTTTTAAAATGAATTGGCGTTTCTTCCAACTTTGTCGCGTTTATTTCAATTCGCTGAAAATAGCTAATGTAGGCCAACTTCCTTGGAGTTGATTTCTTTGGGACGGCACTCAGGTTTAGAAAGAGAAAGAAAAGTTTGTCGTCGATTGTTTTACGTCCTCCTTAAAACGTGAAACTATAGGCATTTTCATGTCATAGTCGTGCAGTAACGGCAAAGAAATGTACAAAAAAGCGTGGAGTTGTTTTGCTCAATAAACCTATTGCTTTTTTGACATTCTCGTTGCCGTCGCCGTCGTCGTTGCTAAAACTCCCTACTGACATTTCGCGAACGGAGAGTTTTCGCGCATGTGTACTAGTACCAAAACTAAGTCAGATGTCTTTTCCCGACATTTCTTAGTTTTTGCACGCGAGTATTTCAAAATTACTTAAACCCGCTGCAGATGAAACTAGCATTTAGTTTGATGGATAGTCTTTGTGTGTTTCAAAGGTGTGCCCTTTTGGTTTAATTTAACGACGAAAGTAGCCGGGGACCATGCTCTGAGTAGCCGGGGGAAATCCCTGGTCCCCGGCCCTTAGTGACAACCCTGAAGGAATTATATAAGCTGGATACCACAAAATACCCATTGATAGCTACCATGCTTTTCTTTTCTTTTTTTTCAGAAAATAAGAACCTATTTTAGAACCTTAGCCTAAATTTGTCCTACTGATACTCGGTATATATTTGCATACAAGATAATTATAACTTAAATGCAGGTGCTTAGTGGCAGGTTTTTACTGTACCACTGATGTCTATCTTTGCACAATGTGATGATATGAGTTAGTTTGTATATACTTACCTTTGATCCATTTTCTCCCTTTGCACCACGAATTTGTACCTAAAACACAAGTTGAGAAAGAAGTTAACACAGGAGAGATATAACCGGAGTGGAGACAATCCCCCCTCCTCCCATAGAGCTTTTTCATATCACGTCACAGGCTGCTGCCATATTGGTGTTCCAAAACAATTCTGTGGGAGTTGAACTCTTTTCTTTAATGTAAACAGTTTCTTTTGTTCCAATAAAATTAATTTGCACAGATGCTGGCCACCTGAGTGAAAACGTTCTATTAAGGTATTGTATGCTAATATGCCATTTCTTAAAGGAGTTCAGCTGTTGCAATATTTTTGAGTAAATGCAGTGACCTTTGGGGTGGCCTTCGGGGGTTTTGTAGGGTTTCAAGGTTCATTGCTTTACATTTGCAGAGTTACCAGCTGATCTTTGCGGATTAAAAGCTTAGCTATTGCGAGTCATTGCGGATTCTTGCACCCTTGGCAATTGCTTGCCAGGGTAACTATCTTTTCAGGTAAGTTTTTTCCACTGATATTCAGTGTGACGGTGCCGGTTAGCAAGCGCTCGTTTGGGTGGTTCCTGCATTCCAGGGTTGCCTTGGATACCTCCCTGTGGCTATGGCATCCGGCACCCGGCTAACATCAGTTCCCAAGCTCATCCATTTGTGATGAGTTTAACATTCTGTACACTTCTAAGGAACATTGACTTTTTTAAACAGACTCAAGTTGGTGATTGGTGCAACTGACTAAGAGCAAGTTTTTTTACAGTTTGAAGAACATGTCAATACTTACTGCACCTGCTCCTACTACTTCAAATGCACCAGGAGTACCTGGTACACCAGGCGATCCCTGAGGGAAAAAACAACAACAATAACAACTACTTAATCAATCAAAAGTATTTCCAGTTTATGTCATGATTCATGTATATCATATATGGCTGTGCAATATATGATTTTGTTATTAACTAGCCCAACTACAGCATGTTGCTATCGCTCGGTCAATACATCAAGGCCTCGGTCTGAGATTCCCCTGTAATAACCGAACGGATGAGGTTAATAAGTCATTTTTTTCTGGCCTTTTCATTATAGATTTGAGCCAGCGATCAATAATTATTTAAAACAAAACCACTGGTCAGTGGATAACTTTAAGAAAACACGTCACCTCAATAAATTGTACATTTGAGCCTGCAATACAGTCAGATGAAACTGGTCAGCAGATACCTTTTCGAGAGCTATTGACTGACCATAACATGGATGTCCATAAGGATGTCCAGTATCAAAGTTTAACACAGATCGTATATGCCTTAGACATTTAGCCAGTAATGCCCAGTCATTAAAAGAAAACAGCCAATCAGAGCATGTGTACTATTGTAGCCATATAATAAATGTAGATAAAAAAGAGTTTGAAGCAATTGTCAGCAAACAACTGGACTGCACGTATTAAGCATATGAAATTGGCCATTTTCTTCTCCATCATAACACTGATTTTTAATCTCTTGCTTCCCGAAAATCTAAGTTATGAAAAAATCTTTACCTCAGCCCAGTTCAGTTATGGATATGGCGGCAGTGTCAAGTGAAGACTGTGTACTTACCATGGATTGTTGTTTTCAGGATCAGCAAACTATGGGATTATTGTTGTCATGTTCGCCTTTGCGTGGTGTAAACAACACAATATGACATGTAGTCTGCAGTCTGCATTTAACACAGGCCGTACGGATAAGGGCTTTATGAGCAATATTATTTTGCAAATTTGAAAAACATTTTTTTAAAATTATTTGCAGACAGGCCACTTGCATGAAAAATGGATTTTTTCATCCAAAATAATTATGCACCTGTTTAAACAAGTCTGTGAGCTTTATACAAAGCCCGTCACTATTATCAATATTTTTAATGGATTGTGCTATTTTATTATCGATATCTTTAATGAACTCTGCTTTGTAGAGCAGCAAGTCACTCACCATTTCTCCTTTATCTCCCTTTAATGTATTGTTATCTCCTTTTGCTTGAGGTCCCTATAAAAGTTTAGAGACTTAAATAAGCAGACATGTCCTTAAAAAAAGTTGACTGAATGGCATGCAGTACACTGCCTAACCAGAAGTAACCACAAATATAATAAAAATATATAATGTTTCAGTCTTGAGGCATATTTAAATGCAATTTAAAGGAGATCTAACTAATAGCGTCTACAGCTTCAGCATTCTTTTTATAACATGGATTGGAGTGCTTTTCCCTCTTTGATCAGATCACTTGGTATCATTTTTTTAGAGTTCCAAGTATTGTTCAAAACATAACTGAAGATACTTGGTTAAACTTTCCGCTTATTTTTAACCCATTATGTCGATGAATTAACATGACATAGCCCTTTCATCATTTTAAAGAATCTTAATTTCTTAGCTAAAAAAATTACTAAAAAGCTTTCATTAAAAGATACCTGCTCTCCCTGCGGGCCTTGTATTCCTTGGATACCCTTAAGGATACAGAAAGAGAAAGTTAAATGCTTTAGTACATTAATACTTGCAACTGAAAGGAGAATTGTCAAATGCAAACTTATTCAAAAGCTGATAATTAGGGAGCGCTGTAGATGGAGCACTAAAGAAGTAGCCTCCTATGCAGACATTCTTGGGGCTTTGTCATACATTCTTTCCCCACATTTGACGACGCTCTGTGGGAGACTAGATCAGCCCTTTAAAGGGTTTGATCAAATTCCAAGAAAGGCCTACAGTATGTACCGTTCAAAAGTAAGTTGACAATCACTTCTTGCAAGAATCGAGAATCAAGACATGGTGACCTTTCAACCTCTTACAAAATGTGACTGTTGCCAATATTATTTTACTTCATCAGCTTGATTAGGTTATACCAATGATAAACCAAAACTATAAAGTCAGCTCTCACAACAATGTTTTCCCATCCAGCAGCTATTATGTATATCTATCAGCTGGTTTTTTTTTTACCAATAATTGCTTGAGAAAGTATAAAGCATTTAGTAAAACAATGGTGGTATCTAACTGTTTTAGAGGTTTGGGGCCTCTGAATAAGGCATAGGCTGGGGTAATGATTTTAGAGGAAATAATTAATCAGTGGCTTACACCAAAGTTTGGACAGCAATTTTATTTTCAGAAAAAAATGTATAAAGAAGCAATGTTTTACCTGTGAGCCTTGCTCCCCTGGAGTTCCCTGAAAAAGTAATAAATGAACATCAATAATTATCGTCAAATAATCTTGCAAAAGCTGTGTGAATGCACATTAGAACATGCAAGCTTACATGCATCTTAAAGTAAAAACATACTAACCTTGATACCTTCGCCACCAACTGGACCAACTGGACCCTGATAATAAACAGTATTTTATAAAAAACTCAATTAGCAATAACTTATTTATGTCTCAATATTCCTGCAGTACCCAAAGCCATTCCCAACTGAGGCCAGTTCTTGGTTTTAACCCTTTAGGTCCCGAGAGTGATCAACATCAATTTTCTTCTAACAATACATCAACAAATAATTAAGAGAGAGTTATGAGAATTAATCAAATGGTCAGCAAGGGGAAAATGCTTTGATTTTTTCAAACAAATTCTCTCAACTACAATCAAACCTCTTTAATACGGACACCAAAGGGACAGCACTAAGTGTCCCCTTTACAGTGGTGTCCATATTATAGAGGTAGAGAATGTATGATTTTTGGCATTTCTGGGACCAAACAGACTGTCTGTAATAGAGAGGTGTTCGTATTATAGAGGTGTCCTTAAGGAGAGGTTAGACTGTAATTCTAAGGAAAAGAATGGAGATCAGTCCGGAGAATCTGTAAGTGGACATTCAGTTTGGATTAACTGTTAATCACTTTGCCCTTATATTTCTTTTCACATGTACATACCTGCCATGAGTTCATCATAAAAAAAGACCAAAAACATAATTAAAGGAGAACAAAATTTTTGACAACTTTGATGGTACATGCATTTGCTGTATTTCTTTTCTAATGCAGAGGGTATATTATGAATTTTGATACATTAGAATAGTTCTTTAAATTTGGTTTAATATTGTTTTTGCAAAAGAGATTATGAGGGTTTTAAAACCAGCGTTACCATTCCCAAGATTATTGTGCTTTTAGTCCTGTTAAGTTATTGGGACTTTCAAGAAACAGTTCCCAGGTACATGTACTGTCACAGTTTTACTTGCAGGGGACAATGGTATCACTTTTATGAATAAAACTCAAGGGCTCCATAAAGGCCTGTAGTACAAGACTGTAGCTGGCAAAACAAAGTTCCATAAAACAAAACCAAACTTGTATCAAAAGAATTTGCTACATCTCAGACATAAATAAAGGTAAATCTTACCTTGGCTCCCCTTTCTCCTTTAAGTCCCGTCTTACCCTAATAAAAAAATTCAAATTTTTAGAGGGGACATCAGTCTGTCATGAGTGATATAATTTTAAATTACAAACATAGCTAGAGGGAGTGGGACACCAGGGCTGCAAATAATTTCTTCGCTGGCGCCGGTCAAATTGTCCGGTCAAACCTATTTATGCTCGGACATATCCCATTTTTGGCTGGACAAACATCGATTACGTCTTATCGTCATATCTTAATAATTAAAACTTGAAGCTCTAAATTTTTTCCTTACCAGGGTAAACGACTGGACAAATTGTTCGGCCATCCAAGGATTTGACCGGCCGTTATTTGCAGCCCTGGGACACAGGCAGTCTTGCATCATGGCTCATAGATTGGTACGCTTATACCGATTACTTGATACCAGTAATACTTTGACATAAAATTTTACATTAATCATCTCATGAGTTTCCAAAGACCTATCATTTACTAGCTCGTGCTAGTAAAACTACCATTATGTTAGGTACAAAATCAGGATAACCTTAGCTGTGAGCTCAGTTGCTTCTTTGCATAGCTGGCTTAAACTTGCAACACCTTGCTGGTGTTTAGTAGTCTAAGTGCTTTCCCTCCCTCCCTTCACTGGGTCTTGAATCTTTTATGTACAATTGCTTTGAGTGTGACAATTTACACTGCATGGACAGCCTAATTTTTTTGTAACGAATGGTTGATCAGTGTTCCTTGTTACATCTTTTTTGTTTTCAAGTCATTTTGTTAGTTACTTTGCTTGGAGTATAATTAAAACAAATTATTAGTTTCTTATTCAATGCATGTTTGAAAATGTAGTTAATTATTAATTAAAGGCTGTCTCTGTCCCAAGGCTTACCTACAGTCATGTTTTGTAGTTTAAACTAGGTTAAAAGTTATTACAGGCCAATCTCACATGTTTATCAATGTGATACATCTAAAGGTAAGTTACTTGTCCCAGCAGACATAAATGTCAGTAAATCACTGTAAATAGGACTCAATCTGTTAAGAGCAGACAATTTGCAGGGCAGCTAAAAGTGCGTCCATTACAGAAAAAAGTTTCATGACAGATCGCAGACTAGGAATGCATCCTTTTTGGACGCAATTAATACTGTCATTATCTATATTCATTTTAAACAGGCAAAAATTTGTAAGTTACCTCCTGCCCTTTTGTGGCATTGACTGGTCCATCATATGGTTCACCCTGCAAAATAACATGACATTGACTGATTAACAACTAATATTAAGTGACATAGAGGTAGCAAATCCACACTGCTGTTCTCCATTTACCATTATGGATCGAATTGGAATTTGGAAGTGTCAGTGTGTGAGCTATAGGAGAGGGGAAACTGGTCTGAACTTGGAGACAAAAACGCCTTGGAGTGTGGTTAAGAACCAACAACGAACTCTAACAACACGTATAGCATTGCTTTTCAGGACTCGAAATCAAGCCACATTGGTGGGAGAATGAATGAACGAATGAAAACTTCACTTGAGCGTTGAAGTCATTTTTGAAATTTGCCAAATTAATAAGCGAATTAAACAATAACTTTTGAAACAAATGATCAGTATTCTATAGGAAAATTAATTACCTGACGAGGGAATTCCACGTTAAATTGCACGCGAAAACCGATATAGCACGAATCGCGAAGCGATGAGTGCGATATCGGTTTTCAAGTGCAATTTAACGTGGAATTCTCGCGTCATGTAATGAATTTTCCTTGAATCGCATAATTGAATAAAAATCAGAAGAAAAAAAAAGAAAACAGCAATAATATTGTTTGTTTTTATCCTGAGCGCGTGCTCCAGAAAGCCATTTCAAAGTCAACTGTCAGAACTGTCATTGCGTTAGCGAATAGGAAGCAAGGTCAGTCGTACACGTTTGAACCTTCGACAACTTTTTTTTGTACCTTGTGCTTGTTTTCACATTTGTTTTCAAACTTTTTACATGTAAACAAGCTTCACACTAATCTTAAGGATAAATAGAGGTATTTTACTGAATTTAGAAGCTGTTTATGTAGAACGTCTTTTTTTCAAATTGGTCATTTGCTCGAGAAGGAAAATAATTTACACCTTTTACCTCTTGGCGGCAAAACTGAAAGAAATAAGTGTCCAAGCGAAAGCGCTGAAAGTTTAACTTGTTTAACGTCGCGATTGACATAAGGTAAGTACCTTGAAATGTTTTAGAAATGCTGTTCAAGTTCAGCTCTGTTTTGTACTTTTCTAAGTACCACGATTCAGGACGATTGCAAGCGGCGTACTCTTTTTCGTGTTTTCAGGGGCCATGTCCTCTTTGAAGGTATTTATTTCTTCTTCTGTATATGTGACAATCGACCCGGCACTTCCTCCGTTGTCGCTTCTCCGTTTTTGTTTGGTTGAACTTTGGATTGCCATTTTCTGGGCCGTGTTCACAGGATTTTCTTGTTTTCTGGTTGTCGCGAGTGAAAGAGGTTTTATGTCTCTTCGAGAATCTGTAGTTCAGTTCAAAACAAGGAAGAACCTCCGGCTCACTTTAAAAAACGCTTTTGTTTGTTTTTAACTCTTCAAAAAGTGACAATGAAAGGTTTTGAAAACATTTTAAAATGACCTTGTAGAAAACCTTTTTTGCACGTTGTTGTGTTAGAATTTGACGATAGTTGTTACGTAGATGCGAAACAATATCGCTTAGCCTCGTTTTCAACTCGCAATTCCACACTAAATACCTCGCTTCGTTAACCAATCAGAATGCCAGATTTTACTTAATTATGCGATTCAAATATATATATTTAAGTTCATTTGTTTCACAACAATTCAGATTACAATACATTATTTCAGTCAACATTCATAAGAGAAACAATCTGTGAGAGAAGAAAAATGGGGGAGCTTGGCACACTAAGCAGGCAGATACTTGAACTGATTGGGTAACAGTGTGCTCTTTGAAATATTAAAAGACAAAGATGATTACCTAGACGCAACCATGATAACACAAGAAATAAAATCACGAAATCCTAAACCTTAGCTTCTTTCACTGGTTGCACCAAACAGATTTGTCTTTCTTGCTTTTGACTTTATTACACATATTTCTTCTTTTCTTTTTCTTTGCTTTTTACTTATTATCTGTAATTTATCTGATTTGTAATAGAATTAATTTGGCACGCCTCGACTAGCGTTTTTGGCTAACTGCATGCCAAGAAATTGTAGAGGCAATATTACTGATAATAAGTGTCTTGTCTCGATTATGGAGGAACCAAATCCTTTGCAGGCTAATTAACCCTTTAGTGCTCAAGATCAATTTTCTCCTAACGATATCCATAGACTATCATGAGCAAAGTCTATGAGAATTAACAAAAATTAATGATCACAAAGAGAAAAATATTTGATCTTTTACCAAATTCTCTCAAATAATTCTTCAAGGAAATGTATGGAGACCAGTTTGGAGAATTTGTATGTGGATATTGGGACTTAAAGGGTTAATACCTTCATTCCCTTTATTCCCCTATCTCCAGGATCTCCTGCTCTCCCAAGGGTACCATTAGTTCCATCAGGTCCAGGCTCTCCCTTTTAAGACAGAAGCACAACAACAAATTAATTTTCATAATGTTTTGATAATTTACTCTAGGCCATGGCTGATTAATAATAATAAGAACAATAATGTTTACTTCTTATATTGCGCAGTCTAGCATGCGATAAAGATATGATCGAACACACATTACAGCACTAAAATCTTAAAGTAATTAATGGCTAATCCAAATAATGATAATAATAATAATAATTTACAATTTTCAGAAAACAATAAAAAGTAAAATATGAGTTAATAAAAGAACTAATAAAAAGCTAATTTAAAAAGATGTGTCTTTAGTAAAACTTTAAACACATAGAATTCATTAGACATTACTGATGATTTGATGTACTTCGAATAACATTAATTGTAGGAGGAAGCAGATCGTGTGAGAGTGGATGGCTTCCACGCACATGGCAGCACTGTCATCATGTTTGTTCACAATCTGAGTGACAGAATTCACTATTTTCAAACTGTCCATAATATGTAAACATTGTTTCCAATGTCTACTGGGACTTCCAACGTACTGTCCCATGAGTAATTGAAAACAATACATGTAAAAATTGTTTTCAGGGGGGGGGAGGGGGTTGTGAAGGGGCAAATTAACAAAGTGAATTATAGGTAATTTGAAAATAGCAAATATCTGCATAAGGCAATTCGTCGTTGTAATTTTTCAGTCTGTGGTACTTACAGTTTCTCCATCACATCCACAAAGACCCATCATGCCTTTAGGTCCATGAATACCTGGAACGCCCTGAAAAGATCACACACAAAAACCATCAGGAAAGAAAACCCAGTGAATTACCTACCAAAATTATGTTCAACATTTCATCAAAAGGATAAGAGAAATTGAAAGCTAAAATGTGTATAAAGCGGTGGAAATTTGTATAACAATGATACTTACTGGTATTCCATGAAGTCCATGAAATCCAGGAAGACCAGCCCTACCCTAAAAAAAATACAACAAACAAATGAAGTGCAATTAAGACAAGCAACAATAAACGAAAAGTTGGCAGTAACATTAAGTGCTTTTAATCAAACTTTCGCTTAGAATTATTAAAAGTCTGTAAAACATGCAGCTTGCCATATTCTGGTGCTGTTGGCTGTTTGCAGAAATAGCTTAGGGAAAGTTTAAGGAGAACGAGGATCTGTTTTGTGAGAGTTCTAGGGTAAGGAATTGCATGGGGGCATAAAGTTTAAAACACAAAGACTGTCTGTGACTGTGTTCTTTACTCACACTAACTTTTCTCTCATGGACTAGTACATATTATGTGCAAAAAACCATGTACAGTTCCATTGAAGGCATGTCTTTACCAGTAACTGCAAGCCTGCTAATAATTAACCCATTCTTCTACTTGATTTATTATTTTAAATCTTAGACTACTCTTTCCAAAGTGGGAAGCAGTGATTGAAAAGCAGATCACATTTTTTAAAAATAAAGGTTGCTGCACTGTTCATCCTAATAAGGCTTTAAATGAGACTAAATCTCTACCATACCAGCTGTCCTTTTTCTCCGACTTCACCAGCCACTCCAGCTTCTCCCTAAAAATAAGGAAAGAAGTTTTAAGATACAGTGTATCATACATTATTTCTTTGAATAACTGCCCACTCATTTTCATGCAATTGGAGGACATTAACAACAAAGAGTACCTTCAGAACTAGTGGTCTGTGGTCGATCTGTAAGTGCATGCCCATGCCAGCAGTTTTCAACTTTGTTCACATACTTATTATTAGCATGTTAGCACTTTTCTTTGCACAGCATTTTTTGCCTCAAAGTTTCATTCAGCCATTTTCCCCTCCCTTCCCCTTACCTTTGATGTTTTTCAGTGTGAAAGGTTCCTGTTTTTTCGTTTTGCAGGGGCTCATGGCTGGGCTGGATAGTCCAGACACCCAACATCCATATCATTATCAATAAATATGACCAGCTACAATGTACTGTTTACATAGATATTTAAGACTCATACCTTGCTTCCTTTCAAGCCTCTAAATCCATCAAATCCTCTAGGGCCCTTTGAAAAAAAAAACAGTAGTTAGCATATGTACAAACAATAAATAGCTAGAAATATGTTTATTGCAACAACTCCCAAAGCTGTGACGGGACAGCAATATGAACAAATTGAAACCAGCCAACAGGTAAAAAAATAATGGAAATGCATGGTAACAAAATAACAAACAAACAAATTAACAAATGGCCAAAAAAGTAAAAAAAAACTTTCTCGGCTGGAACCCTGAACCTACCATGTACAAGGTCATCTCCTGGATGACTGCGTCACCTTACCAAGTGTTAAGCAGAAGAGTTAAATTATTATCTCTAAAGTTTCCGCCCATAAAATTCTGCCAGTAGACGCTGTTTGAATCTGGAGGAGCTGTGTTCATCAAGAACTCAAGGATATATAATTTCGAGGAAAATAAGCAGGGTTTTGATGGTAAAAGCCGTACTTTAACTCATTTTGCTGCACTTGAAGAACAATACAGTGGACAAAGCATTAAGTGTCTAACAAAACGGTCGAGATTGTCTCTTGCTGACAGCGTTGTACAGTTTGCAGTTCCCTGCATTTGCATGAGGGAATCGGTTGCGATTCACAACCAGTAAAAATTTTTTTTCATGCACAGAGGATGAATAACCTAGTGCACCTAGTGGAAGTGAGGTTGCTTGGAAACCTTAATTCATCTCGACGTCATGCACAATCAATGACACCACTGTGACAACAACAATAATTGTTATTGGTACAAACTTTAGAATTTGAAAGAAGGAGAATTCTTATACCAGAAAGTTCAGAAAAAATTTCCAGCTCCAGGTGAGAATAGTCCATTTTTGAGTTCACTATGACCGCTGAATTAAAGAGGTGAAGACGCATTTTTGACAGCCTTAGCCTCAATCTGAAGTAATATATTCACAAATTCCAACGAGAAAAAGACCTGTTTATTACTCTGTCTATTGTGTATATTCAAATTTCACGCACTTACTTGCCATAATTTCTGAATATTTTTCTTTATGTCGAGGCTAACCCTGTAAGAATGTGTTGTTAATGTTTATATTCAGCGGTAAGTTTTAATTCGAAACTGGACTATTGAACTCACAAACCTCCAAGTTCTAGTTCAGACGCTGTTAAAGGCTCTATTGCGAGCAGGGTCAAAATTTAAAATTATTATAACTACACCAGTTACAGAGGCGAAATCATAAATGTTTGACAGCTGAAAGTTAGTTCTCAATCTGAATGGCCAAAAGATGCTTAAAATATATAACAAACCTCTGCTCCCTGGGGTCCTTGGGCACCAACTTGACCCGGCCTTCCCTAAAAAGGAAAATAAAATAGCTTTGAAATCATGTACCAATCCTGTGCAGCAGTACAAAAGCCACAAAATCAGTAACATTTTGTCGACAATGAAAAAATTACTATCAAAATGTAATGTTACCTTCATTCACCCATAAAAAAAAAACGAAATCTGACTCCATGCTTACATGGCCGAAAGTGCAGGCACATTATTGTATTTTATTATACACTGTTATTATTATTCAGATTATTGGCCAACAGACTACAGTTATTTCTGGCAATCAGTGTATACAGATTATTCAGTTATTGATAAAACAGTATTACGTTATATAAGAAGATTGAAATTCAAGTTGGTCCAGCTTTAAAGGGTTAATATGCCACAGAATGTTAACTCACCCGTGAACCTTTCTGCCCAGGTTTACAGTTGCATTCCTCATTATTTTGGTCCTGAAACACAATCAAATAAATACATTTAACATTTTTCATTAAACTGGGGGAAAAGTTGGCATCCAGCCTTTATGAAGCCGCAATAAACTATTGAGGACAGTAATGATGAAAGTGACACCTGCCCAGTGACTGTTTGGGTTCTTAAATTCTTTTTGCTGTAACCTATAACACTTCACCAGGATTCTTGAAGTTAAATTCTTCACTTTTTTGACTTACAAGCAACATTTTGGCTTAAAAAGCCAGTTGTCTATCAGGCTAACCCAGCCACTTCCACAAAGGTCATTAATCAAAATACAACACAGACATCTTAAATTTCATTTGTAAAATGTTAAAAAGTGAAATAAAACCTCACAAAAGGACATCAATTAAATGGCCACTGATCTAGGTTGTCATCCAAAAGTGTTGTGTAAAAGTAATGAAATGCATTTTCAAGGCCTGATAATATTGATGCTGGGGAGCAGATTGGTTACCCAAGCTTATTCATGAAGATCACTGGAGGACCAATATTTTATTACAGTCTGTACAAACTTGATAACTCAAACTCATGCATGATAAACTGTCCTGCTGTACACTACTTGCTGTGGGCACGTTTACAAATGGGGAAGGAGACACAAAAAGTTTGTTGATAAGTTAAGAATAAATTGATAGTTAACTCATGATCAGAATAAACCCAAAGCACCAAGCTGCCTGTCAAGTGTTGAATCTATGTCAAGTAATTCTCATAAAAGAAGAGTTTAGAAATGTGATTTGACATTTTTCTTTTTTTTTTTGAGCAAGATGATCCATTTACGTGACATGCACAGTGCCTCCTTAAAAAAAAAAAAACTTGTTAACCTACACTGGCTTACATATCAGTGTAACCTTTGCCACATTTTACTGAAACTCCCAAGCTTGAAAAAAAATTAAAAAAACCAAACTCTTTGCTTTACGTATTGAGAAGGGGAGCTTTTTGCTAATTAAGGAAAAAAAGTCAGGTTTGCCATGGGGTTGTCCACAACAACTTATTAGGGACCTTAAGCAAAGATGACTACAACAGCAGTGAAAACGTCACCAAAAAAATGAATTTGCATTCTTTCAAACTTAATTGCGTCTATTTGGACCCGCTCAATATGTCAAATGCAGGCGACTTTTCCTGGAGTTGAATTCTTAAGGATTTTATTCAGGTTCAAAAAGAGGAAGAAAGATTTGTTGTCGTATGTCCATGTCCTCCATAAAACGTCAAATTAGGTGGTTTCACGTCGTAGTCAAGCTGTGGTTGTCAAAGAAATGCACTAAAAAGCGTGATGCACGTGCAGAGCTGTTGTTTTGATCATTAAACCTAAAGTCATCGTTGTGGTCGTCGTCGTAGTTGCTTAAGCTCCCCATTGTGCTTGCAGATGTCTTTTTTGATACTGCAGCTTTGATCCAACCTTATGTTCTTGGTCCCCCATATCTTTTAAATGCCCCTGTTTTTAGGAATTTCAACACTAATGGAGCCTCACTGATTTTAATAATTTGTTGTGTATTCAGAAAACATTCAACTGCGAGGGCTGTCTGCAAAGAGATGTTTGGTTGTGGCATTAAATATGTATATGACCATAAAAAAGGTTTGGCCACATTCAGATGACCTCCACACCTGAAGAAATTGAATTTCTTAAACTGGCAATTTTAAAACTTTCATATTAGGTGAAGAGTCAAGAACAAAAAGTCCTTCACTGGAAAAATTCAGGTGACACAGGAATTGAAATGACAGTGCTGTTTGTTACCCTGCACAAGTGCTTTATGAACTTTCAAGTAGATATTGATGACACACTGAAGTGTGACGATTAAAATAAATGAGTATTATTAAACTAAACTGCAAGGCCTGTTTAATACTGTGCTACAGAAAAACTGATTTCAGCGATCGTAGTTAAGAAATTTTCTGGGATGTAAAATGTTAAATTACCCACAAGAATCACTGAAGAGTTCAGATGGAGACTATTCAAATTCCATTCAAGCCACAAATGTTTCAAAACAAATGTACATCTCTGAATTTACATTTACTCACGAAAAAAGAAAAATTTATCCCGGCAAAATAAATTACCCGCAAGAATCAATGAAGAGTTCAAATAGAAACTATTCAAATTCCATTCAAGCCACAAATGTTTCAAAACAAATTTATATCTCTGAATTTACATTTACTCACGAAAGACGAAAAATTTGTGATGGCAAATCAAAATAGTGCTCTGTTTATCTGAATGACACCAAAACTCCAAGTAAAACACAGAGCTAAACCGGCAATTGACTTCGACAACGCGCAAATCTCATTCGCGTCGCTCACGCGCGTAAAAAACGCGAGTGCGAGGAAGGGAAACACGCGAAATACCCCACGTTGAAGAAACGTGAAATTCTTACAGACTTGGAAATGGCCCAGCACAATTGTAAAGGCGAGTTTGGAAGAAAAAACTTACCTGTGCATTCGCTCCTGTGTAAATAAGAAGAAGGAGCACGAATAAGAAGGCCGCCCTGTAAGGAAAAATGCAACGAGAATGGAAAACGTGAGACAATCCGCTCGAAAAACCCGGGTTAAACACTTCGCAGTGTTAAAATTTTGAATTTCGCAAAACGTAGGATATGTTTGCAAAAACCTACCCTCGCCTCATGGTAAGCAACTCTCAGATAAGCTCAAACAAGAGGCTAAAGCATACAGATTTGAACCGCCGTCCACCAGAGAAACGCTTCGCGGCCTAACGCGTACAAAGGCTTGTTATCTGAGCCGCCGCTGCAGCGAGTTGTAATATCAAAGGAAGTGGGAAAATTGACTGTGATGCAATCCGATCCCGACAGAAGGCGAGCCCGACAGATGACAGGCCTATTTGTGACCTCAAATTTTTGGGGATTGTCTGCTTAGGCGGAGTGCGATCAAGAGGAAATAACGAAATTGAAGCTTGTCTAGCTAATCACACCTCAATAACATACATACTTTAACCCACCTTGGCGTCAATCGATTGCCCCATTTCGCGGGAAATGTATCAACGACATGTTTACTTTTACAACGCTTTATAACTTTTATGAGTCTTTCTGGGAAATATTAAAAATTTAAAAAAGTCACCACCTCTGAAACGAACTGCGAAGGATAACAGCTTCCTCTGGTCACGCTAACTGATCATGTCCATGCTCGAAGAAGACTTAGGAAACATCTTTTTTGCCGTAAAAAGTCACAAGGGCGGAAAGAGCCAGCCCGCACCTCTAATTCGAACTTTTGTTGACTGATTTAAAAATTAGATACCATTTACTCGTTAATAGTCTTGTATAAAATGGTAATAAACTGTTTACGTGAAAAATGTTCTAAACCGGTTGACAATTTGGGAGGAGAAGGAGTGATCCACCTTCAAAACATGGATGAAAGGAACATTGTTGTCGACACGCGTTTCACGAAGAAGATCTTATTGACGAAATAGCATCGGTAAGAAATAGAATCGAAACGATAAATTATTTCACGCTTCAGTTATGGCTAATTTATCGGGCTCAAGCATCTTATCGTACGTGTCATCTTGCAACTGTAATTCAGTAAATCATTGAGAAAAATGAACGTCGTAGAGTAGAAGTCACTTTGAAAATATCACACATTGTTTTAAAACTGATACGTAGAACCGGAAAGTCTCAAACAAAGCCGAAGACCACTATTTCACAAGAATCGCGAAAACAAATAAACTCAAAGTTCCAAAAACAATTTGTATTTTTTTCCAGAAAATCATTTGGGTTTTCTCAAGACCACACGCAGGAAATGAATGACGCGTTCGGTAAACAAGCATGTATCAGTCAGTTTTGTTTGAAATTGATCAGGAGGGTGTATGGAGCATAAAAGAAAACGTACCAAATTCTTACCCTAGCTTAGAAAATGTCTAATTTCCCTGCAAAAAAGAGGGAATCGAAAATACAGGCAGACAGACCTTCAAAGAGAAACAATGCTTCGAGAGGCAAGCTTGTTTTTACAACAGTGCTTTCCTCGATTAACTTAATTCCTTCCTCAGCTACAGTGATGAGACAACGAGGACAAATTCAACTTTCAATGATGTTTTAAAACATTTTCTACACGCTCAGTGTATTGAGACATCGGTCCCAACTTCAGAATTGTGGACGAAATCCTATGGTGTGACCGTCCAAATGAAACATCTTTTCGATAGCACTACTCTCCCATATTGCTCTTTGTTCTAAAGCTATTTGGCAACCAAAAACTGTGATTATTAAATTTGAATTTAAATAATTGGCACTCTTGGGATTAATAAAAGAGATTAAATGAAAAATAACGAGGATTAACGAGGTATCTGTTCAGTCGTAAATCAATGTAGTCATGCTAAATTCGTGTCTGCAGTTTTTGGCAAATTTCGCGTGCCGAAAACCCAACGTGCATCCAGATAAAAATGATTTCTGGAAACATCATTACAAACGCTTTGCTTTCCGATAACGCCTTCTCTGTCTCACTATATAGCAGTTTGTCGACAACAAATAAGAAAGTCTTCATCGGGGGGTCTTCTTTTCCAATGACTTTCGGTGGTGTGTTTTTTTAAGGTCTTGAAGGACGTTCGTCGATCGTCGGGTCAAGAGACCATGCATAATTGATCCCAAATCTCAATCAGCCCTTGCTCGAAAATCTGCAGAAAGAATTACAGCTCAGTGATAATTCGCCGCTTATTCGCTGGGCGCGGTCTGTTTATCCTGTCTGGATGAACTTCGGGAGATCACCGGACAGGAATGTCAAACATTTGCGGTTAGGATACTTGGAGTGAACAGTTCCGGTATGTTCAATATTTTCCCGCTAAAAGTAGCAAGTTTGAAGGCAATTCAGAGACATGAGGGCCATCGAGGGGTCGATTATAACCCACACAATCACTTCCTTATGTTGATAAAAAAAAAGGAAACAGTGACTGAAAACACAAAATAAATTAGGAACCATTCATTTGAAGCCCTTTTTCAAGTAAATTTGGAGTGGTTGTTCACCTTCAAGTCTGAAAATAGCCCACACCTGCAAGCTAAAAAAAATTCATCACGATTCATTCCCAAATTAAAGCCTCTTGAGAATGAATTCATGATATGTGCTCAACTCCTCGATCAAACACAATCAAATGTTCGGGCTGGGAACACGCCTTCAGAAAATTCTTCGAAATTTCCGATGAATTATTAGATTAATTTTATGGTTTTAATCGGACTCGGCAGTTCGGGCGGGACAGATGACTATTGTTCTCAAGTGCCTGGAAAGCGAAACCCTCCCCCATTCAATCAAAGCTGACACGTCGGGAATGCCGCGATCTGACGTATGAAACATGAAACTCTATCACCTCTGGCACGTGAAACAAAAGCCGCTTTCTCAATCGCAGCATTTTGGTCTGCTAGCCACATTCACTGATCATCGAGCGAGAAATCTCTCTTGGCACACAAATAATTGCGTCGGCTGGCATAGCATGATCAGATAGACAGTGACTAAACACACTGGTATCTCTTTCTGGATTTATTTATTAGCCATGTGGTAGGTTGAAGCTACACCAATTGGGATCACGTTTTCGCGGTAGTGTTTTTCTGAGTATTCAAGGGGAGATCTCAAGAAAGCGAGCCGCCGCGCGCGATCATGCATCCACTGAAGTTTTCTCTTGGTTTGTTGCCACCTTTTAGGTTTCCAGTGCGTGTTGTTGCTTTGGTCGTTATTTTTGGCTGGACTTTGCTGCCTTGTCCTGTTACAGACGCTACGGTAAGTTTAATCGGTGGTCTAATTGAGCTCCAGTTTGGTCCCATTCATAGACGAGGAATAATTGAGTACCCACGATAAACTTACAAACGAAAAATGATCACCTCGGGGACACCTTAAAGCTTTCATTTATTCGCTTCTATAGTTTAAAGGCTGCAATGTAAGAGTTGGTCTGCATATGCACAAGTTAGAGACCAGTTTGGTACATATATTAAAACTTGACTATCAAAACAATTAGCGCTGTAGCCTAAAGTACTTTATACTGGAACTGTTACAATTTACTGGAAAACGGTTTGCGACTCGAAAAAGTGAAAAGAAGGGGAATTTATTGCCGGATAAATCATTCAGTCCTTCGCTCGTTTTTCGGTTGCGGATTTACACGCGTGGTCGGCCGGCATCTCGCACGGGTACACCCTCGTACTCGACGCTCGCGTGTAGAGAGATATCACCAAATTAACCTTTAACCCTCGAGAACTTATAAGTCGATTTTTCGTGTCTCGTACGATGGAATAAATTAGAAAAAAAAAATCACGGAAAAATGCGACGGGAGAGCGCTAATCGAAACACATCTTCTTTGGTTTCAGTGAGCGTTTTCGTATAAACAGCCTTCATAAATTCACGACTAATTCTTGATTCATGGCGGGGTTGAAAAGAACATACCTCCTTCAGTTTTAAAGAAGAAAAAAAATGCTGGCACTACCCCTTTGTTAGTTTAAATCAACTTTCCTCCGATTATTTGCTTTGTTCCAAGTGACATTCGCGGGAGGTTAAGAAAAGTCGCGATAACACGCGCGGGTTCACTTCTCGCCGGGTGCGCGAATTTTAAGGCGTCGAAAGACAAGCAGGAGTGTTTATGACGATAAACGAGAAGAAAAGCAAGGCTGATTTAACATTGAAGGAACTTGATATAATTGCATTCTACCGTTCATTAACAGTTCTGTAGTTCGAAATCAATGCTTTAATAATAATTATACTCAGTAAGATCTCTGGACCGACCTGCCAAAAACATGGCGACAGTTTTCTGCGAGAGTGAAGGACAAATCCCACACTGTTGATCTTGATTTCAGTAAAAAAAAACACGGCGAAACAACAACAATATTTTGCGTGTTGTGTAATTTTAGAACCCTTAAGATCATTTAAGGCTTCGCGGGTATTCGCGGGAACTGCCCTTAAAACGCGGCTTTCTTTTAAGCAGGGATCAATTGTTTCTCTGCGGTTTACCACAAAATTTTGGAAAGGCTGTTTTAACGTTTCATACTAATGAGAAAGAAAGACAAAATCAAAGCAACTTTTAAAATTTGACGATGCAAGGTTTTAGTCATTGTGTTCCAAATCGTCCTGCAGTGTAGATTCGCAGCTTTTGCCCATTTCCGGTTGGCGTCGAGCTGTTGCGACTGTTTTCGCGCTGTCTGGCCCCATCTCGCCTATGGCCTGCTAAAATTTAATGCGCTTGAAGCCAGGGTAGATGCAAGCGACGCAAACATAAAAAAAAGTAAGAAGAAGACAATAGAAACTTGCTTGAATCTAATCGTTCCAAGATCCAATTCTAACTTATTAAATTTCCCCTCCCAAAGTGAGCCCAACAAAATCGGACTAACGTAAACTTCTCAGGGTCGATAGATTTCCGCTCTTAATTAACAACTTCATTCCAAATTTTCATTCTCACAGTTGTAATTCAGTTTCAATGAAAGCTATTAAGCAGTCCCACCCCGTCAGCTGATTTGTATTTTGTATTTTCTCAGCGTTCGCAAAATTATAATTTTCAGTTTGAATTTGAAAATTCTTCCGACTGTCGCCTATTAAAAAAAAAGATTAAAAGAATGGAATTATCCAATTAAAAGCTTATTTTTATCTCGAGCGTCAAAGCTGCTCTCACAACATACAACCCTTTTAACATTGCATGGTCTTCACATTTGTCACGCTAGTTAAACCGCAATTTGAGGCGAGGCTTCTAGAATTTCTCCGAGTATTTTCCCTCAGCGTTTGTAGATTTCGCGTACTGCAGGCACGTGTTGCAGTAAAAAAGCTTCTTTTCCCACGTGCTTTCAGTACGATTAAATTTCCGCTCTGGGTTAAACACAGGAATTGATTTCTTAAGACCACCGACTGACTTCTGAGTTTTAGTCATAAGCCTCTCAATTTTATCAAATATTATAAACTTTTACCGCGCATTATAGTTCCACTCCCACGTTTAATCATTTGGACAACCTTTTGGCATAACAAAGAACACATCACGTCATAAAACATTTAGGCTTTGGAAACGTTTCCTACAAGTTTGCTAACCGATACATGTCTTGCCTGTAACTAAGCTCGAGTTAACCATTGAAAAAGCTCATACATCAATTTATTGAGGTGATAAAACGCGCGAGTTGGAACCACATTTTAGAACGTGATATACAAAAAGATGACTTGTAAAATTGTTGGCATTGCATCAAAACTAGGTTATAATAAACCGGTAATAAAACTGTATTTTTAGGTGATGCGGTTGCCAATCCTTTCCTGTTTTACCCTAAAAGTAGTTTAGCAAACAATCGACTGTGTTTTTTTTTTAGTAGTTAACATAATTATCAACCAAAAAAAATAGTTTTTTCCTTTTTGTTTGTTTGTTTTGTATTTTTTCTTGGGACATCTCTTAATAAAGCATGTATTCTTTGATAAATTTTATCTTAATTTGAAAGTTGCTGTCAAAAACGTGGCAAACTTATAAGCCATCATAAATTTTGCAGTATGCAGAACGATATTGCCAGCCCTAGTAACAGTAAAATATTTGGAAGAGAACCTTGATACAACAAACCTTCCTTAAAGGAAACATATTTTGTCAATCCCTTAGCCCTTCGTTATATTGAGGTTCCACTGTAACCACATTTTTTTCCTTCTCTTCTGAACAGTGTCAAGGTTGCCAATCTTGTGTTCCAAAATGCATAGGACCTAAAGGTGATCGGGTAGGTACAGAGGCTTTTACAGGTGTTTTTCAGTTTCTTTAAGTTGTCAATAATAAAATCACTGCATTTTCCAGGAGAGTGAAAAAGCCATTTAAATGACATATTAGCTGTCATTTTTCTGATATGAGCAAGCAATAGATATTTTAAAGCTCCCCACCTTGTGAGCAGTCAATATTTCTCATTTATCTTTCTGACAAGTAAAATAAGTCAATTGTTTAGTGCACCTTTTGTCCTTGTAGTCTTAAGCTTACTCTGTGACATTTTGCGTTGATGGTTTTTCCTTGTCTCTTACCTAAAACAACACGTGAATCAGAAACACCACTGCTGAGGGAGTAAATTTGTTTTGGTGGGTAGGGCATGGTAGGTCTGTGGTGAAAGGGCTGGGTTTGTTCAAATACAGTCGACTCCTGATAACTGGAATCTTCTGGGGAAATCAAAAAGAGTTTGAGTTATCGGGAGTTTGAAGCAAATAACTGGAATTATACAGAAATAACCAAATGGATGGGGAGGGAATGCAAGTATCTTGCACACTTCAATCAATGAGCAGCAAGAGATTAGATTGATATTTTGAAAAAGGAATTAAGCAACAAAGATTGATTAATATACAGGGATGGGCACTGAATTTGAACTGGAGTGACAAAAAAGGAAAGACAAGTAATTGACATGGTTGTTTTGAAATAAGTTCAATGTTTCAGACTTCAGTACACTGTTTTTTTCTCAGCATGTTATGCACTTAAAACATGGTTCAAGTTAATCTATTCAGTTTAAAATTATATAGACGTGATCTGAAGGGAACAGAAATTACTTCGAGTTATTGGGAGGTTCGAGTTATTTAGGGTTCAAGTTACGGAGGGTAAAATTAAAGTAAAAGTATTTAGGAAATCCAGGGGAAATTGACTTTGGTTTGAGTTAGTGAGGGTTCGAGTTATTTGGAGTCAACTGTTGGTAGGATTCATGTGGTCCCCAAGAATACAGTACCATCTTTAATTAAAAGTTCTGGTCTTCATGCAGTTGTTTCACAGTATACTCTTTGTACAAGTTTTTGTCTACCAGGTTCTAATTTGTAGCCTGCAAGCAAGATTTGGGAATTGAAAGTGAGCCAGGAAATATTGGTGCAGGAAAAACCCCACCCTTTTGCCTCGCTTTGCTTGCCAGTATCCTTCACTTCTCTTGATTTTGCGACAAGTTGCTCTGACTGAATCTGACTTGACTTTTTGGCTAAAATAACAGCATTTAACTGTTTATTTGACTTTTCAATTTAGGGTCAAAGAGGAAGAACTGGAGAAACTGGGCCCCCAGGTGTACCAGTAAGTAAATAATAATCATTACAGTGTTCACACACTTTTTAGGAGTATTAATTCACTTTCTTTCCATGATCTAGCCTGCGCCAGGCTTTCGGTCAGTATGCACTAGTAAAAAAAGTGAATGAGCAAAGAAATAGTGAACAAGCAAAAAACAGCAGGGAGAGAGAAGGGAAGAGCTTGTAAGCATCTTTTCTAATACATCAATTGACCCACTACCCTGACCACTGAGGAACCATACATTTCTAGTGTCAAAATGTCAAATAACGACGTGTCAGAAGCAGGGTTGTGAAAAGAAGCCAGCTGCTGGCAAAAATCACCACCTACTTCGTTAGTATTGGCCAGCTAATCTGCTTGGCATTTCTTTACGGATGGCATTTTTTAAATAAAATATCCCTGGACTGGCCGTTTACTTTGACAACTCAGCTGTCTACTTCAAAACTTTCTGACAACCCTGCAAAAGGTGCAGTGTATAAGGGTTTTTATGCTTGACATGTTTGCTCTGAGTGCATAAAGCCAAATGATTGGCGTACGTGTTGAAGTGATGGTCCCATTTGCCAATCATAGGGTGGTTGTATATGGGAGCTGGTATACTGGAATAAGCTATTAAAAAAAATGTTTACATGCTCCACCACTCTATCTCTCCCCAACCCCTCGCAGTCATTGCACAACTTTTCGCAATCCACTATCTTGGAACCTGGAACAGGCTACATGTATCTCTAACGCTTTTTTCACGTTAAACCTTAATTCAATGAAGAGTTGTTTTACAAATTCTGTCCTTAATTACAAATTCTGTCAGAATAACAGCTGTTAAGGCACGTTTTAACTTGCTCAATTTTTTCATGTTTTCAGATTTTTTGCCTAGTTTCTATTCTTAATCAGCATGTTAATAAGTGATACAATTCCCAGAAACTCATCCATGGCTTCACAAGGCCATGCCTGAAAAACGGAGGGTTTAAAATGCCACGACGTTTCAGGTCTTTTTCTATGATCAATAAATCCTAAATATATTTTTTACTGCAGTATTTTACTAGTTGGATGTTAAAAGGGAAGATGAACAAAGTAAACGATATTCTTTGATAAATGTACCCAGATGGTTAAATCGAAGTTTTTCGTACAGCATGCCCCTATTTTGCAGTGATCAGAAGCTTAACTTAAGAAAACAAATGTTCAAAAAGTGTAACATGTCTAAAGATCCAAAAACAGCTGATAAAAATTAAAGTCTTGAGCTTAGCTACGTAAGAATGGCAGCTTGTTTACAATCACCAAGTACATTTACAAAGTAAACTTCCTAGCTCTCTTGTATTTTCTAGGGCTATCCAGGACCTGAAGGTCTTTCTGGGCCAAGAGGCTATAAGGTAACTGAGGTTAAATTGACATTCAACGTTAACTGATCGATCCCCAAGACAAATGTATGACCAACAAATCTACCGTCTTCTTGTCACAGGAATGAACGGATCTGAATAGCTGTTAGTTTGAATCAATGCCTATGATATTCTAGCCTTCGATGACGTTAAAGGAAGAACGAAGAAGCTAGAAAAACTTACACAAGTTCAATGCTTGTCAGCTTATCAGCTGTTCCCGCTCCTTTTTGACATCCAGGCTTGGCTACAATGTTCTTGCATAACTTAAACATGGCGGACGTGAAGCTGTTTTCGTGGAGAGTTTGCCATCTCTCCAGACATTTTGCTTGCCAAGTCATGACTTCAAGATCTTTCTTTTTCAGGGAGACAGAGGAGAAAATGGTCCAAGGGGTGAAAAAGGAAATAGAGTAAGAAAATCATTTTAATTTTAAGCAGTTTATTTCAGATTCAGCTGATCGCTCAACTTTGATTATTCAATTCAATACAGCTGAGTTCTTTCATGTAATAAACAAAGGTAAGTTGTGAGAAATTTAGTGGCAAACATTTTGCAACGGTTTTTGTTTTATTCATTTTGACAGGGACAACTTGGACCTCCTGGTATGCCAGGTCAAAATGGCAATCCGGTAAGTATTAAACATGTCTAATTCTGGTCTACTAAGTTTACATTAAGCTAAAGTTTAATTGTAATTAAACTTAAGTATAAAACAAATCTAATATAACTTTATTAAATGATTTTTTCACTTTATTTCGTGCTTTTATGGACAAAAAATTAATATAATAAACTAAAAAATTAGTATAGATTGGGAAAAATGGTGTGGCATTGACATGCAATAAACACCCACTAATAAAAATTTGGCACTTTGATACTCAAAAATATGAGAACCTGTTTAGCCAAGCAAGATCAAGCATGTTCTTGTAAGTGGGTTATGGTTTTTACAATAAACAGTTTAACAAACAACCCTCAAAGTTAAAATTTTTGTTCAGTGGCCATTTGGCGATCAGCTCTTTGGGTTTAGTCGCCAGGGGAAAGTTTTAGGCGCCAAATTATAATAGTAACTTAATATATCAAAATTGTCATTAACAAAAGCAGTTAACAAGTTTAACTTAAAATGCAGCACTGTCATATAAATTACTCGTTTATTGTGAATAAGGTTTGCAGATTCATCTCCTTAAATCAATACCGAAACGGAATTGTAAAGACAATTACCATTTCCATATGTTTTTAGGGCCTTCAATCCTTCTGTATAATCCCCAGTTGGTATATGAGAGCAGAACTTAACTCATCCTCTGTTAATGTGTTTAAAATTTCCCAGTCGCAACTTGATAGGCGACCTATTTTTTTTTCCTGATATTTGTTTCGCATTTCTTTTGCGACTTTTGTTGATGATGAACTTGTTTCCCCAACTAACAAATATTTTTGGAGATTTAAAAGGTCGTTTTTAATATCGCTAGACATTGCAAAAGCCTGACAAAGGCAGGAGAGTATAGGAAGATTGACAAGTTTTCTAAATCAAATCATTGCTTTACAGAGATAACATGTGAAAATTTTGCAACGAGTTGTACTGGGAAAAAATGTTTCTCCCAATCAATTGAAAGGAACCCAAACAAAAATGCCGCTTATGAAATAATAAATTTTCTTTTTCCTTTATCATCGCTACGGGTGTTTTAAAAAAACATTTTTTGCAACAACCATAAGCTGTCAGTTTTGCGATGTTTAGATTCGCTTACAATTATCGCTTTTGTTTACAAAACCGCGATTCAACTTGCAGCACGGTTCACATGTTATGGTTATCACATAATCTTCTGTGTTGAATTTGCACCAATTTAGCTTTCCCTCTTCATATTATTAGATTGTTTCAGTATTGATTCAAAAATATTTATAATATGTAGTCCAGTTAAAAAACCACCGAACTTGGCTAGACAAGCATTCCTAAGATATCGAAGAAATCGTCACTGTCGACAAGCAAGGCGCTTCGACTGCGTGCCATTTGTCACATGTCAAAAGTGAAAATGTCACGTGCAAGGCAACAGACTGAAGGCGATTAGGCGAATGAATGCAAGTCAAGTTGCATTGATGTTCATTTTCAAAACGCTTAGCTCTGAGACTTTTTTAAGTTTTCAATTTAACATGTTTTTCAACGGAAAAGTAAAAAAGTAATGGAATTCGAATCAGCTAGAATAAATGTTCTTTATATTTCAGTAGAAGTGATTACCATTTCTGTTTCTTTTCGCCACAACACGAACCTATTCTTCACGGTCGCCAGCTTGGTGACTATTCTCCAAATCAAGTCGCCAGTTCCAAAATTTTAGGCGCTATGGCGACTAAAATGGTCGCAACTTGGAGGGTTGACAAAGGAGTGTAATTTTGAGTTGTAAATTTAAGTATATCAAGAACATACTGTAGTAAACCGTATATGAACTGAGTAAACAGTTTTGTTAGGGTTATAGTAATACAATTGTCAATAAATAAAAAGTTTATTTGTTTTTTTGGTAATCAACAATGTATTATCTCCTTAAGTTATATGTTGACAGATAAAATAATGATAATGATAATGATAATGATAATAATAATAAGAATATTTCCTATCGTATAGGGAATGCCAGGGGAAGATGGCCCAATGGGCATGATGGGAGATCCTGGCTGTAATGGAACAAAAGTAAGTAGTATATAGTAACTTACATATAAGCACATTTTAATGTTGGTATTCAGCAGGCAAAGTTGATGCTAATCAAATCCTTGGTTAGAATGTTAGCTTTCTTAACTTTTTTCTTTTATTCACCTTTGGTTCTAGGTCTTCTAGTGCATGTAAACGCCCTCAAATTTTTTCAGGAGAACCCTTAGGAGTGAAGCTCTAGTTTACAAATCATATTTTTTTCAGAACAGCCATTCTACAGAAATTATGCAACATTAGATTCTCATACAAAAACTGTAATTTCTCACGCATTTGCTTACTTGTCAAGATGGTGTCGAAAACCGTGACAAGATCTATTATGATGAGTATTCTTTCTATGGTTGAACCTCTGCTAAGGGCCATCTCTTTGGAACGGCCACTTTTTTTTGTCTCCATCCATACATTAGGGCCATTTATATGAGGAAAAATAAGACGCGAACTGTACCATTTATACGAGCATGTCTTTTCTAATAAGACGCATCTTAGCTAAGCGGCGTCTTATTTTAGACGAAATGTGCCGTTTATATGGAAAGTTCGCGTCTTATATTTTCTCGTATAAAGGGCCCTATTGACTCTTGTTAAAAAACTCTCTACAACTGCCCCGACTTTACAATGGCCACTTTCCTCTGTCCCCAAGATGGCCGTTGTTGAGAGGTTCAATAGTATTTCATTTCCTTGATAAATGCATGCTTCTAGCACTCATGGTTGATACTTTTTTAAATGATAGGGTGAAAGAGGTCGTGCCGGTAGTCCTGGAAACCCTGGGGTCAAAGGAGAAAAGGTAAAATCAGAATACCTTACTTGACAAAATGCCATCCTTGAATAAGCACCACACCCTTCAGCAACATTGTCTCCCCAAATCTAAATAAATATAATGGAAATAACAGCAGATAGTTAGTGGTGTAATGGTTAATCAAATTCTCGGTTAATCGCAATTATGATCATTCAGTTTGATTCACGATTCTATACTTTCATGTTTTACTTTTGGTTCGATTTTTGCAAACCTTTTCCAGGGTGCCTGCAGTGAGTTATTATATTGTAAAATCAGAATGTGGAACTCTTTAAAATGTGCGTTTTTGATTGACAAGCAAAGACGATAGAGGCTTGTGCGCCTTGTTGTCTTGCCTAGTAAAATTCTGTCCTTCAACCACCCCTTGAGAATTCCCAAATTAAGGTAAACCATGTGCAACATGCTTTTTGTCAGGTTCTCAAACATGGCGATAAATGACCAAGCCACTGTGAATCCTCCTGTCGCTGTTACTATTCACAAATTGAGGGTTTAGGGTTGCATGTTGTTTACATTATGCGTTATGTCATAAGAATTAAGAAACATTTACGTAATCGAATCGAAATAATCAAAATCAAAAGGCAATAATCAAAATCAAATCGAATTGCAAGGAATATGAATCATTACTTCCCTAGTAATAGTTTCCGCTGATAAATTATGATAAATAGCAATATAAAAAGCTTATTATTGCAAGCAGTCATTTTTTTTTACCTGAGGAGTTCAAGTTCTCCAATATTTTTTTTCCTGTTTTAGGGCTTTCCTGGAATTCAAGGCATACAGGGTGAAAAGGGATCGTCTGCTACTGAGGTTGTTGGTGCTAAGGTAAGCTGACAAGCTCTCTGTATAATCTAGTTACTGTTTACTCATGCCTGTCCCTTCTCCTTTACCATAATTAACCATCAGGGCCCAGTTGCTCGAAGCATGGTTAGCGTTAACCAGCGTTTAATACCATGACAACGTATTGATTTGATACTGCTTAACCAATGGTTAACGCTAACTATGCTTCGAGCAACTCAGCCCAGGGGGGAAAGAAAAACATTTTCACCAACAGAACCAAGGTGATCGCTTTGTTTTCAAAAGAATTCCATGTTCTTCAGAGTCTATATGTTGTCTTGTAATTTCTTAAATTGCCATAATAAAAATCGTGAACTAGAAAATTAATGGTAAAATTGAAAAGTGTTTTGATCTGTACCGCCATCAGGGCACGTAGGATTTCATTGGATGTTGTGTGATAACTGACTTTTATTTTCTGCTCAACCTGTGGTACAAATTGTATTTGTATCTTGATTTTTTTATTTACAATTTTTTTGAAGGGTGATAAAGGACTCCCTGGACCTCCAGGAGACCCTGTAAGTATTATCGTCATGTTTTATAGTGTTAGTGACTTACAATAGAGTTAAATCAATTGGTCACAGAACATTGTTAATGACTTAGTTCTTTTCAAATTATCCTGTGGTTAATAGCAGTAGTTCAGGGCCCTGTGGCAGAGATGCCAACCTCTGGAGACCTAAAATCGGGAGACTGTCTTTTTTTAACTACCCCCCCCCCAAAAAAAAAATTGACCCAGCCCCCAATGGGAATGACTTAGGACATTATAATATGGCGTCTTACATGATGTACATACTATCAAAATTCGAAATCATCATTTTGATGCTAGAAATAATCTTTGTCAATGACTAAATACGTGCAAAAATGCCCCAGAAACCGTACTGCGAATAAGAAAAATTCAAGTTTTGAGCTAAAAATGGGCTAAATCTCAAACTAAGTCTGTTTTTTTTACTAAGTAGTCAATATTTATAGTGGATGTAAAAAGCGGGAGAGTGGGAGACGAGGCAAAAACGCGTAAGTCTCCCGCCGAAAGCGGGAGAGTTGGCATCACTGCTGTGGGGTTGGTGGGAGGGGAATACACTGTACTCATTCTTAGAATTTTAAGTGGGGAGTGTGCCTGGAATTTGAACCCTTGGCTTTCCTCTACAAGCATATGTTTACCAAACAATGTTCATTTAAAATTTTGCCACCAGATTAACTATGAACAAGAACATTACATTTTCTAACACTTTTCCATGACAATTTTCCCGTAAGTGATTTCTACTTTACACCAAAACTCTTATTTCTCCACCCCATTTCAGGCTAAGCTCCTGAGAACCTTACCTTTCACATTGGCATATTCCTATATTAGGCATACATTGGCATATACCTATATTAGCCCAACATTGGCATATACCTATATTAGCCCAACATTGGTATGTACCTATATTAGCCCAACATTGGCATGTACCTATATTAGCCCAACATTGGCATATACCTATATTAGCCCATAGATGGAAATGGCCTCTCTACTTGTTGTCAGAGTATTACACTTCAACTCCCAACAGGATTTTAAGCTCATTTTTTCTCCCATGTTTGTGGCATCCTTAATACTACATGACCAAGCCTCTAAAAATTACATTTTTGGTCTCTTTACATGTATCACCTTTTTATTTCTAATTTTTTTTCTACAGGGAATGCGTGGGGACCCTGGAAGTCCTGGATCACAGGGACCTAAAGGAGACAAAGGTGCAAATGGAACTCAGGGACCGATTGGAGAAAGAGGAGAGAAGGTACTAATGCACTTGATTTTTTAAAGGAAAAGGTGTGAATGAAAGCCCGTCTTGAATCACCTACAGTACTTGAAGCTTTTAAGTCACACAGAGCTTCTGATATTTCGTGCAGTCACGGGGCCACGAAATTCACGTAAATCCACAAAATACCACGAAATTCACAAAAACACGCAAAATACCATGAAATTCAGTAGAAATCTTATCAAATACATGTCTGTACAACATATTTGAAACTTATCTCAGCTACTGGGGCTGTTTACTTGCTGTAAACTTACAAATTTGTCTTGAAACTTTGTCACTGAAATGTGCAAACAATGTCCCGAAACTACCAGTTGTAGATTATGTTGCGAAAAACTGGGCACTAGCCATGATGTTACAGTCAAACCAGGTCAAGCGTTCCCGTTGCTAACAAAGTAATGAATTCATTAATGGCAAAATGATTTCGTTTGTTGATTCAATAATCCATTCATAAAATGAATAATCCAACAGTCAAATTGGACCTTGATTCGATAATTAAATGTTGATTTGGTTTATGAACAAAATCTACCTGTATTTGCTTCCCTTTTCCTGCCGTATACGATTGGGTTTTTTATTGCCTTTAATCAAAATAACAGCTAGAATAGACAGACCGCAAATGCAAAGAAACTGACAAAAGCCAGGGATCGAAATCCATCAATCATCGCACATACACTGACCTTAGTTTGACCATCCTGTTTTCTAAGAGGTCAGGGGTCTGTTGCACTGATTACTGGCAACAAAATGGCGTACATGTAACAGTGTGTTTGGGTTTGAACTTCAGAACTTGCCTGCACTCGACCCTTAGAAAAAAAGAAGAAAAAACAAAATTCTTTGGTTGACTTGCGGAAAGTGTAGTTTTTCAAAAAACGGTAATCGAATCAACATTTGATTATGGAATCGAGGGTAAATATGAATATTTAATTGTTCATTTTATGAGTGGATTATTGAATCAAGGAACGAAATCATTCTTCCGTTAATGATTTCATTAGTGCATTAGCGACGGGAACGTTTGACCTGGTTTGACTGTAAAGGCTTTGCTATTGGTTCATTTCTGGAGGCTGCATATTGTTGTTGAAAGAACAAATGATGACCTCTGTTAGAAAAACGTTAAAAACACTGGTCTCATCAGCGCAGATCCAATCGATTTCTAGCGAAATTTGCCCTGAAAATAACCACAAAATCGGCTGTTGTCTACCGATTGCTTTTTGGCGAAGTTTGCCTCAAAAATTCCTGCAAAATTCCCGCGAAATTGGCTGATTTGTCCTCGAATTTATCACAAAAAGTCCTGCAAAATTTGACTTTTTTTTCTGCGACTTATCAGACGCCCTGGTCACAAGAGTGATCAACATCAATTATCTTCTAGCAATACATGATAAGAACAAAAGGTCATGAGAATTAATAGAACAATTACCAAAGGGCAAATGCTTTGATCCTGTATCAAATTCTCTCAACATTCTCTAAGGAAATGTATAAAGATCAGTCTGGAGAATTTGTATGTGGATATTGGGGCTTAAAAGGTCAACATTGTCCTTACTTGCAGCCATAACCCTATGACACATGTCTGGCATAACTCCTTTGGAAATATTAATGTAGATCATGCCATTTCTGAGTCATTTGTCACAGATTTGATTCTCATACAATGCGATGTGTGTGTTTAATGCATCAGTTATTAACACTTTTTATAATGACTTGTTTTTATTCCTTTACAGGGAGCTATGGGCATTGCTTTTAGGGGTCCCTCAGGAGATAAAGGTGAAAAGGGTGTGCCTGGACAGAAGGGACAACCAGCTTCAATTGGCGAAATTGGCAAATTGAATGACACGACCATCATAAAGGTGAGAGTGAATAATTATGGCTGGGTGAGGGCGAGCAGAGTATCGCAATTTGTGAGCTCCATGACACCTTGAGTCACATCTACAAACCTGTAAATTAAACCCTCCAACACATTTTTCCATTTTAACCAGAATAATTGGAAGATATATACACCATTAATTTTGTTTAATCAAGCTCACCCAATGAGACATCATCAAACCCTGGATGAGGTCATCAATCCCTGTGACCTCACTAAATGACAATAGGTCGAGGATAGGTCATGGTTGTAGCCATAGGAGCTGTTCCAATTGAAGTTTGTCTATGCTGCACCCATTGTATTTTGAGGGTTATTACAGTGTCCTTCCCAAGTTTAGTGGAGGTATAAATTGCGATATTTAACCCGTCCCTTGAATATTTTTAAATGTTTCAAGAACTATTTCTCAATTTTATTATCAACTGATTGGAAATATTCTTTTTTTTCCAGGGTGCACAAGGTGAAAAAGGAGAGAAGGTATCAAATATGTTCTTTATCGACTGTTGAAAAAAATCAAAATTTTCATTCTGGGAAGTGAGATTGATTAACTTTTCTTGCACTGTTCTCTATTTTCTTACTTTCTCTCTTTTTCATGCCCAGTATTCTGAGGGGCAAACGTTTCTGTCTACATGGTGGGTCCAAACCACCCCTCAAATGTTGCATGAGTGCTACATTTATGTATTTCTTACAATTTTTGTTATTAGTAAACCCAACTTGCTTGATGGACTACGATTAACCCTTTAAGCCCTGAGAGTAATCAGCATCAAATTTCTCCTTGTAATATCAATGCTTTGTATAACACAGTGGTCATGAGAATTACGGACATGATCAGACAAGATGAATTTGATTGGTATTTCATCAACTTCTGCCCACTACTTCTGTAGGAAATGAATTAGGGCAACAAATGAGAATTTGATTTTTGATCTCAGGGTTTAAAGGGTTAATGACCGGAAACTTTTTGGGATCTTTTTAGGTAGAAGTACAAATTGTGATGTCATACTGGCTGATGTCGTCAAAATGGGGAAAATTGTTTCTTTTCACTTTTCAAAACTTATATCATCTTTAAGAGTGTTAGAAGTGGTGCAAAACACTGAAAATGGCTTTGCGGTATGAGACGTATGAGCGGAGTTATGGGACTTGGAAAATATTTTAGTGTGCCCCACAGTTCCATAGTTTTTCTTAAAAAACGACTGCTCTGATATTTTTTTTACAGTTGTAAACAAAATAAGCTGATTTTGTGATACCAAACCTTTCATTGTGGTCTAAAATCAAATGATTTTAGATTTTCATTTTTTGACTTAATAATGCTAATTTAGGCTGTACAAAAAATGATCATGTGACATTTTCTGACATCACAAATTCATTTTCCAGGATTCTGCACAGTTGGAAATTTCTTTTTTTCAAGGTTTTTTTTTCTTTTAGCTTTTGACAGTCAAGATGTTTTATAGGCACCTTAAATAGCAAGGGGGATTTGACAAGAAAACACTTAAATTTAGAGTTAGTTCCTGAAGGGGGGTTTCCAGCTTTTGTTCTACAAATTTATCGAAATTCAAACTGCTATACACTGTATCTCAGCTCTTATATGAGATATTGCAAAATTTTTTTCAGCTTTCAACTCCCTTTTATCAGATCTTTCAGAAAAAACCAAAAACATTGGGAGATTCAAAAATTTAAAATTGACGTAATTATGACGTCAGCAAACATGAAATCATAACTGAATATTTCAAGACATGCTAACAACTAATTTCATTGGCCTGGCATTTTGCATTTCCAGGCCAACTTTTGCGAAAAAACTTAAAAGCCAACAAAGTTATTGTAAAATAACACAACCACCCACGCATTGATGCAACACTTAGGGGGTTGTTTGGCTCCACCGTGCTTGCTAGAAAACGAATAACTGCACCTAAAGCTATTTTTTAACATTTTGGCACCATTTTGTTTCAAAGTGCAGGTTGCATAATAACTGAATAATATCTTGAGAGTAAATATCTTGTTTTTATTTAAGGGTGACAGAGGAGAAGATGGCCCACAAGGAGACAAAGGTGACCAAGGAAATCCTGTAAGTATAAAAGAAACATGCTATGCAGTACGTTGTTCATCCAGTATGCCCAGAATCATACACCCATGCATGAAGTCAAATTTGGAGTTTATTAAATAAATTTATCATTCATTCAAAATATTTTTGCATTTCTGATTGGTTAAAATCCCATACATAAATCATCGTAACAAGCTATTGTCGATACGCAAAAATGACATCAAATGTGCAGCATTGCCAGAAAACTGAACAGTTAACCGAGAAGACCTGGCGACAAAGTTGAGTTGTTTTGGTAGTGAGTACAAAATGGCGGAACATTTCAATCATTTCATGAGGAAGAAATAGGTGAACTATTGGCTAAAAACATAGCAAGACAACTCGATGGACGACATCTGCTATTTGGAGATTCTTTCCAGAACTGAACTACCCTTTGTCTCTTAAACTTGCTGATAAACATGCACTATCGAAGATGAACTTAACATTGATGGAGGTAAGCATGTTTTAGCTTGTTTTTAAGGTAGGAATAATTGATTTCGGCTTTCGTCCATGTGTCATCTTACGAATTATGGAGATCTCAGAGGGTGTTATCCGCCTCAGCCGATAACACCCTCCTCAATCTCCATAATTCTTTAGATGGTACCCAGCCTTGTCCAATAATAATTCTGTATGATTGAACACTGTACCAAATCAGAGCTATGTTCTAGCTGTGCCTGCTTACTTTTGCTCTTTGGTGGCTAGGAAATCTCAGGTTTTGCGTAGAAATCATATGCTGTGCACCATGGATTTCACAGGTTGAGAACATTAAGCTCCCTAGAATTTTTCTCAGAGCAATACCTTGGAAATTAAATTCTCCGGAGGAATACTGTTAAAAATTGCGTTTGCCACTCAAAGAAACCAATTTTATTATTAGCTCTTTTTTAATAATGGCTAAAATTCAAGAAAAATGTCCTGGAGCCTTAAATTAATTCTGAGTGTCATCACGCCAATCACGAATTTAATCCAGTGATGGTTAGCTCAAAAGCTATGCCTCACAAACCAGTACATGCTTTACCGCAAACCATTAATTCTTTCTTTACTTTTTTTAAGGTTTTATTACTGATACGCAGATAGCATGTAAAAAGAACAAAGTGTTGGTTAAATTTGTGACTTCCAACCAAGAACAAATCAATCTAGTGTTGAGGGTGGGGCTTGAACCTTTGGGCTTCCTGTCCACCTCTCTAACCTCTTGGAAACTCTGTCTTCACATAAATCCATTTACTGAACCAACTGTTAAAAAAGAAGAGACTGTTATCTGTCTAATTTAGCTTTAATTTCTTTCTCAGGGGCCAGGTGGTATTCAGGGAGTCACAGGAGTCAAAGGTGATCGAGGGGAAAAGGGAGAAACAGGTCAAACTGGTGTTAAGGGTGAAAAAGGAAGCCCAGGAGAACAGGTAATGAAAAAATTGAGAATCTCCTGTGCCCTTTACAATGTCTTTTTGCAGGTGACCAGAGGAATACACAACCCTTACACGTACAGTGCAGGCCAGAATAAAGCAAACAATGCAGACATGACGCAGACGCATGGACGCCTCAGCTCAGATGCATCGACACGTCAGCACTGACGCGTACATGCGTCAGACGACACGTCAAGCAGGGAAAGATTTTTCTTTTGTTATGCAGCATTACAGCTTTGCTTTGTGTGGCATTGTTATGTTAAACAAAATAAATTCTCAGGTCTGAGGTAGCCCAATAATTCCCTGTTTAAATAAGCGCATGAAAGACATAAATCGAGATAAATTTGGCAACATGGGTTCTACTTCTTATGCATTTATACGCCAGAAGAGCACCAGCCATTTTTGGAGACTTGAAAATAAGAGCCTACATTTTAATAAACAGTAACTGTATCTGTGTCTGAATTAATGAATGAGTGAATGAAATACAGCAAAGAACCAGGGCTCCTAGCCTGTCAGTTAGTAGATTTTCTTGTTGGGCAAGTAACTTTTAAAGCTTACGTGCCTACTGGGCACTAATCCAGGTGATTCATCCTTCAAGATCATTAACTAAGATGGACAAGTGGCCCTGATCAAGCATAATGAGTGAACTGCTCACCCAAAGGACAAGCTGAAATTTGAGTTTTTTACTTTCCCTGAGAACCCAACCTGATCACACACATTTGGACCTTCTATCACTTGTTACTTCATTGTGTGCATTTTGACCTTCCATCCTGTGAAACTTAATGCAAAGCACAGTATTGGAGCAAGACTGTTTTGACCTTCAATTTAATCTCTTATGCACTTCCCAATTTTTAGTTATTGATAGTCGTTAAATATTAAGAGTTGATGTTCATATGTGAGCTTATATGGGGTACTTGCTAATCTATTGCATTATGTATGTGTAATCCAACGGGAAACATTTAAGTTTGGTTTTAGCAAGTGAGTCAAGGAGTTGTGGAAGAGGTGTTCATGTAGCGCACTATTTAGACTTGTCATGTCCTTCTGTGTTTATTTCACAGGGCCCAACTGGTCCGAAAGGAGATGTAGGCCCACCTGGGAATGCAGGTCCCAATGGACAGACCGGGGAGCCAGGGGATGCCGGTCCTGAAGGGGATAAGGGAGAGCGTGTAAGTATGAAGTGAAATAAAAATTATGTCCTTTGATTTGGAAGAAAATAATAATAATAATAATAATAATAATAATAATAATTGATGATTGAACTTGATAGTGACAGCAGTGGCAGCAAAAGTATCACTTCTTTAGTACATTTGTGCGAAGTGGAGAGCAGTCATTGAGCGCCATAACCTGGAACACCTGTTACAGCTGACCTCACTTGATTTTACCAGTGATCAAAGTGGAAAGCTCAAGATGACACTGTCAATTTTTTTGTGAGATGTACAGCTGATTCAGAACTTAATGACATCCCTGTCATATGATAGCTTCAGAAAGAGAAGGAAGCGCATTTCATGATGTAGTTATGCAATACAGAGTTTTTTATGCTCATTTGCTCATTAACCAATCTATTGTTTTTGTCATGTTATCCTTAATGTCATCATCTTGCTGTTACTGTAAATTGTAACCTTTTTTTGTAAGCTTTGTGTAACCTACATTATTGTAGGTCTACTCCACACTGATCAAAATCGAAGTTAAAAGGGACATCTAGACTTGGCTAGGCTGTCAAGTTAGCAGTCCCTGTCCATGGCTTGCACAGTGTTGAAAAGATCTTGATTTTAGGGGGAGTCCTTGAAAAGTCCTTGAATTTTCTTCAATGTTGAAATTAGTAACCTGAAAAGTGTTTTTTAACGCTTTTTGGTTGTCAAAGACAGAATATAAATCATAGCTCAGAGGTGTTTTACATAAAGCGCTTTTTGTTTTATGCAATAATTAACTATCAATTTAAGACAAAATGAAAAATGTAGAGAAGTTAGTGGAGCAAACAGTTCAAGCCGTAAAGTCCTGTTGGAAATGGACTGGGAATGTGTATGTTATGTTTGGGAAGTCTGTGAATTTACATTCGTGGTAGGTGGCCCTTGAAAATGAAAATGTGGACCTTGAAAAGTCCTTGAAAAGTCTTTAAAAAGTGGTTGCAGTTTTTTGTATGAACCCTGCTTGTCTTTGTCATCCTCATCCCGGTTGCCTTTTAGGGCCAAAACGGAACTGGTCTACCTGGACCTGATGGAGATAAAGGTGACACAGGACCCGTCGGCTTACCTGGAAAACAGGGAGCTAAGGGTGACATTGGACCCCAAGGGCCAACTGGTGGGCCAGGAGAACCTGGACCCAAAGGGGCCCAAGGTGATGCAGGACCTGTAGGACCTCCTGGAGGCTCTGGATTACAAGGTACATGTATGGTTCTTCAGTCATCTTACAGAGCCTCTTTACAACCCCAATTTGTGGTTCGGCTTGACTTGGCCTCCAGGTGTGTGTGAGAATAAGGGTTGGGAGACAAAGGAGATTGAGAATTGGCATAGGTTAAAAAATTTCAACTTGAATTTGATTTTGACCCACAACAACAGATCATTTTGATGTCATTTCTATTGTCGATAAGAGTACAGATCATGGAAAATTGTTGTTTATTTGTTGAATCCCCCAACCCCCCATTTACAAACAAATGAGGCCAGGATTTGTTAGGTAACACAACATAAATTTGAGGGTTGGACTCGTCAGTGTGTTCATGTATTTTCTTATTGCTGTACTCAGGTGAACCTGGCATGAAAGGCCCTTCTGGTAAACAAGGACCACCTGGAGTGCAAGGCCCTGCTGGTGAGAAAGGGGCACGTGGCGTCTCCATTCAAGGCCGTCCTGGTATGGATGGAGGCAGGGGTGATAGAGGAGAAACAGGTGAAAAGGGTGCGCCAGGACCTCCTGGACCTCCAGGTAGGAATTTATTCAATTAGGCAATTAACAATAATATATAGATTTAGCGCGGGCTAAAAGCGAAGCTCTCGATAATATTTATACCTTATTATAGGAAATAAACGCTCCATGAAATTAAGGTATTGGAAATTAACACGACTTAAATTAACGCGAATTAATTTATTAATGGAAAACGACTTTGTTTTGCACGACTGCAACGTGAAACTTCCAGAAACTTCTTAGTTACACGTTGTACACGTTTTTTTTGTCGTACGTGTTCTCGTTGTTCACTATTTTTCACTGCTGCTCATTTTCACCTTGCATTAGTGGCCACTAGCATTTCCCATTTTGTCACCGCAGCTACAAAATTTTCATGTTCTTCAAACAAAAAAATGTCTCCTTTGTTTTTTATCTCGTGTTCTAGACCTCCAGCTCTGTCGCCCTTTTTCTCGTTGAGCTTCGCTGGCCTGCTGCCTGCTTTCTCTTTTTCTCTGTCTTTCTCCTGCTCTATATTCCAAATTTGTGGACATGACAATTAATCTAAACTAAATACTTTAGACAACATGGATACAGAAACAATTTCCGCTTTCCGTTTTCGTCTTTATTGACTCATCAGTTGTCTCTGCTTTACAAGATGCCAGTGGCTATGCGATTTCCCGCCAAAATAACCTCGACTTACATTTGGGTTCCTACACCTGTTGATTGAGGGTGGATTTCAATTAAGAAATCCAAATCCGGATTTTTTGGATTTCCCTTTTTGTCGTTCGATTGGGAAATCCGAAAAAGGACTTGCTAAACTGTTCTCGTGAACAGCGGACTATCTTGTGCTAATTATGCGTACAATAATTAGCACAAGATAGTCCGCTGTTCACGAGAACAGTTTAGCAAATCCTTTTTCGGATTTCCCAATCGAACGACAAAAAGGAAAATCCAAAAAATCCGGATTTGGATTTCTTAATTAAAATCCACCCCTAGGACGGATTTCTCGGAGGTGAAATCCGTTTTCGGATTTCGCGTTCGATTGGGAAATCCGGATTTAGATTTTGAAAATCTAAATCCAAATTTCCCAATCGAACGCACCCTGAGTTATTTTACATTGGTATGCCTGTGGTGCGGAGGGACGGTCAGGCGGGCGGTCGGTCGGTGGTTGTACAGTCACGTGATTACCAAATTTTCTCGGATGGGTAGATTACTTCATTTTCTTACCCATGGTGCTCCGCTGGCGCGCTTCGTGCACGAGAGTCCCGCTATTTTTGGACGAAATTGATCAAAATATAATGATTTGTCAGGGGCAAGCGGATCAATTATTCAGCTGAGGCAAATAACTGATCTGTGAGACGCTTACAAATCATGATATTTTGTGATAACTGAGTTCAATAATTGTTTTATCATTTGGTAACGGAGTTTATTTTTTAATGAATATCTTCGGGAAGTGGTAAGCAAGCACTGCCTTATAGGAGTAATGACAGAGATACAATGGTTTCCTTCTCAATTCAATTATTTATTCTTTTGACTTTAAATTGTAAATATAGTTGACCATTACAAACCAAAGGTATTCGTCAATTAAACTCAGTGAAGAATTTTAGAACAAGTTTACAGTTTTTAAGGACTTGAAATCTATAAAAAAATGGGTAATGTATTCACAAGAAAGAGAAAAGTGTGGTTTCATTTACACATGAGCAGAATATTATTTGCAGCCAAACCAGTTGGATGATGTTGGGCATGAGCAGACCATTATTTGTAGGCAGTTAATTGAAAGTCACAAGGTGGGCTCTTGGCCGTTAAAAGGGGAGAAAAAAATGCATTGAGTGATAATTAACAATTATTGGACGAGGCTGAGTATCATATGAAGCATTATGGAGATCAAAGAGGGTGTCATCGGCCGAGGTGGATAACACCCTCCCAGATCTCCACAATCCTTCACATGATACGAAAGTCGAATTCAATAATTGTTTTATTTTTCTTTCAAAAATGATTCCTAGTTTGTAAACAAGGTAAAGCACGCTTACCTCCATCGATGTTACAAAACTGTAAGTTCGTCTTCAGTGGTGCATGTTTATCGGCGAGTGTAGGAGATAAAGGGTTGTTCAGTCTGCAAATATTCTCCAGTCCGTTGAGTTGTCTTCTTGCTGTTCTTGCTATGTTGTCACCAGTAGTTCGCCTATTTCTTCCTTGTGAAACGAGTGAAATGTTCGCCATTTTGTACTCACTACCAAAACTCTACCTCATCCCCAGTTCTTCTTGGTTAATTGTTCAGTTTTCTAACAATTTTGCTGCACAATCAATGTCATTTTTCACATATTACAAAATTCTTCCAAATTTGGTCGACAGTGGCTAGGAATAATGAATTATGCATGTGATTTTAGCCAATCAGAAATGGAGAAATATTTTGAATGAATACAGTTGACTCCCAATAACTCGAACCCTCGCTGACTCGAACCTCGCGCTATTTGTCTCTTCACCTCACTTCACAGACCATTATTTTACAGCTTAGGTCACAGGATATGTTTGTTTGTCAGAAGTGCTTTTCAGCTCAGTTTTTTACGGTAAAAACCTTGCTTTTCCCTGAAATCTGCACCTTTGAATTCATGTTACACTGAGGCATACCCACAATGATTTAGTTCTTTCGCCGCAGATCGATGTCACCGGTGGGTCAAAGACTGGTTTCAGCTCCATACATCAATAGGCCCATTGAACCTGAGAGTGAATTAAGACCGAAATAATGCAAAATTGCTTGATTATTGAAATACGCATTTAAGCTAATTTTCCCTCAAATGTATCTTTGGATTCATGATAAATACAGCTCCACCAGTGTCTATGGCAGAGAAAAATGCTGTAAATATAACAATATAACACATTCTTCCCTAATTACTGAGTGGCAGCCTGGTGCAGTGGTCTAGGAGTTGCCCTCGTGTGCAGATGTGCAAGTTTGACTCCCGGAGAAGCTGTTTTCTTTTTCTTTGTTGTACAATTTATTTTTTTCTGGTTAGCTTTTTTTGTTTTCTAATGTTTTTTTCCCTTTGTCTCATTTCCCTTTACCCTTTACAGCGTTGCAAGGTTTTTCCGATAACATATTTCTAGTAACATGCAAGTCAATGTAGATCATCTGTGGCATTTTCAGGTAAAAGTGATAGTGGGCCTCCTGGCCCCCCTGGACCAAAGGGAAGCGATGGTCAACCGGGAGATGATGGACCTCAAGGACCTAGAGGTGAAAAAGGAGATACCTGTGATGCTTGTCCAGTACCAGAAGCAGGTCCAAAGGGAGATATTGGTGACATTGGTGAGGCAGGCCAGGATGGAGATCCGGGACAACAAGGTGCACAAGGTCCCCCAGGGGACCCTGGAGCAAAAGGAAGTGATGGACCAAGTGGACGACCTGGAGATCCAGTAAGGACAGTTAAACTCAGGGTTCTCATTAAGTTTTAAAGTAAACAGCTAGGATGCAATAGTAGGTGGCTTGGCAGTTGAGTGCTGAAGGCAAGTTTTAGCCTTTCACTTTCTCGACTAACCCATTTTCCCCAAAGAAGATGGCTCAAAGTTAGAAGCAGCCAGTTTTTAAGCCCATTCCTGACACTTACAAAAACGGAGCTGCATCTGCCTGACACTTACAAAAACCGGGCTGCTTCTACTCAGTTCACATTATCGGCCCAGTCCTTCATTTCATTTCATTTCATTTCAAAAACTTATAAGGTGCAAATATCTATATAAATATATTCAAATGCGCCATATGAAAAAACAAAACAAAAACAAACAAACAAACAAAAAAAAAGAAAAACAATAATACTACTAATAATAAAAATTATGAATAATTATAATAATAAAAATGATAAAATAAGATGATAATATAGATATAGAATAGAAAAACTAATGGCTAAAGGTTAAAAAGATAATATCTGTTAGCAAAATCTTAAAAATTATAAGCTGAAAGTTATTTATAATCTAGTAAGCTAAAAATACAATCTTATAATCTAAGTGGTACAAAATGCTTTTTTAAAAAGGTGAGTCTTCAACTTTCTCTTAAAAGTGTCAACTGAAATGGATTCCCTAATAAATCTTGTCACAGCATTCCATAACTTAGGTGCAGCAAACAAGAAAGGCCCGTTCACCGAGAGTTGCCTTGGGCTTAACATTCGGATAACTAAGTAGGGCACTGTCGCTAGAACTTCTTAAATTTTATTTAGATACAGGCTTAGGAGTAATTAAAAAATTTAAGTGCGAAGGTGCTAAGCCCTTAAAAATCTTAAAAACAATCAACAGGATTTTAAATTCAATTCTGAACTATACAGGCAGCCAATGTAAATCTACTATCCATCAATATCCTTCATTGGAATTTGTTCGTGTTGGGGGTGAAACTATTCAACCATCCTCTTCTGTTTGTAATCTTGGAGTGATACTCGATCCCAGTGCTGATATGGAAGACTACATTAAAAAGATATGCAAGACATGTCATTTCCATTTACCTAATATTAGTAAGATAAGAACATATTTGGATCGTGAATCTAATGAAGCAATTATTCATGCTTTTGTGACTACCAACTTGGATTACTGTAATGCGATTCTGTATGGACTACCTAAAGTTCTGTTAAACCGCCTACAGCTAGTTCAGAATAGAGCAGCGCGCATCGTAACATTTACCAAGAAGTATGAACATATAACACCCAGCGTAATGGACTTACATTGGTTTCCTGTTGAATACCGTATTATTTATAAGATCTTATTGTTAGTATATAAGGCTATCAGTGGAGTTTCACCAAGTTATATATCCGGTTTGCTCAGTTTTTGTAGCAGCTCCTACTCTTTGCATTCTTGCTCGAATAAGTTACTTCAAGTCCCGAGATCTAAGCTAAAGTCTTATGGTGATCGAAGATTTTCTACTGCAGGACCTAAATTATGGAACAGCATACCCGCATCTTTAAGGAATGCCGATTCCTTGAATTCTCTCAAAAAACACTTTAAGACATATTTATTTCACCAAGCTTTTCTTAATTTAGAAATAGGTTTTTATTTATTTTTCATACTTATATAATGTAGTTGTTAGATTTTTTAGACTTTTAATACATTTTTGTAAAGCGCCTAGAACAGTTAATTATATAGATGCTATATAAATAAAGTTTATTATTATTTATTATTTATTACTTAATGAGAGCCCTGTAAACTCTTGATCAATAAAAAATACCATGAAATTTTTCTCTGTAGTGTGAGTCGACGTACAGGTTGTTAGAAATGAAGAAAAAAGATCAAAGACTAATGACAAATTTATCTTGATCGTGTGCTTAATGTTCACACCCAGAAGCAAAACAAATTTTTTGTATGAGTTCATCAGAGTGGTACTTTGGTGAGCAGAGTTCCCGATTTTGACAGCTCTTTAAGAGGACTGTTAAGCTAACTTTGCTCTACATATCGAAGTTTGTGGCATGCCTCAGATCTTAATTTAAACGTAGATGACAGATACTTTAGACATTAAAAAAAAGGATTTAAATTAGTGTGTAATTAGCTGTAACCTGAGTATTGCTTGCACACAGTATAGGAGCGTATGGCTTAAACAATCTTGTGTTTAAGAAAATTGAATGCCCGGGACATAATTTCTGTATTATTGCTTTTTTCTTCCCCCAAAAATAATTGCTCAAAGAATGTTTTTGGATAGGCTAACCAGTTCTTGTGTTATCTATAGGGTGCTAAGGGTGACAGTGGAGATGCTGGATCAGAAGGACCAAAAGGTGAAAAAGGAGAGCTCATTAGAGTAGTAGGTGACAAAGGACAAAAAGGTCAACCGGGTGGTGATGGTATGCGAGGTGATACTGGTGAACCTGGAGCTGCTGGTGCCGATGGTGATCCAGGACCAGCTGGACCAGCTGGACCACCTGGCAAAAAGGTTATCTTTCTGCAGATCACATATTCAGTTATGAGTTCTTGATTAGACTGAATTACACTCAGACAAGTTTAATTGAATTTGTTTCTGTATCGGCCCTCTAAGCGCAAAGAGTGATCAGATGCAAAAGGTCTAGATATGTGCAACAAAATCAATAGCTGAATAAACAAGACAATTTTCTTTAATCTACCAGACATAATTATTTTGACGGTACATCTGTCATCTTCAGTGTTGCATCTTATGAAATCGCCCTTGAATTAACACAAAAACGTGGAATATTTCTTGTGATGAGTATCTCAAATCAGGGGTGCCCAACGATGGTTTCCTCCTCAATTCATCGACAACCCTTTTTAGGCTATCTAGAGTACTTTTAGATATATAGAAATGCATTCTAAGCGGCACTATAGAATTTGTATCTGTTCGGTCATCCGAGGGGAACCTGAGTCCTTTCGAAATTACAAGGTCTTCAGTATTATATTCGCGAAAATTTTAGATGCAATTTAACTTATTACGAAGTAAAGAATTTTTCTGATTCCTCTTTCTATCAATTTTTTTAATCCGAAAATTTTAGGTTTTCTTATTTCTAAGAAAAATAACCTAACCTGAGGAGTGAAATGTGAAAAAGTTAAACTTAAGAAAATCGTAGAGAATTTATTAGATGAGTTTCGAAAATTTTACAGGAATGCTAAGGTCATATAGAACTTTTTAGCCGTCCTCAAGTAATAGAAAATTCTAGGCAGTATTTCCGTCTCCGAACAGATATTTTAAAGAAAACAGTCGTTGGGTGCCCCCTGTCAAATGGGCTTGTTTTAGCCATTACAATGATTATCGTTTGTGGTTAATACTTCTCGGGTGACGAGACTTCAAGTACATGTTTGCAGTCCCTTTATAAGGTGTCTCCTCTCCACTTCCTCTTTTGCCCCAACTCGTGCTCCAGAGAAAGGAACGAGAGACCCTGGTGACAAGTTTGAATTGTTATGTTGAACAGAAAAAGGTGCAGCTCATGGCCTTTGTTTGAATTTTGTTCACAGGGTGAACGGGGAAATAACGGAACTGATGGCGTTCTTGGAGCCAAGGGAGAAAAAGGAGAAAGAGGAATGAAGGGTCCACCTGGAGAGTTTTTACCCTCACCAGACCCACTGAAAGGAGAAAAAGGAGACAGTGGTCTGCAGGGAGAGAGGGGAAATGAAGGCCCTAAGGGTTCAAAAGGTATGTTAATTTTGTGACACAGAGAAAAACAAATGGAACCACTGAAGTGCTGTTGAGAAAGTTTCAATTATATGCCCTGGTAATCCCATAGGATTTCATCCAGATTCCTTTATTGTGGTATTTATTCACCCCCTTGATCACTTTCATAACATCCGCGATTTTGTCTGTTTTCGTAACCAATTATCAAAGCTACAGAAAATATTAAGTGCTCACTTGCCCGAAAAATGTCCCTGCAATGCAGCTATTTTAAAAGAGAATTTGATATTTTCGGCGAATTTAAGCTCCTACAGTATCATTTGCGGTTTGACTTACTGGCCTTCCTTCAATTAACTCTTCCAAAGGTGAACCATGGTCATTTGAAGGTCAAGTGAAAGGAATAAAGGGAGATAACGGAACTGCTGGACCTCAAGGACCAAAGGGTGATGCAGGAGAGCCTGGTGTTAAGGGAGAGGTAGGCAACAATGGAACTGACGGGGAGAAAGGACAGAAAGGTGAGCCTGGTAAGACCTCGCCAGGCCCAAAGGGAGAAATTGGAAAGCAAGGTTTACAAGGACCGGATGGACCTAAGGGTAAGTTAACTCTTACCATAAATTTTCACCCCCCACCCCACCCCCGGGAGAAATTGGAAAGCAAGGTTCAAAACGAAAGGATGGACCTAAAGGTAAGTTAACTCTTACCATAAATTTTCACCCCCCACCCCACCCAAGGGAGAAGTTGGAGAGCAAGGTTCAAAAGGACAGGATGGACCTCAAGGTAAGTTAACTCTTACCATAAATTTTCACCCCCCACCCCACCCCCGGGAGAAGTTGGAGAGCAAGGTTCAAAAGGACAGGATGGACCCCAAGGTAAGTTAACTCTTACCATAAATTTTCACCCCCCACCCCCCCCCCTTGTTGTCACTCCCCAAGGTAAGTTAACTCTTACCATAAATTTTCACCCCCCACCCCACCCCCTTGTTGTCACTGTTGGAAGAGTGCCAGCGTATTGAGGACGAGGTGTCTGAGTTCAACCCCTACTGTGTACCCCGACAAGGATGTTTGTTAAGATCACGCTGGCCGTGATGAAGACCTTTAGTTCATTCTGTTGAGATGATTAGGCAGAGACTTAACCCTTTAAGTCCCAATAGTGACCAACAGCAATTTTCTCCTAACAATGTCCATACCTCGTCAAGAGATTAGGTTATGAGAATATATAGAATGATCACGAAAGAGAAAATGCCTTGATGTTTTATTAAATTCTCTCAACTAATTCTTAAAGGAAATGTATGGAGATCAGTTTGGAGAATTTGTATGTGGATATTGGAGCTTAAAGGGTTAAAGCTGTTCTCTCTCTTTATATGCTCCCACTTTTTATAATCAGTGGGGCAGGTGTCTCATGGAGAATCTCTAGGGTGAACACTGGATAACAGAGCGATTTTCGTACGACCTTGAAAAATGGTTTTGGTAAGTGTTCGTTATTTGTTTTATCAGCCAATGGATGAAACGATCAAAACACGGACTCTTTGTTTTCCCGCCAAAGAAAACCCTAATATGGAGAAGGCATTGTTCGATTGGCCAATCGTGTTGCAGTATGACGTCAAAGCGAAGTATCGATTGATTTCTAGAAAGTTCTCGGGCGTCTTTGGCGTGAAGTTTTTTCACCCGAGCATTCGCTTAACTAACCAAAAGCCACGCGCGTTTGTATCCGTTCGATAAACCAATGAAATCGTTCTATTTCTGTTCGTTTGTTGTTTCTGTTTTGTTCGCGCGTTTTCATTTCAAGGTCATACGAAAATTTATCTAGTAAGATAAATATCCAGAGCACATTTGTTAACTGAGAATCCAGGCCTTCTCCACTTGTTGATCATGTATCTGTTGGCCACTTTAACCCTAGTCCCAAGAGTGACCAACATCTATTTTCCCCTAACAGTATCAATACATGATTCATAGAAAATGTTATGGCAATTAATCAAGTTATCACCCAAGGGAAAATGCTTTGATCTTTTATCAAATTCTCTCAACTAATTTTTTAAGGAAATGTAAAGAGGGATAAAACAATCACCTTTTTTTACCCATGTTTCTTACAACAGGTGACAACGGAACCATTGGTGAACGAGGACCTCCAGGTCCCCCTGGACCTCCTGGTGTAAATGGTACAAAAGGTGCTAAAGGAAACAATGGCACGGAAGGCAACTCTGGGACACCTGGAACTCCAGGAAGCAATGGACAACAAGGTGACAAAGGGGACAGAGGAGCAAAAGGAATGGATGGGTTACCTGGAGAGCCAGGAAGCAAAGGCGGAATAGGTCCTATTGGATTAACAGGTATGTGCAGTGTGGAGCTGATAAAACCGTGCTCTAGGCCTTTGTACGTTATGCCAGCATTGTCTTAAGCACTTTTGTGAGGCAACAGCATTCAGCATTATTCGAGCATTTTAGTGGCATTTTCCCGGAAAGTCAGGTTTGTTTTCTCACAGAAAATAAGAATTGAAACATTTTTGAAGAGATTTGACGTCTTTAAAAATGTTTTAAAAAGTATATTCAAAATTCACCTTAATACAGCTACGCAGATGATCTTTTGCTATATTGAAAGTATTTATTTGTACACATTGTTGTCATACCACTTCTACATTTTTTATAGCCTTAAACCCCCTTAAAATGTTTAGAATTAATAAAAAAAAGGCCTCTCTATGGTGAGCATTATTGAGTATATTAGTGACTTTTTTGGGGACTAGCGAGCGTTTTAGTGGGAAAAATGGAGCATTAAGGTGGAACATTTTAGTGGGGAAACAAAAGAATAATGAACAAAGGCCTACCGTGCTCTAAGAAAAAAAGGCAGGGAGGAGGGGAATAGGCACCCGACACTGCTAGAGTGTAGAGTGTTAGGCTCAATTTCCGCCGTCTGCCGGGTCCGGTCGGTGAGTTCGTGCTTATTTTCCCGAACAGGGCCTGGCAATGGAGCTGATCAGAGTTCCGTATAAACCGGTGCCACAGGGCTCAAAATAATTTTTGGATAGTGGCTGGGCGTGTTGACAGGCCAAACAAGTTTCGGCTCGGTCATTTCTCGTTTCTGATCGGTCAATGCTAAGCCTTAGAACGAGTTGCAGACAGCGTGTCATAAAGTATTATCCAAATTTATAACTGCAAGCAGCAAAAATATTTTATGATTAAAGTGTTTTTGTAATTTACAGAATTAATGAATTCCAGTTGTTTACTGATTGAAAGCAATGCACTTGACGAGTCAAAATGACCGGCAATCTGAAAGTTTGTCCACACAAATGGTCATCTTGGCTGGACGTCATCAGTTGACCGGCCGTTATTTTTGAGCGCTGGGCTAGTTTACCAAAACCAAATGAACGCTAATTCGTTGTGCAAATTTTAACCTTACAACAGATGAAACTATAACTAGTTATAACAGATGAATGAATGGACTGTGGTTTTGCTTCGGTGGGGAAGTGGAAGGCAAAGATTTAGGTACACTGGTCACCGGAGGGAGATAGAAAAGCTGATGTTTCAAGTGCGAAACCAAATCTTTGTAATAAACTGGTTATAAGATGTGCAAGACCGTCAATTTGGTTGACGTAACCGTGGGTGCTTGCCATTTTCACAAACCACCCGGGTGGAGATCTTGTGCACGCATAAACATAAAACTATAAAATTTGACGTGCTGGTAGGAGAACGACCCGCTCCAAATAATCCAAATAAGCTGAACAGGCTAAGAAGAGTAGGAAAATTGTAGTAAGCGAAGAAGAAGAATCTGAAGTTAATGTTCAAAGTTGTTGCAACAGTTTGTCACAACTTTTAATCGACAGGTGACAAGGGCGATACAGGTCCGCAGGGACAAAAAGGAGAGGCTGGAATGAAAGGAGAATCAATAACAGGCGCCAAAGGAGAACGAGGACCTCCAGGACCCCCTGGTAAGATAACCGGTCACAACTAATCAGGGGCTGTGTCACGACTGTCTTACTCATTTTGTCACCCTACGTCACGCTGTTTGCTTTTTTTCTTAACAGGCTAAAACGTTTTTCGTATAAATTGAATTCCAAAAATAAAGGTCCAGTTTTGTTAGTTAACCCTTTAAGTCCCGATATCCAAAAACAAATTCTCCCAGCTGATCTCTATATATTTCCTTAAAGAATGTGTTCAGAGAATTTGATGAAAGATCAAAGCATTTTCTTTTTGGTAATCATTTTACTAATTCTCATAACCTAATCTCCTGACAATGTATTGGTATCATTAGGAGAAAATTCATCTCGGTCACCATTGGGACTTGGGACTTACACGCAACGGATGCCAAGAATGGACATGGATTGAAACTGCAAAAATCGACCAGAAAATTATGGGGGTAGTCTCCCCGATGCAATTTGCGTTATATCTTCTTCATAACTCTAAAGAAGTACTTTTGCATTCATCTAGACAAAGACACTAAGTAATGATTCCAGCACAGAATTGACATAAAACGGCAATATCGTCGTGACAAAGCGCCTTTAAGACATTGCTTGTAAATCAGTGACAAAATAACGGCTTCTTGGCCAACAAATACACCCCAAGCATTATATCAAACGTTACAAGCAACAGGAGGCAGTGTGGCCAAGTGGTCAGTGTGTCGGATTCGCCGTCCGGCGGTCCCGGGTTCGAGTACCTCTGTGGCCACTTGCTGGATTTGTTCTAGGTCGTCCCCAGTTGAACTCGGCCACGCTTGTAAATAGCCAACTAGTTGTTTGCTGTCTGTGGGGGTTTTAATCCAGTTATGTTGTATTTGAATTATTTGTTTTTAAGTATTTGAGTGGAGTTCTTGTGAAGTAGCTGGATAAGTACAGTTTCCACTATAAACATGCCCTTTTTAATCAAAACTGAACTTCGAAAAACTCTTAGGCTAAGACGTTTTCAAAAACCCATAATTGCAATCCGTTGACATCTTCTTAAAGTTTGTCCATCCTTGCCTTCTTTTGTGAAAGGTTTGGACCCAGGAGTCATTTCAAAAAGTAGGTTGAGTTTGATCGTCCGGGTGAACGTAGTCGTGAATAGGACTGTTGTTGTTGACAACGTTTTGACAACCTGTGCGGTAGTCATCTTCAGAGTCAAAGTGAGTTGTATCACGTCAGCTGATGGTATTATACTCTGGTTATTGATCTGATTGGTCAATTACGTCGCGATGGTATTGGTCGTCTGTCAGTTAAGCCGTGATGTTATTGGCTATGAAGACTCGTAATCAGTAATTGGTGCGTTTCGATCCCTCTATTGTCACAGTTAAACAGTCGTCTATTTTTAGTCAAATTGTCATTCTCTCGTAGTCAGTTTTGCTTGATCTACTTGCCTTCTTTTATTCAAATGTTTGGAGCGGTTATTTCAATGTTTCGCTCAATTTGATGACAGTCCATACTGTGAGAATTTTGATAAATGCCGTGAGAACTCCTCTAGGGTATCAATCAGGTGTCAGAAGCACTTACGCGCAGATCGCTGCAGTAGCGCTTTGGCTTGAAAAAGAAAACCTTTAGAGAGATTCAGGGTCGCGTTTACGGCAAACGGCAAACGTGAATTTGTACCGCGTGACCAAGTTTCACCTTAACTTGTCGTCTGATGTTCCTTACTTTTCTAAAAAAAATGATTCATGATTTTCACGCCAGTTTCATCCATAAGAATTGTTATGAGCTGTTTTTATGTGCTTATGTTCTGTGAGAAGTTCTCAACCGGCATCTGACGTTTGCCATTTGTCGGAAACGTTACTCTTAATCTCTCTAATATCGTGACATGTCCGTCGAAGAAAACGTGTCCCAGATTTTGGACGAGTGCATTCGTTCTTAGTTTATAAACACATGAAGTTAGGAGCAACAAGTCATTAGCATTGGCCAGACTGTGTAATGCAACCACTTGAATTATCAACTTGTAATGCTTAAAACTGACGAGGATATCAACTGCTTTAACCCTGTCACCACCATAGTGAATGATGTAGTCTTGTAAGGTTGTTTTATAAGCTTTCGAGTCCGTGGAGGAAACACTTGACACTATTCTTGCGTGAACTCCGCCCCATTCAGAAGTTATCAAAATCCAGGACATTTTCATGTGAATTTCTAAATTGTAACTTTGTTACTGGGAAGATGGGATCTTTGGCAAGTACCCCAGCAGTTTTGTTTGAGGCTGGTCTGCCTTTAACCCTTCCCTTTTTATGATTTGTTTATCAGGTGAACAGGGGAAAAAGGGAGAAGTCGGAACCAAAGGAAGTCAAGGACCAAAGGGAAGTAGTGGAGATGAAGGTACCGCTGGGGATAAAGGTGACACGGGTGAGGCCGGTGCTGAAGGATCCCCGGGTTCAGAAGGAATAAAAGGCGATAAGGGCGCACCAGGTGACATCGGAGAAAAGGGACTTCCAGGAATCCCTGGTGGTCGCGGAGATGATGGTAACCAAGGCCCTCCGGGTCCCGCCGGGCCCGATGGTCCCAAGGGAGAGACAGGTTTGTTTTTCTACAATAATAGAGAGTAAAAGCGGCGACGTTTTTGATGGACGCGCGTCAACCGGAAGTGGACTTTTTGCACACTTGAGCCGTGATTTTGAACAAAATTTTGGGCAGATCGTCTCTCTAAGAGTAAAGACGCTTAGCCATACAAATTTGGTGGCGTCAGGGCATATTAAAAGAGAAGAAAATCTCACTTCCGGTTTACGTGTGTCGCTCAAAAACGTCATTGCTTAAGCTCCCTAATATGGAACTCTTTTAGGACGTACAGGCCTAAAATATTGGTAAGTGGAGCTTATTGAAAACTGTTGTTATTCTATCGCCTTTGGACCCGGCGACACCTGCTTCACTTCTTTTAGCGAACGAAATGAGTGCAGTGAGAAAGCAAGATAGGTAGATAAATGGATTTTAACACAAAGAGGCCTATTTAGTAATTTTCCCGCTGCTGAGGTCGTCCCTATACGTAGGGGTAACGTAGGGTTACCCCTACAAAAGGATTCTTGTAAGCAAAGCAGAAAAGCATTCATAGAAAAATTCAGTCGTATGTGAAATAATCTGCGAATACAGCCATCTTGCACCTCTCCTTATTGCGGGGGACGTCACCAGCGACGGTGTGCTGACGATGTCGATGAGCCGGGAGTGAGGCGACTGTGAGCTGAGGGAGAACCGAGGGTGTGCGATGAGAGGCGGCCGTATTCCAAGGCTACATGTCAACAAGCAAAAAATATATCCCGCATTGTGAGTGGCTAACCTACGTTATCTTTCACTTAAAGATTGCGAGTAGAGCCAGTTCTGATGTATAGCAAAAATCACCATTTTATCCAAACAATAAGAAGTATTGACAAAAGTGTATCTATAAAAAACCACTGTGCCATTCAGAATATACTCAGTAATGGTTTTCGTTTCCCTATTGCCTTAAAGGTACAAAAGGTGATACTGGCCTCAAAGGACGAATAGGTTTCCCAGGGGTTAAAGGAGACAAAGGTCTGAAAGGAGAGGTTGGTGCCCCTGGATTATCCAATGCCACAGTCATACCAGGACCGAAAGGTGACAAAGGAGAACCTGGCGAACCTGGGCCGCCTGGAGTAAATGGTATGTGCTATATTCAGTGACTGTGGTAAGCTAGACAGCATACAATAGCTGGCAGACTTTGCTACTGTCGCTTAACAATCAGCTCTCCAAAGTCCTGTGGGGCACCCCAAAGTGCGTATGAGTGGAAGGACTGCTCGCCAGGATTTGAGTTCAACCATTTTAAAACCTTTATCTTTTGTAAAGCCGTTAGAGTAGGGTGAAAAACATACATTAAATCTTTTTTCTTCATGGTGATGGATTGGTAATGAATGAATGATTAATAACCAGATGATAAATATAACAGAAGCACTGTCCGCAGCTAGCAAGGCTATTTGAGGCGGGTCAGTGCGTGCAAAATAATAAATTATGATTGATTAAGGCTAACTAAGGAAAGTTTACAGTTTACAAAGCAAGGAAATAAAAATCGTAACATGGTTGAGGACTAGACAACACGATGGAGAAGAAAAAATCAATCAAATAACAAATTATAAAAGTAGAAACGAGTAAGCAAGAATTTGCTTTTGGACATTATTGGCTAATTTTAATGTAAGAAATTTATAAAAAATTTAATAAAATTGGGCGTATCAATATAGTCATCTTCTGAATTCAAAATATCAAAAATTAATTTACGGAGTGTTTGTCGAATGTGATAGGCTATCTCATTCCACTGCTTAGCCCCGAAGCAAGAGAAAGACAGTTGATATAATTCTATATCGGAACTGTTAACATAAAGATTTCCTGAAGCCGATGCTCTTGTATTGTAAGAGTGGCAACTACTTGTTTTTTGAAATAGATTTAGAATGTTAGTAAGTACATTATTGTTATGGACATCATGCATAATATTGAATAATTATAGTCTGATAACATAGAAAGTTCAAGGGTAAAACGTTGGCGTGAATGAAGAGAGGTATTACGTGATCGCGTCTCTCTAAGAAGGAAAATCTGGGTTGGGGGGGGAACTCCGCATATGAAAGGGGTGGGGATGCTCGTCGTCTCGCTTATGGGTGTGAATTTCGGATTTTGGTCTCGCTTAGGGTGTTCTGGGCAAAACACCATTATATTTAGCCGTAAAAGTCTCTTTTAGGGTTGCACTCGAAGAAATATTAAAAAATTACATATTTTCAATTCGTTTTGTTTACTCGATTCATGTGATCAAAGTTTAAAATGATCGCTTTTAGGGGTCAAAAAAAGGTTGGGCCACGCCCAGATTGGTCTCCTTTAGGAGTTTAATTCAAAATTTTCGACGAGCATTCCCACCCCTTTCGTATGCGGAGTCCCCCCGAGGAGAATAAACTTGAAAGTCTGTGTTTAGTTCGAACTATGATTATCCTAGAACAGTTAAGATTTCCTGTTAACGTGTGCATTGTATTGGAATGGGTGTTTTGAAAGATATTGAACTACCAAAACGTGTTTCCTGAATTGAAGAGGGAGCTTAAGCAACCACGACGACGACCACAACGATCTAATGATTTAATGATCAAAACAACAGCTCTGCACGTGCATCACTCTTTTTAGTACATTTCTTTGACGTCCACTGTACGACTACGACGTCAAACCTCCTACTTTGACGATTTATGGAGGACGTGGACATACTACGACGAATTTCCCTTCATTTTTTTGAGCCTGAATAAAATCCCTAAGAATTCAACTCCAGGAAACGTGGCCTGCATTTGACATATTGAGCGGGTCCAAATAGACGCGATTAAGTTTGAAAGAACGCAAATTCATTTTTTAACCGTCGTTTTCACTGCCGTCGTCGCCGTCCTTGCTTAATAGGGACTTTAAGATCCAACGACGCGGACGACAACGAGAACGTCAAAAAAACAATTGGTCTAATTAGCAAAACAACAAATTCGCACGTGCATCACACTTTTTTTGTACATTTCTTTCCCGTTTTTGCACGACTGCGACGTGAAAATGCCTAATTTAGCGTTTTATGGAGGACGTAAACAAGCAACGACGAAATTTTATTTCTCTTTCTGAGCTTGAATTTGGTCCCTTGAAATTCAGCTTCAGGAGGGTTCGCCTACAGTTGACAAAGTAAGTGGATAGGAATAATCGCTATAAAGACTGAAAGAACGCAAATTCACTTTTTAAGCGACGTTCTTGTCGCCGTCGCGTCGTTGGATCTTAAAGTCCCTAATATGAGCTTCAGATGACAGTAAAACGATCCCAACTGGTGAGACTTATTTTGTGTCAAACAGGTGATCCAGGCTTAAAAGGAGAGGCAGGAGAATTAGGACCCCGAGGCGAACAAGGCCAAAGGGGTGAACCTGGAGATGCAGGCACAAACGGTCCGCCTGGCCCCGCCGGGGAAGCAGGTGTAAAAGGACAACCAGGACCAGAGGGACCAGCGGGTGAAAATGGAGAGAAAGGTGCAAAGGGCCAGCCTGGAACTCCTGGTGATCAAGGGCTTCGAGGAGAAGATGGAGAGAAGGGTGCTCAAGGTGATTGTGCAGATCCGGGGGGAGGGGGGTACTCGATACAGTTTTATATGGAGGCTCCGCCCCAAGGTCCAACCCCTTACTCTTATATATCAATTTTAACAGAAAAGGTACTCATTTCGTACACCTTCTATTCACAAATCGTACCCATTTCACTTTAGAATTCTGCATCCCTTTTAACTGCCGTTTATGCACTGTCTTTTAAATATGAATAGATCACAAAACCAGTTTATGCTTTGTCTTTTAAATATGAATAGATCACAAAACCAAAAGGTTTCCTTGACTCCTTCACGGTTATAAAATATATCTGTTAATTAGCCCTTTAAGGCCTAGGTCAAAAAGAACACATTTCCCGAACCCTTTCATAGACTTCAGCTAGTGAGATCCCTCCCCTTTCATATACCTGAGAGCTGAAAAAAGTACCCCTTTCGGGCGGCGCCTCCCCGTTTAGGCCATTATAGGGAGTGCCCCGGGGGGGGGGAGGCGGGGGGCAGACCAGATATTTTATGGTATTGAGCCTTCACTTCGAATGGTGGCCAAAGAAAGTTTGTCCTGCCAGAAAAATTGATTTCGTTTTGTTAACTCCTATGAAATAAATACAGTCGACTCCCCATTACTCGAACCGTCGTTAACTCGAACCTCGCGCTAACTCGAACCAAAATAGATTTCCCCTTGATTTCCTTCATACATGAACTGTAGTTTTACCCTCGGGTTTTCAATGTAACGCTCTTACATCTCTGTGAGGTGCTCATCAACTGGTATTTGTTGTAGGGCCCCAAGGTGAGCCTGGACAAGCAGCAACTGGGGTGAAAGGTGAGAAGGGAGTCCAGGGTGTAGATGGGGATGCCGGAGAGACAGGTCCCCAGGGAGACAAAGGAGACAGAGGAGAGGACGGTTCACCGGGAGGTCCCGGAGATCCCGGTCCCCCTGGTGAAAGAGGTAAGTTTATACATCTTATTTCTCACCCACGAATTCAATGCAACCAACAACTGTAGTCGAATTTTTCTTCTGTTATTGTTCAAAAAGTGACAACGCTGTCCACCGGATGAATTTCTATCCTGTGGATAACGCAATTGGGTTCGTTATTCTTGGCTTGCACTGTCACGCAATGAAAAATAAAAATGCAAACCATTCAATACAGAAGGACTACAATCTGGGAAATGAAAAAAGATAAATATACAAAAACCCTTGCCAAGAATCAGGTCTGTAAAATATTCCAAATGCGAGATATTGGGAAAAACGGTTTACCTAAATTTATAAAGCTTTGTATGGAAACGCCATGTTGGTGTCCCTTTCAGGAACACCAATATGGCCGCCGGATACCAACAGAAACATCTGTTTTCGAGTTTTCCTACTAATGCGTGAATTCTTCGCTTGAGGAACTCATAAAGATTACAGTAATATTTATTCTGAGACAAGGAATGTTTAGATTGCAAAATCTCCCAAAATCGGTAATGTTTTTAACCCACGTAAGAGCTTTCCCGGCCGCCAGCTAAATGCCGCGTCACGCAAAAGCCTGGAAATTGAAGCGTCTTCTCTTGCAAAACGAAGAACCCTTTCGAACCAAAAAGTTTTTTTACGTAATGGTGTTTAGGTACTGTAATACCTCGTGAAAGTAGAAACTCAGAAGAATCGATAGTTTCTTAGTTTGATTTTTGGTGACGTCACGTGCAAGCCAAGAATACTTATCCGCTGGATAGTGATTTATCCGGTGGGTAGGCTTAGCGCTATCCAACAATTGAACAGTCGAGCTCTGATAACAATCTTTCTACCAAGCTACATTATTGCTTACATGGCCTGCGTTCGTTTTGGACTTGCATGACGTTTTTTTACCAATCGTAAAAGCGGAATAGTGGCATGATGTGAAGTTGTGCCGTGTCTACGAGTACGAGATTTTTTAAAGTGGTGTACGCGCGCGAGTCAGCGTCATTTTGGCGGGAAAACGTGGTAGCCGTCGTCATTCTACTACGACTTTTCGCGCGAATGTCGTGGTGGCGAAAACAAGATATCAAATGTTAGAAGTTTTATCATTCTGGGATCGGGAGAGCGCGTAACCTCCTTCACTAAAGATAACAATGCTAACTTTTCTAGTGAAAAATGGTAAAATGAAGCTTTCCGGGGAGTCTATATTTTGAGAATACGCGAAAAAACTTAAAGTCAAATCTCGTACTCGTAGTCGTCCTCTTTCTCGAATCTGAAGCTCTCTAATGCTAATTACACGCCCTTACACGCCCTTATTCACTATGAATCAACTGATGAATATTGAGAAACTACTTCAAGGCTGTGCTCTAAGGAAAATTGAAGGGAACCCAGTGCTCTGAAACTGTAAAATCTAGGGTGCCCAGCATGTGATTTGTATGAAAAATCTGAGATTTTCTAGTCGCCCAAGGGCAAAAGTTAGGCTCCAGGGGCCAGCGGGCTCTGCTAGAGCACAGCCCTCTACTTGTGAATGGCAAACTCACAGCTTCATGTCACAAATGCCTCCCAAGTATTACTTCAAACGTTACAAGTAACAAAAATTAACTTTGAAAGACTGTTAGGCTAACAAGTTCACAGAAACCACAAATGCAATCCGTTTCATTCTTCTTTGCGTTTGTCATTCTGGGCTTCCTTTTGTATTTGTCGTGATATTTATACCTTCTTTTAACGTTTTGAGCGGTGTTTTTATGTTTCATTCAATTTAGTGGCAGTTTCCAACGTTTGAATTTTGACAAATTTTGTGATACATTATTTCCTTGGAAGTTGAAGGGTTAGACTACGAGTAGTCCCCCATTTTTCCTCAGGGATAGTAGAGCGAGCGAAACGCGATCGCGCGTGAAAATAATGTGATTTCGCGTGATTTTCACGCGCGCTCGCGTTTCGCACGCTCTACTTTCCCTGGGGAAAAATGGGGGACTACTCGTAGTCTATTGAAGGGTCTATATCACGGCTGTCTAGTTCATTTTGTTAATATTTCCAGTCACACGTCCTTACTCGCTATGGAACTTAACAAATTACTTGTGAATGACAAAATCACAGCTTCGTGTCAAACAAATATGTCTCTCAAGCATCATATCAAAGGTTGCAAACAACAAAAAAGAACTTTGAAAAAAACCGTTAGGCTAACAAGTTTGCAAAAACCCCAGTTGCAATCCGTTTCAATCATCTTCAAGTTTGTCCACCCGTGACTTCTTTTGCATTCACTGTGTTATTATTCCTGCTTTTAATGTTTTGAGCAGTTATTTTTCTATTTTACTCAATTTGATGGCAGTTTCCATCGTTTGAATTTTGATATATTTCGTGACACAATGCCTTTGAAGTTAATTTACGGTTTTTCATTAATGTAATAGGCGCTGACGGTCCGAAAGGTGACAAGGGAACTACTGGCGAAACAACAACGGTACAAGGTCCTAAGGGAGAGCCCGGACCAAAAGGCGACGATGGCAATGATGGAGCCAATGGACAGGACGGTGCCGTGGGTCCACCTGGACCAGGGGGTCTCCCCGGGCCACCTGGAGATAAAGGTGAGCTGTACAAGAATGAAAATAGAGGAGGCTTCCGCATGCGGTGTCGCAAGTTCTAAGTTACACAAAAACGAGTCCTGTGTTTGATACAGCTCTTACGAAAAAACGATAAATCTAGCTAAAATTTCCAACATTTTTGCGGTGATGGTCCCCTGCGTAGAAGTTTTATTTTATTTTTTTTACTCGTCACGCAACGATCTTTCCAAGGATTGCGTGACAAGCTAAGGTCATTAAAGCCCTGACGCCTAAATGTTAGGCTCTTGTGCGAGGGCGGTTTGGTTTTGATCCGATAAACTTATTGTGTACGCTATATTCATCAAGGAGGGGTATTATGTAGCTTGTTCCAGGCTCTCAGATGGTAGGGATGACTTCTTAGTGAAAGGCACGCGAAAATATGAGCGCGTGATCTGGGGGAACAGGCTAGTTATCATGTGGGAGGGCACTTACTTGATTTTTAGCCAAAAGGGGGACGCGTATTTGAAGCGGGTCGGGGCTAATTCGAGCGTTAACGGTAGCTCTTCTATGATTAGCCAAAGTAACGTCTTCATGTATTTGATCTTATCAAGTACGCGTTCTAATAATTCGTAACCTGTACACAGACGTTGTTCATCTTTTTCTTTTCGAAAACCGACGAGCACATGAGCGCGGAGTGAAAGAACGAGGGCGTCTATTTTCTCTTTTCCTCACCCCATTGCACTAGCGGAGAGTCTGGAACAGGCTAAAAAATATTGGCCTCACTCCTTACTCAACAGGTGCGACCGGAGAAAGAGGTGAACGGGGTACAAACGGATCAAAGGGTGATCCGGGACCGGCAGGTGTTAATGGAGACCAGGGACCACCTGGAGAGACTGGTGCGGCTGGGGACCCTGGAGCAAAAGGAGAAGCAGGCGTTCAAGGCTTTCCGGGTCGTACTGGAAAAGATGGCGACCAGGGAGAGAGGGGATTAGAAGGACCAAGCGGCCAGGATGGTGCCAAAGGAGAACCGGGCCAAAAGGGTAAGAGGATAGTTGTCTGAATATCAAAACTCAAGAAAATGGCGAATTCTTTTTTTCGTTATATCAACAAAGGCTTAGACACCGACAAAGGAAAATTACAAAGGATGAAAGAAAAGCTTTCAGTATGGTTTAAGTGCCGTAATTTCCAGGCACTCCACTCATAAAATCACAAATAAATAATCTTGATGTAACAATTCAACCTATTGGTGGGAAGAGGAGCGGAACTAGAACCCTAGTCTGCCACACAGCCGTTTTTAGTGTCGTCACGCAACGCTCCGAGCGTTGCGTGACGACACTAAAAACGGCTGTGTAGCAGACTATTAGAACCCGGGATTGACTGAAGTTTTTGGGTATCAGATATGCTCATTCTTCACATGGCTGTGGTCATCCGCCAAGTGGTATTTTTATCAATTCTTGCTAGCTAGTTATGAAAAATTAGCCGCGGGATTAAGCCAGTCAGAGACGAAGAAATATTTTTTATGATAACAATATCTTTTAGAGTACGAACTTATCTACTCTGGAGACAGTTTACGGAAATATCAGGTAACGATGATCGTTACTTCGTCCTTGTGTGGAGGACGGAAGCGGTGATGGAACTCACTCGGAACATACCGTCAGAGATCAGTGTTACATCCCGTGAATTGGTTCAATTTTAAGAAAATTCTAGTGTCCAAGCAATGTGCTGCTTAAGGAAACGAGTTTTAACAGGATGGCCAGTGTGAGCGTGTTTGTGAGTGTGTTTGTTGTGCTATTGGAGCTACAGTAATAGCCCGCGTATAAGAACCTGAATTTTTCAATTTAGCCTAAATAGGTTCTTATATAAACGGTACTTAAAGCAAATTTAGGCTACCGAGGTTCTTAAAATAGGTTCTTATATTTTCATATGAATTTCATCTGAATATACTATATATATTATAAATATCATCTGATAATACAGTATAAATCATTTATTTGTACCATAGAGCAATGCCTATAGGCAGTTCAGTGCAGGTACAGCATATGTCCTAGATGATGATCTTAATTCAGCAGTTTCTACCTATACACTTTTACAGCAACCCCACTGATAAGAACCTAACTTAAAATTTTAGCCTAAATAGGTTCTTATGTGGAGGGGGCTTAAAATGAAAATTTTAGCCTAACAGGTTCTTAAAACCCAGGTTCTTATACGCGGGCTATTACTGTATTTGTTTTTCGAACTAGCGATATAATAACTTTTATACCGTAAACTTGCTCTTAAAAACCCTGGGCTTATACAGCTTCGTAAGGGATTTTGGGAGAGTTTATGAACGGGGGGCCCGGGGGCGGGGGCTTAGGACCGGACTAAAAAATAAAAAGGTGTTTCAAAACAAGCTAACAGCAGTGCTGATCGAAATACATTTTGAATTTACACGCCTTTTTAACCTTCAAGACGTCGTAAAATATTAATTTATTTCGATACAAGCTGGGGGGGTGGGCGGGCCTATATACCGGTTGTATTTTTGTTTACAGGGCCGGGTTGTTCAAATCAGGGTTAAGATAACCCAGCGTAAGTGCGACATTTGAATTCAGATTTCAAAGCAAAGCAAAATCAGTTTTATTCTTTTCGTCTACAGTTTGATGATTGGATGGCCTAAAAAGAATAGAGAAAATAATCTGGGAAAATTCTTTTGAAGAAAAGGAAAAGAAACCCGGGTTAAGATTTAACCCTGTGTTAGCGCTAGTCTGCCTTTGAACAACTGGGCCCAGGTAGATAGGGCTATAACTAAGGGAGGGGGCTTATAAGTAGGGTGGGGATTATAGACGGACGTTTACGGTAAGTGCAGTTTGGAATACAAGGGTTACACAATCCCTGTGTTTTGTAACTACAGGCGATCAAGGAAACCCAGGAGAAGGAGGCGCAAATGGAGAACCTGGACTGATGGGTTCACCCGGGGAGCAAGGAGAACCTGGGGCTAAAGGAGAAGCCGGTGCCGTTGGTGCACAGGGTCCCCAGGGACCTAGAGGAGATCGCGGTACCGACGGCCTTAAGGGTGAAGCCGGCGAAAAGGGCGCGGATGGTCTGGATGGTGATCCCGGAGATCCTGGACCTCCGGGAATAGAGGGATTACTCGGTGCTGCCGGAGATCCTGGTGAACCCGGGGCGACTGGAGCACCAGGAGAAAAGGGTGACCCTGGAGTGGGTGTGGGTAAGATACTCCTTTTTTTTATTTTATTATTTTTATTTTAATTTATTTTACCAGCTTTTCTGGACACAGCCCTCCCTGAATGCGCACGAACGGGACTCAGGTCCCTTGCAAGATGCCATCCCTACCCATTCCCACAACCCCTAAAGGTTTTTTATCAATAAACCTTTACCCTTTAAACTTAACCTTTAAATTTTCTATCAAACTAAAAAGCTTTCATCATTTTGCTCGAACAAAGAATCCAAACCCTATGCATCTTAAATCTCATGTGATTTACAAACTGACATGTCCTGCTTGTAATGCTGAATACATGGGCAAGACTGATAGATGTCTCAGCGTAAGATTAGATGAACACAGCTCTGACCATAATTCTGCAACGTTCCAACACTTACACAGCGCCGAGGCATTTAAGTTTTTGTTTTCTCTGAATAATTTGCCTGGCTGGTTTAAGCCGATGTAGCTAATTTCACTTCCCACGTTCACCAAAGTATTTCGAATAACGCAGGAATTATTATATGCAACAATAACTATAACCACTTCTGTTTTCTGGGATCTTTATTAATTAAGAGGTACATACCTCAACTTAACTATGGCATTAAAGCTGCCAAAGAGCTTGTATTGTTTTAGCTTTAGGTTTAATTTGAATTTCAGCATTTTTGTTGTTCCTTCCTCCACATTCTCGTCACAATTATTAGTTTGTTAATATTCAGTCACACCTTTCTGGCTAGCTCTCTTTATAAGTTCAGCGCTTTTCCATCTTGTATTTCACGTTTGATAATGGTCTTGAAATAAGAACCGAAATATTACGTTTATTTATTTTGTGTCAATTCTTGCTTATACTTATATTTTAAGTTAGCAAGATGTTTTTCCGAGTTGTTTTTGTATTATATTGTTTGTCAAAGTATGAGGCGTTTTTCTCCAAACCAGTTTGCAAGACTATTTCTCTTAATAACTGCCGTAACGTACTGCTTAAACCCTATCAGTTTTGCGATGAAGGATAAGCGGCTCTAACGTTTGTCATCAGTCTTTCAACACGTGAAGATGACATGTTTTCGCGCGAATGCTCACCTGGCATTTCATTGGTGGTTAGACGTTTCTTTTTCATGTTCTTTAAATGAGCAGTGTTGCTACAAGGAGAAATTCAGTGTTGAGTGGACACCATAAAGGCTGGTTTTCACTAGCGACGGAGTCGGAGTCGTAAGCGAAGACCTAAGAGCGCTTATGACCTAGTAAATATGAAAAATCGGAGTCGTAGGCGGAGTCATAAGCGCGACTGAATCGGAGTCAGAAGAATCAGAACTTTTCCATTTCTTCCGACTCCGCTTACGACTCCGTCGCTTACGTTCCGCTTATGATCTAGTGAAAACCAGATTGTCGGAGTCGGATGCAGAAACGGAAGAACTAAACCAATCACAATGCACGTTCCCACGCTTTGTGACTGGTTTAGTTCTTCCGCTTCTGCTTCCGACTCCGACAATCTGGTTTTCACTAGATCATAAGCGGAATCGGAACGCTGTTTTCGCTAGATCATACGCTCAACGCTTCTGATTACGACTCCGACTCCGTCGCAAGTGAAAACCAGCCTTAACTGGTTAAGATGTTTACTTCAGGATTTTCTGACTGGCGGGGTGTTCATAATGCGTTCAGAGTTCTATAATTTCAAGTATCCATCGTAGTAGCCTCGTACGCAGACGTTCTTTTGGCTTGTCACGCAATCCTCCCCAACAAAAGGAGGGAGGAACGTTCGTGAGGAAGGAACGCGTGACGAAGCCCTAATGACGTCTGTGTGGGAGGCTACCATTGTAGCGGTCTTTCTAATGTATAGTGTGTTATTGCCCTTCGTAGGTGAAAAAGGTGACCAAGGCGATGTTGGTCAGCAAGGAATTAGCGGTCTCCAAGGGGACCCAGGTAGCGAGGGAGCTCGGGGAGCCCAAGGACCTCCGGGACCCAAGGGAGAGAAAGGCAACCAGGGAGTTGATGGGGTCCAGGGAGAGAAAGGTACGTGATTGTCTGTGTTAACTTATATCAACATTCATTTTCTTGATACTATTCTCCATACATTTCTTATGCTATTGTGAGGAGAGTTTGCTTCCCGTTATAAACGGAATAGGCTCTTTGCAGGTGGCAGGTCAGGTGTTAGAGCTTGATATCATTTTCCGGCTGGCACCGGTTAAGTTGTCCTGTCAAACCTGTTCTTACTTGGACACAACCTGTTCTTGGCCGGATATCTCTATAAAAATTCCTTGGTCTGTCGTATTTTTCTTTTCCCTTTTTTCTTATCGAACTCCAGTAATGTCCAACCTTATTAAAAATCTGAAGTTCTGAATTAAATCTTCCATTAGAAGCGTAACTTGAGAAAACAGCCGACATTTGGCGACGCTACCACTGGTTTCCCCGCGGAATGACGTCTGAGAAACGTGTTGAGAAATTCCATACTGATGACGCGGCACTACCCAGATCTGGGTAGTGCTTCTGATTGGTTGAATCAAATTTCCCACGTGGCACGACCAATCAGAAGCAGTACCTAGATCTGGTTAGTGACGCGTGATCAGTATGGAATTTCTGCGCCCGTTTCTCAGACGTCATTTTGGCGGGAAACCGATGGTAGCGTCGCCAAATGTGGGCTGTTTTTGCAGGCTATTATCAGCGTAAACGATCGGACAGAATGTCTGGTCACTCAAGGATTTTACCGGACAAAGCTTTTTGTTGATCGGCCATTGTCCGTTGACCGACCGTTATTTCAAGCCTAGCCTGCGAAAACATTCGTTTCTCCTCGCTCTTCGTCGCTGAGGACGTTTCGCGCGGAGGAACGTCTGCGACGCAGCGACAGAAATTCCATACTGATAACGTAAAATCTGTCCAGAATCCGGTCAGAAGCGCTGATTGGTCGACGGAGCAGTTACATTGTTTTAGCTATTGTTTACAAATGACACACCAAAGACAAAAGGCCAAAAAGGTCAAATGTAAACACGAAGAATCTCTAACAAAACAGTCAATATTTGTGCAATATAGTCTTCTCTAGAAGAAGCATTTGAGTTTTGCTGGAGCTCGTGGGCAGATCAACACAACACTTTACCAAAATCGACCAGAAGGCACGCAAAATTAGACAAATTTATATTTGGAACCCCGTGACTACCGGATTTATTATGTAAACATTGATTTGCGTCATCAGTATGGAATTTCTGTCACTAAGTCGCAGACGTTCCTCCGCGCGAAACGTCCTCAGCGACGAAGAGCGAGGAGAAACGGATGTTTTCGCAGGCTATTTCAAGCCCGGTCAGATGGTTCAAAACTGCCTTGCCGGGACGCGCAAGGAACGAACTGGGACAGGCCAAACAAAGAGCTCACAACGTTTTGAATAGTCATTTTCCTACAGTGATGTCATCGTACAATAAAAGTTCTCGTAGGCGGACGCCCTTGAGATCTCCCTCGGGACGCGAAAAGGGTGTCCGTAACTGGAGCGGTCCACTTACGACTGGTTCTCGTATGCGGCCACTAGAGGTGTATGGGATACATGGCCGCTTATGGGAGCTTACCCAAAAGAACTGTTTGTTAGTGTTTGGCTATATTGTTGTTCTGACAACGTTGTAGTTTGGTCGGCACAGGAATAAAATGCCTTCAAAGTGTAACCTGGCTGATGTTTTAGTTAAAAGGACAAACACGCATACACTGAAACTGATATAAATTCATTGTGAAGAACAGTAATTTGAAGTTGATTTATACAAGATTCAGGGGAGATTGGGATTTCATTTCGGGTGTCCGCTTGTGGGAGCTTAAAAACAAAACCAAAATCGAACTTGTAAACCCTGACAGTGTCCCAGTCCGCAGCCGCCTACGGGAAGGTAAAAATGCTGGGTTTGTATTAGATTTGAAACAGGGTTTGCGAACGTGGCCATAAGTAGACCTGCCCTCTTAAAAAAGTGTCCGTTAAGAGAGCTTCCACTGTACTTTGTAACAACTAAAATCCATTTGCATGCGAAGAAATGACCCTGGCCCCGTAATCCAGAATTTCATGGTCCGGATTATCCCTGCTCCTTTGAAGTATCCTCTGTATTCTGTACAGAGGCAACTATATAAAGGGATTAGCCCCACCATCCTTGTGTAATAAGTTTTCGACAAGAAGCCAGGTGCATACTAGAAATACTAGGAATAAAGATAAACTTCATATACCATCTTTTAGATCAGCAACAGGTCAGCGATCTTTCTCATATAGGGCTGTTCAGCTCTGGAATGACCTTCCAGAAAGTTAAGCAAACATAGAGTCATTTAATGTGTTTAAGAATGCGATTTAAGGACGTGCACTTGACGAGTTTTTAAGCCATTGACACTCAATAGGTGTAATTATACATATTTTATATTTTTTAAATAATATGGTAATTTTTTATCATTTTCAAATGTTTATTTTAGATTTCTATCGGTTATATTAGATTTTATTGTAATTGGGATGTGAAAACCCATTTTAATTGGATGTACCAATAAAGTTGATTGATTGATTTAATCATTTTCTTCTTCAGGCGATCCTGGGCTTGATGGTCTCACCGGACTCCCGGGTGAAGATGGAGAACAGGGACTGCCGGGTCCGCCGGGTAGTTCCGGACTTCCGGGGCCCCCAGGTGAAGCAGACTTTGGATTTTACGTAGTAAGGCACAGTCAAACCACGGACCTGCCTGTATGCCCGCAAAATACAGTATCCCTGTGGGAAGGATATAGCTTGCTATACGTGCAGGGTAACGAGCGCGCTCATGGCCAAGATTTGGGACAGCCAGGCTCGTGTCTACCCAAGTTTAGCACCATGCCCTTCCTGTTCTGTAACTTGAACGAGAACTGTAACTTAGCTTCGAGGAATGATTACAGCTTCTGGCTATCAACCACTCAACCCATACCGATGATGCCTGTAAGTGAACAAGCCATCAAGCCTTTCATCAGCCGCTGCCGAGTGTGTGAGGCACCCGCCATGGTCATGGCAGTTCACAGCCAAAGTATGGTGGAACCTGATTGTCCAGAGAACTGGGCACCACTTTGGAGAGGTTACAGTTTCCTCATGGTAAGCCTGTGGTTGTACTCCCGCGCAAATAAAAAAAATTAACCAAAAACTTTACCTAAGTTCACCCAATTCGCCTCGTTTGTTGTTTTGGATATTGTTGTTTTTTGTTTGTGTAGAGTTTATGACGCTCGAACATTGATTTTTGCCAGCGTTTTTCCTTTACGAAATGCAACTAGTCCATGAGTCCAAAAAAGGCAATTTCGTAGCAACCCCATGAGACATAGGTTCCTTGGTATCAAATTAAAGCTTAGGGTGTGCTAGTCTGTTTCGAGGCTTGTAATTTTAGCTTAAACGAGAAAATATGGGGTTTATTCATCCACATAAAAAAATGGCGTTAACGGTGCAAAACATACCAAAATAAATTGTCCGGAGTGAATTCCGTCCTTCAACTGAATCACGTGGAGGTAACTAATAAAGTAGCACCGTTGCTAATGTAATTTCTCCTTTTTTCCCGTCAGCACACAAGCGCCGGTAACGACGGGGCGGGGCAGCTTCTCTCATCACCAGGCTCTTGCCTTGAGGACTTCCGAACCAGTCCCTTCATAGAATGCCACGGTCGTGGAACATGCCATTACTATGGAAGCACTTATAGTTTCTGGCTATCGATTGTCAATGAGCAGGACCAGTTTGTGAGACCATCCCCACAGACCATAAAAGCAGGCAGCCAACGCCAACATGTCAGCAGATGTACCGTCTGCATGAAAAACGCGTTAAATGGAAATGGAAACGGAGGGGGAGGGGTTGTTGACCCGCTCTCCCCCGGTGGGGGTGACTTACCTAACTAAAGAGAATTTATTTACTAATTACATCACATAATTCGCAGTTCAAGCGCCGGTTCGATAGTGAGTGCTTTTCTAGTGACTTGACAAAAGCTCGTTGACAGCAATACCGAAATCAAACTTTCTGCTGTTGGGACTTAATTTTATTATTATTATTATTATTATTATTATTATTATTATTATTATTATTATTATTATTATTATTATTATCATTATTATTATTATTATTATTATTGTTGTTGTTGTTTTAAATATCAGAATTTGCAGTACCACTGTCGACATTGTTGTTTTAATAAAGTCAGGCTTTTAGTCCCAAGGGATTGCCGCTTAAAGAGCCACTTTCTGGAAATGACGTTTCAAGATAAGACTGCCTAGATCCTGAGTGTTATTTAAAATAGTTTAAAATGCGTTTGGATAAATCTTTGTCTTTATTTCCCTTGATTTGCCAAGTGAAACTCATATAAGGAACCGTCCACAAAAACAGCGATTATTTCCGGATTATTAGTGGAAAAATATCTTAAGCGATCGTAGCGCCTAATTGGAAACCACTCTTACAGTTTATAAGGCAAGTCGTACATCGATCGCAATGATCGTAACTCGATCGCTGCTATTGAAAGTCGCTCGCAATGATCGCACATCGTGGAATTGAGTAAATTCAAGAAATTACATAAACAAAATCAAAATAAACAAACAAAAAAGCAATTGAGCTTTCCCATTGACAAGATACCAAAATGTGGACAAATGCGCACAGTTTTTAATTGTGATGCACAAATATGTTTAACAGACCTCTCGTCTCTTCGTTATATTCTTGTTATTTGCTTTAAGCTTAAAATGTTTTTTTTATTCTTTAGAGAGAGAATACGTTCTATAATATCTTGAACTCATTGTACAGGAGAGTGCATTATTGTCTTAATTGAGTGTTGTTAATTACTTCCAATAGAGCGAGACTAGAACTAGTTTTACCACTATTTGTTAAAGATTGTTTTTTTCGTTATTCAAAAAAGAGAACCGTAGATTGCGTAGAAAATATAAAAATTTGGTTTCAACACTCAGTACCCCAGTTTGCAAGTATAATGGTTTTTCGGTTAGTTTTGTATACAATCATATTTTAACATCATTTGGATAATTTCAAAGGACTATTATACCATGGACCCCTCGACAGCGCGTACAGAGGAGTTTTCTTTAGTCTGATGATATTCTCTGTTTCCTCACAAAGCCTGTGCATTACTTAAATAGGATAACGTGTCAGTTTAAGGGACTTTACATACAGGGTATTGTGTAGTAATTTCTGTTTTAGGAAATGGCTTTGTTTTGGTACAGACAACAGTAGAAAAGCCAGTTTTTATATTCATTTGTTTTTCGTCTTCGTCTCTAGCTGCAAGCAAATGGAAAATGCTTGAAAAGCTGAACCTACATGAAGACGATTATTCTACTTACAGAAACTTGTTCTCGACCAGACGCTCTGAAGCTATCGATTTTTCAAATCAGCCTTTCCTCATTATCACACATCAGACTGCAAAAATATTAGATAAGTTTTGTAAAATTTGGAAGCTCTTTTGGGTTGTTGTGTTTCTCTTTATTGTTGATATGTGCCAAAATATTCATTACAAAATATAATGGTAAAAATATATGCTATAGAGAAATTTAATACATGAGATAGGTAGCTTAAATGGATCGCTTTTAATTTTTTATTGAATATACAGTCTTAATACAAGTGGTCGATTATTGAAAGTAATTTCGCTTTTCGTAGTTTAATCATAGCATGTAGGATTTAAAACAATTTGTAAAGCTTTTGTAAACGAAGAAATAGTCTTGTTAATAAACGTTTTTTTAATTTAACTACTTCTGTTCTTGATGAATGAATAGTGATACAGTGCTTAGAGGATATTACATGGCTGCGAGGGGGAGGGTTGTCAATACTCCGACACGCGAAGATACGAAATTTCTCTTCGAGTATTGAACAACATTTCGTGAATGACCGCGGCGAACGAGTGAAATATTTTTCAACAATTTAATTCAACACCCAAGGGGGTTCCTAGCCCACTCCTACCTTTCCAAGGCTCTCTCAACCTGAGTGTCAGAGTACAAGAGACGGTTGCTTACCATTTAGCCAGCAATTTCGAACATTCCGAACGGAATGTGAATAATGGTAAGGTCATTTTTTCGGGCTAGATTGCAGAATGCCCAGCGCACCTGACGTCCAAGTTTAAACGCTGATCCTCCAGTCCTTCACTCATTCAGTCGATGCCGTCGAATGTTACTTACGCCTGCAGTCATACAGACTCAGTCGTACAATACTAGTCCCAGCTTGCAGACCTCGTCGTTGATGTGAAAAATACCTCATGAAAATGCAGAACACTCGTAATGTGCTTTTTTCTCAAACTCATTCACCTCTAAATATAGTATGGGCTATTGCATTTAATATCTGCACCTCCCCCGGTTTCTCCAGGGGTAAGTTATAAAAATTGAGGATTTCTTTAGGGGTAGTGTTAAAAAATATGGAATTCTTTGGGGGTGAAGCTTTATTTTTCACAAAATTCTTACCCATATTCTTCAGGGGTAGGAACCATATTTTATTGCCTGCGTGCAGACGTCTCCTATTTCCTTTGTTGCACTCGGATGCACGCAGGCAAATATTTTACGGAATTCGTCCGGGGTGAATACAGTTGTAGCTAATCTTTTGGGGTAAGAAGAAAAGGTAAGTCCTCAACCGGGGGATAACGATATTAAAAGCAATAGCCCAATTTCCCATCTCTGCCATTAATCATGTATGGCAAATTTTACAGTAGTATGCATCAGTAGGCTCAAAGTTTCACTTTTAAATCAAAAGATTGAAATTTTTTAACAAAAGCCCCATTTGAAGTGAGGAATGATGTTTTTTGACACACCGTAAGACAAAGGCAAAAGTTTTCACGCACTTTCACTAAAAAGTTCTTTTCTCTTCGCCCCTTCCCATGATTCTCCGCGCATATCAACACGACCCCAATCTTCTCTCACCCGTCTCACCCCAAATAAATAGCGACTGGGTACGAGGATTTATTGGCGGGCTGTTTTCAAGATGGCTGCCGACTTGTAAACAGCTGAAACAGTGTGTGACTTGGGTTTAATATGCCGGTAGACACCTCGATAGACGATCCTAATTCTCCAGCAGCCCTACTATACAAGTTGTGCTGCCGTCTCCTTGGAAAAGGAACTGATTTAAAGGGTATGAGCATACGAAATTGTCTTGAAAATATGAACCAAAGGCTACCCTTCGAATTATGAAACTATAAAGCCTACTTATTTTCTCTTTTTCTGTTTTAGCAGACAAATCTCCAGAAATATCCGAGCATTTTCAGTATGCTCTCAGACTTGTTGGAAGGTATGTAATAACTTTGGCCATGGCTTTTTTTCGCTAAGTAATTTTGTGACTTTTAGTATTTCATGTAAACAGCTGACATGATCGATGGTGTTCGAAAACAATATCAGTCGGCAATCAATTTTTGCATTTTTACGCCACATGAGCCAGAGCACGAATTATTAATTTTCACTGAATCTTTCTACAGATTTTCAATTGAATCATTAACTGACTTAAATAGACTTTTAGAATTTGGGAGTTAAAGGAGCTGTGTAACGAATTAATTTTATTATCAAAATTGCAACCGTAACCCGGGGGGGGGGGCACTTGGGTATTTTTTGGGTGGGTATGTGACGCCCGGAACTCCAAATTGGCACCCCGTTCTAGAAATGGGCCATTTTTCTATACTCCGTTCTAGAAAGTTTGTAAATTGAGATAGCCCTGTTTTTTTAAAAAGATATTTCGTCATTTGTTCGACTTATACATCAAATAAAGGCTTCTTCATAATCATCTGGAGTACTGGAGCTTTCGTGCGTTCGAAATATTATACCCTGTTCTAGAAAACGCCTCTGAAATGGTTACCCCGTTCTAAATTAGGAGCTTCAAAATCACGACCCCGTTGAGCGGCACATACCTGTATAGGTAATGTATGGGAGTGCTCCCCCCGGGAGCCATAGGAACTGCCATTAAATTGAGTGAAACATATCATGCTTAAACATAATCGCGCAGAAAATTAAAAGAAGGTGTTAATAATGCAACAAATGCAAAAAAAAAGGCACGGATGAACAAACTTGAAGAGGATTAAAACTACCCAGGTTGAAAATTTCAACCCAGTTTAAAAATTTTAAGCTAGTTTTGAAATTTTAAGCTAGTTCGAAAAATTTAAACTGGTTGAAAAACAATGAAACCAAAAACAATTTGGACCATAACATACTCAATCAAACGTGCAATTACCGAACTCCTGTTTGTTTGATTTTTATGTTCAAATATTAACACCGATGAAAAACGAAGTAATGAAAAAAAAGCCCAAATATTACCCTATTATCAAACAAGTGTATATTTTGAGGAAATTTTGTACGGTGAACCATCCCCCTTATCCCCCTGAATCCTTTGTTAGCGATTTCATAGGATGATTGTCACATCTGCATAATACCCCATAATGGTCACGTGGTCAGACAAAATTTCTACTGAAGGTCGAATTACAGCTAGTTTTCAGTGAACCTGAAATGGAATGTCGAGAGTGTCAAGAACCCGAAGTTACACCCAGGAGACATCAGTTACATCAGTCGAGTCTAAGCTCGGCAGGCTTTCACTCGCTTCGCTTGATTTCCTCGCTCGTGCTTTCCTCGCTCGCATGACCATCCTGAGGGACTGTTCGCAGTCTATCCAGGAGACCTTGGAGGAGACTGTGCATATCAAAATTATAATTATGTGCTGTAAGGGGGTATCGTTTGACGTTTTAGAGTTGATTTGGTAGAGAGTATTTTTAAGAAGATCGGTTCCAAGGGAAGAGCGTTTAAAATGACTAATACTAGAAGCCAGTTAGGACATCTTGAGCATGCAAACAAGAAATGGATTCCAAACAAGACTGAATCAGATTGAGTTTGATTGCATTTGATTTTGTTCGATGGTTCAATAATCGAACTCAGTGCAGCAAAATAGATGTTCAATTAGTGAACCCAGTTGAATGATTGGTGTTCAATTGGGTGCGATTGAATTTTGGTTCGATTTCGTCTGATTAGATATGCCGGGAATGTTTGATACAATGCTTGCGAAGTATTTTGTTGGACAAGAAGCTGTGATTTTGTCGTTTTCAAGTAATTTCTTTAAGTTCCATAGGGCATAAGAAAGCATAATTGTCAATGTTAACAGAATGAACTAAACAGCCACCGTGACACAGCCTCCGGGAGGGGGGAAGAAGGGTTACGGGACTCCCATATAAAAATGAAGGGGATACGCGTCGGAAAATTCAAATTAAACCCCTAAGGGAGACCAATGTGGGTTTGGCTCAAGCTTAAACTGACCCCTAAGGGAGGTTTCTGTGTGGTCATTGTCAGGGCATTTTTGTAGTGACTTTCCATCCCAAACACCTTGAGAGAGACCAAAATCTGCAATTTACACCCCAAAGTGAGACAATGAGCATCCCCGTCACTTTTATATGGGAGTCTTCACACCCCAGGACACAGCCCTTTTAAGGGTTAATACTTAATCGAAACAGGAAACGAATGCATTACATGTATAAATTTTCCTTCCCTCTCCTTTATGTAGCTTAATATAGCAAGTGTTTAAAGGGGTATTCTGTGTTTTGTTCTTCAATGTAGGTACATTCCTGTATTAACAGTCAAATCAAAAAATTTAAAATTTCAACAACTTAATTTCATGTTTCTCTTAGTCGCTTTGCTCCAACGGTTGCCACAGATGAATTCAGAGTTGTGGAAAGAATAAAAAGGAAATGTAAGTTTTTGTTTTAGAACAGTTGGTGAACTTGGAATTGACTGAGCCATTACTACTACACTGTAGGAAAGAAAACACAGGAAATCTTAAAGTGTTTGTTTTGTTTTAATAGTACTCAAGGAGAAAAGAGAGGTGGACATTGCTGTCTTCTCTGAGTTGTATCGTAAATTGGCCTCACAAGTAAGAGCTTTATATATTGTAAATAAATTTTGATATGTTACTTCTCATCTAACCACGTCCTAACCCATGTCTTATCCCCTGGCCTGCCCAATCGATGAAATTCGATAACCAATAAAATCAATTATAGTAACCGATTTTAATCGATAGTGACTAATTGATTGATGTTCACTTTTTGGAAATTGATGAAAATCAAAGATTGAACGAGCTGTGAGTATCAATTTTCATCGATTATATTGCTTGTCAGAGGTCGTTTGATGATTTCAGATACGTTTAATTAAAATTGAATATATTGATTGGTTTTCGATGATTGATTTTCATCGATCGGACATGCCGTGCTTATCTAAATTTTAAAAATGTGGGGTTTTTGAGTAGAGGGGTCAGGACCAGCCACTGGTCATCAATATCCAAAAACTCATGAAATCTATATAAAACTAACAAAACTGAAATGATTGACAATATAATAACAGTGATCATAAACTTACTTATGGCGAGTTATCATAATTTTCCTTTTTTTTTTTTTTTTTAAACATATTTATGCAGGATTGCTGCTTCAGCTTTAAGAAAAAAAACTGCTATCAATGCAGGTCCTGTAAAAAATTAAAAATGAAAAAATAAAAATAAAAAAGATTTAAAATAATAGATAAAAATCAAATCACAATATTACAAAATAGTCACACCAAACGAAAGATCGAACAGTTATAAATTCTAAGAATTATTAATTATCCTTGACAAAACAGTGTAACAGGGAAGCAGTAAATCACAGGAAACATGACCAATTCAGATCTCGGGTAAAACTAAACTGCTTAATTAAAGTTGAGGTTTATCTACTATTAATTTTGAGTTGGCTGTTGGGCGTATACGAGGCTACCACATATCCCTTAGCTATGAATTCTTTACATAGTCCAAATACTACATTAACAGAACCCAGAGCACATTGGTGGGAGTGAGTGCTTTCACCAGTAAAAATTTTCTTTGTCAAAGGAAGCTGGTATTTTTAACTGTTGTTTACATCAATAATCTCTTTAATTTAAATTTGAATTTCAGCCGGTTCTTAAAAACAGATGGGCAATTCTTTATTTTTTGTTGAGTGTCAGCGAAAGCTCAGGGGCAGATCATTCACATGGTCAGGTAAGTAACAAAAGAGAGGTCAAGGATAAAACACTGCTGTTTTCTTTTTCTTACAATAGTCAGCTCAGACCATCCATTATAATATACCAAACCTTTCATCCTCCACCTGCTTTACCCAACAAAATACTGTAAACACCCGCATGTGAGAGACTGGTGGTTTAAGAACCTGCTGGCAGATATTCGCCATTTTAATACCCAAAAATATAAAAGAACCTGTTTAGCCCCTCAATATCATGTTCTTATAAAATTAATTATGTGGGTTACAGTGTTACATCACACATGTAAATTATGTTAACCATTTTAACCAAGGACTTTGACCTTGATGTTCTGTACCAAACTTTAATACAAATAAAAGTATCTATTTATTGTAAATTTTCCTTTAGCAAAAAAAAAGAAATTCCATACATGCAATTCCAGGGTGCAAAGAAAGCCATTTTTACAGCTTGTCATTCGGGCAAGCTGAAGCTAACACTTAATAGCCCAAATATCATTTCAACTAGCCCACAAAACGTTTTGATGAGCAGATTGATTTCACAGTTCTTCTGTAATTTGAATTCCTCAAAAAAATTCACTTGCCCATCGGGCAAGTTAATAACAGAATTCACTAGCCCGATAGCAAAATCTACTAGCCCCGGGCTATCAGACACTACTTTCTTTGCACGCTGAATTCACAGAGTGATAGTGGACAAAAGTTGCAGGAACTTTTTTATTGCCATATGCTAACTGTGATGACCCAACAGGCTGGTGGAGTTTATGTTGCTTTCTTCTTAGGCTGCCGGAGCTGCATCCTTCTTTGGTCAAGGGCTACCTACATACCTGACGTCCACACCTGCAGTTTCTACACAGGCATCCCAGCGTCCTTCTAGTCACACGCCTGGTGTTCTTTCAATGACTCATGCAACTGAAAGCAGCTCGGGTGTCAGCAGTGTAGCATCCAGATCCTTAGATCCCACTCCTACCCCCGCGTCATTTGCGCCGAATTATGGGCCAACACCGTCAGTTCATTTTGCTGATGAAGTCTTAATGCAGGAAGGAAGTGATGGATCTCACTTGGCTACACTTGTGGCACAGTCATTAAGTGTGTCCCAAAACAGGTTACCAACTTCTGGACAGTCATCAGCATTGCCATCTGCAGTGCGATTCATGAGTTATGGATATGACACACAGAATAGTAAGTTGTTAAACCAATAATCTAGACAAAGCTTCAATTACCCTGCAGGACCTTTCAGAAAATGTAAACAGGCCTTTTGACCACACTGTAAACATGCTAGCCTTAGTTTTTCAAGAGTCAATGTTTTCCACTGTATAAAGGTTATCCAGTAGATAAGTATCAGGGGAACTATCCACTGGATTAATGGATAGAGATTTATCCAATGGATCACTAGATTTACCTTTTAAACAACTGGTGCCAGATGAATAAAAACTTCTTTGTAGGCAGTACATGTATGTTAGGGACCTTACGAAACAACAATGATGACAGCAACGGGAACATAAAAAACAATAGGTTTAATGAGCAAAACAACAACTCTGCACGTGCATCACCCTTTTTTGTACATTTCTTCGCATTCACTGCACAACTACGAAGTGATATGACCAAATTTCAAGTTAACTTGGGAACAGGAACAGCAAGGCGATAAATTCTACCATCTTTGTCCGAATTTGAGCGCGTTCACCTCTCTTCAGCTCCTGCCAAAATCCTCTTCTTTTAAGTAACAGGGCGAATTGGGATAATCGCGACAAAGTTTAAAATGAAGTGAAGTCTGTTTTTCAGCGATGTTTTCATGGGCGTCGCCATTGTCGGATCGTAAGTTCCCTATTAAGCTGTCGTGAAATTCTGGCATTTTACTTTCCTTTGCTCAAAGGTGCAGAGATGGGTGGGTCAGTTAGAGGGGAGGAAAATATGACTGTTTCTCATCTTCTTTCTCTTGATCATTCACAGGAAGGTTATAATGATGGGGTGCTTGAAATAAAGGCCCAAGTGGTAGACTGGGCACCCAACTAGTGTTTTCTTTAAATATTTGTTCAGAGAAGCAAATATTGTCTGTTTTTTTTATTACTTGAGGATGGCTAAAAATTTCTAGATGATTGTTCCATTCATGTACAATTTTTGAAGCTTATTGTAATAAATTTCCTACAATTTTCTGAAGTTTGTCTCAGTTAAGATGATTTTGTCGTTGGGCAGTGACGTTAAGCCCTTAAGCTTTGTCTCCTTCATCCTTCTTTCATTAGTCAAATCGAAGTGGACGTAAAAGAACCCACACTACTGTTTCAAAAGAGTAGGGGAAGTTTCCCTGGTGGTGTGGTCTACCTTTCACACATCACACATCATTCATATAACATGGGCTATGGGTGGGTTACAGTAAGCTCATAAATTAATGTACTAATAGTGGCTGCCACTGGCGCCCTTGTATGCTGATGTCTAAGCTTACTGTTAACATGTTAATATATAATGTCAAGAGGGCATGTCTTGTTGTCCTCAACATTACACATTACACCTATAAGCTTTGTTTTCTTGATCTGGATCATACAGTAAGTTACTAATAGAGATCCAAATTTTCCTCTTGATCATGGCCCTTGCCAGTGCACTTTGTACTAACCTTGATCTTGATCCATAAATACAAGGGGGAAAAAACTGGCTTATACGAGGTAGGTAATGTATGTGCTGTAGATTTTACATACTCAGTCAAAACTACAATCATGCAGAACACACTTTTTTGCTTTCAGCCTCGTATGAGATTTCTGAAGCTGCTCTACTCCGAGATATTATTTACATCTTCCAAGGAATTGAGGGAAAAGTAATCAAGTTTGACCAAGCCAATGATGCCTATCGCATTGATCCCAAACTTGGAGTTCCCAAGCCTGTCCGGGAACTTGTTCACAAAGTGGCTGAGCTGGGCTGGCTGTATCGCAAAATACGGAAATACTTAGATGCACATGCAGGTATTTGTATGGAAATTTTACATTTGCACACTATAGAACCCCTGAAAATCCCAAACATGTTAAAAACCCTATGTGTACAGTGTGTCAACAGTGTGAAGAGGCTCTCTTTGCAGGCTAGATTTGTTACAGGCTTTGTGAATTAGGGCTAGGAGACAAAAGAAATTGAGATTCAACCTAGGTGAAAAAATTTTCACCTGAATTTAGTTTTGACCTGTAACAGATACATTAATTGTGTCCCTAGTCTTAATTTGATGACCCATAATTTCACTTTTTGAGGATGAGGCCAATGTTCCTGTCTGTATTTTTACTATTCAAATCACAAGGCTGTGCTCTAACGGCGCCCGGTCGCCTGAGGCGACTAACATTTAGCTTCGAGCGACTGAAAAAAAGTTCCCGGTCGCCCAGCCAGGCACTCTTGCTTCTGGTGCAGTGTTCAGTTAAGCGGGCAGAAAAATTTAACGTACTAGTGTTGGCTTGTTAACCCTGCAGAAAATGTTTATACGAAGTTGTACGAAAGAAACGTAAACCCGAAACGTAAACCCGCTGAAATTTTTTACTTTTCCCTCTTTAAAACCTAAACAATTCAGCGGCATTGCTCACGTTTCTGGTTTTAAATCTGACTGGCACGAAAACTTTGATGGGTTTCATAAAACGACATGCGGGATTTTGTCAAACCCAAAAGTTAAAATTACCGGGTTTGGTGATCAGCAGTCCGGTAAGATTCATGTGCGTACAAAATACTTCCTCATCAGATGTACTTGGGCGACCAACTTGAGAGGCCTGGGCACCCCAGCTGGAATGCTTGGGAGCCCGAAGGGCTCCCCGAAATTTTTTTTATTCGGGCGACCAACTTTGAGGTCTGGGCACCTTAACTAAAATGCTTGGGAGCCCGAAGGGCTCCCTGAAATTTTCCTTAGAGCACAGCCTTAAAATCAAATCCTTTAGTTAGACACGTAACACCGAGGAGCACCAAAGTTAAAACGTGTACATGTATTGTATTTGCAATTGTCTTCTTTTTGGTATTGTAGTTTCAACCCATGTTTGTGTCATTTTTTTATGGCATTATTTTCATCTATTTTTCATGTACCAGTATGTTGCTGTTTCAAGGCCATGTTGCTTGTTGGAATTTAGCCCTCATAAGCTCTTTGCAACACTATTTCTACCCACAGGAGACAAGGCAATGGGATTGGTAGGACAGAGCTTTTGCGCTGCTCTGCAGCAAGAGCTCACTGAATACTACAGGCTGTTAGCTGTGCTAGAAGGCCAACATCAAGTTGGTGATGCAGGAGTTGTTGGAGAGGGAGCAAGTGGAAGTTTGACACTACGGAGATTGATGGTGTGGACATATGATCCAATGATGAGGTTAAGGACCCTTGCTGCATTGGTTGATGCCTGCAAAGGTACAGTGATTACTCAATAGCACAATACTGGGGGTGGAAAGCAGAAATTGTGAATTTGGGACTTGGACTTCTATCAAAGGGAAGAAATAATTGTGACAGTGCAGTGAATTGTCAAAATGACATTGACAATGGTTCTAGTACATAGTGTTTTTATACTTTTTATACTACTACATGAGAAATTTCTGCAATCTGATTGGCTTAGAGCAGGGGTATTTCAGCTTAATTTGAAGTACCTACATGTGAAAATTACAAACCTTTTGCGGGTAGTAGTATAAACAAATAATAGCATGATTTGTATGTGATATTTGGCATAAATACCACTCGTGATATTTCAAAATTGTCTCAAATTTCACCTGCCTAACGGCTCGTGAAATTACGTATAACAATTTCAAAATATCACTCGTGGTATTTATGCCAAATATCACTACAAATCATGCTATTACCTGTACACATCTTATGTGGAGGGCATGCTTTTTGAGGCTAAGAGTAGTAGTCAAAACAGTTTTTGTTTAGTGCAGAGAATTTTCACAAATACACATGCACAACAGTGTTTGAAAATATTCACAGGCCCAAAAAAATACCTTACTGATCCATTGGTTAACCATTTGAACCCTTATATCTACATCCATATGTATTCATTTTCTGAGGTACTGGTGAGGAGAATATTGTTAAACAATCAGAACTTAGACACAGAGACATAATTTATATGTTATTTATTTCACCACTAGGAGCCTAAGAACTATGGCTTGTTACAGTTTTCTTGAGAAAAAACAAGGTCAAAAAAATTAATAATTCAATACAATAGACAAAACAAATTAATAAAAATAAAATGAAAAATTAGGATTTGTTAGTTGATGATCATTTCTGTTATTCTTGAGACCATTATCTTTAATTAACAAGTACCATGATAATATAACTTAGGAAGCGTTAGATTCTTGTCATCCTCTGGGGTTTAAATGGTTTTATTAACGTCAAATGTACTGATTAATAATTGTCTTTTTAATACAGGAAAGAAAGGAGGAGCTTTGTTGTCTGCTCTTCATTCTAACATGCAGCATGGGGATCCTTTTGTCAAGTCTCTTGTCAGGCATATTCTTAATCTGGTAAGAACTGCTAGTGGCAAAAGTGCTGTCCGATATACCGGGGCTTAACTGAATTACCCATCAGGCTAGCATGTTTAAATAATATTATTGCAAGTTGTCTGATAGCCAAGCAACATTTGCCAGAGTAAAGTTAATGTTAGTGAAATTCAAAAGGGGGGTTGGTAGGCCTGTGTAAGAGGAAAGCAAATTTTTTTTTTCTAAAAATAATACCAAAGTTTTCTCACTGAATGTTACTAACTTTTTGTTCAAATTTGGAATCTTTCATAAGTAAGCACCTCCTGTAAGCAATCATCAAATCTTTGCATTTTGAATTGGTGGTAACGGGACGTTCAACCATATTAAGTGAGACGTTATTATTATTGTTATAATTATTTCATTATCATTATTACTTTTATTATAATTATGTAGTACATGTTTATCCTGTAATTTCCTATAACAGGTTGCTCGTCCAATCCGTGTCATTCTTGATAGATGGATTTATGAAGGAGAACTTGATGATTTGTACAATGAGGTAAGGTCGTTATGTATAAGCTGCTCAAAAGGATTTCTTTGCCTTCTTGGGTTGGTAACCCAGCTACACCTTGTATGTTATAGTTAATTTTGTGTTCATATTACAGGACAGTGCATGCAACTATTTGCTGGTAAATCATGCTCATCAGCCTACAACCTTTTTTGTAACAACACCTTACCTTACTTATTGGTATATTATTTTGACATGCAAGGCAACATATCATCTACCCATCACTAAATTTTAAATGTTACAGATGGATTCACATTTAAAAGCCCATTTCTACTGGTATTAATCTTTCCTGTTTATATGTTACACTTTGTCTTTCAGTTTTTTGTGGCTGTGGATTATGACACTAAATATGATCGTCTGTGGTATGAGAAATACAGTATCAGGAAACCCATGCTGCCATCATTCATCTCCATGGAACTTGGAACTAAGGTATCACTAATAGTAGATAGATAGACTGTTGTGGATTCATATGACAGTGCAGATTTCCTCTATACCTTAGCCAGAAATAGGTCTTCTGAAACCCATACATGTGCAGTGTAGCCTGTGAGGAATTATGGCATAGTTACGTACTAAAACAGGGAACTAGCCAAAACGACCCACAGTGATCCACAACAACCCAAAGTGACCCACAATGACCAGCACTAAGACCCACATCCAGGGTTGTCAAAAAAATTTTATATCACAAGGAATATGTGTTTCCCAGGTGGGGAAACACATATCACTAGGGATATGTCTTTCCCAGGTTAGGGAACACATATCACCAGGGATGTGTGTTTCCCAGGTAGGGGAACATATATTACTAGAGATATGTGTTTCCCAGGTGAGGGAACAAATACCACTAGGGATTTGTGTTACCCAGGTGGAGGAACACATATCAGTAGGGATATGTGTTTCCCAGGTAGGGGAACACACATCACCAGGGATACGTGTTTCCCTGGTGGGGGAACACACATCACTAGGGATAGGTGTTTCCCAGGTGAGGGAACACATATCACTAGGGATATGTGTTTCCCACGTGGGAGAACGCATATCACTAGGGATACGTGTTTCCCAGGTGGGGGAACACATATCACTAGGGATATGTGTTTCCCAGTTGGGGGAACACATATCACTAGGGATTTGTGTTTCCCAGCTGGGGGAACACATATCACTAGGGATATGTGTTTCCCAGGTGAGGGAACACATATCACTAGGGATATGTGTTTCCCAGGTGAAGGAACACATATACCTACGAATATGTCTTTCCCGCGTGGGGGAACACATATCACTAGGGATACGCGTTTCCCAGGTGGGGAACACATATCACTAGGGATACGTGTTTCCCAGGTGGTGGAACACATATCACTAGGGATATGTGTTTCCCAGGTAGGGGAACACATATCACTAGGGATACGCATTTCCCAGGTGGGGGAACACATATCGCTAGGGATATGTGCTTCCCAGTTGGGGGAACACCTATCACAAGGGATTTGTGTTTCCCAGCTGGGGGAACACATCTCACTAGGGATACGTGTTTCCCAGGTGAGGGAACACATATCACTAGGGATATGTGTTTCCCAGGTGAAGGAACACATATCATTAAGGATTTGTGTTTCCCAGCCGGGGAAACACATATAAATAGGGATACGTAATTCCCAGGTGGAGGAACACATATTGGTAGGGATATGTGTTTCCCAGTTGGGGGAACACATATCACTAGGGATTTGTGTTTCGATCCCAGCTGGGGGAACACATATCACTAGGGATATGTGTTTCCCAGGTAGGGGAACACATATCACTAGGGATACGTGTTTTCCAAGTGGGAGAACAGATATTACTAGGAATATGTGTTTCCCAGGTAGGGGAACACATATCACTAGGGATACGTGTTTCCTAGGTAGAGGAACACATATCACTAGGGATTTGTGTTTCCCAGCTGGGAGAATACATATCAATAGGGATACGTGTTTCCCTGGTGGGGGAACACATATCACTAGGAATATGTGTTTCCCAGTTGGGGGAACACATATCACTAGGGATTTTGTTTCCCAGGTAGGGGAACACATATTACTAGGGATTTGTGTTTCCTAAGTGGGGGAACACATATGACTAAGGATACGTGTTTCCCAGGTAGGGGAACACATATCACTAGGGATTTGTGTTTCCCAGCTGGGAGAACAGATATCACTAGGAATACGTGTTTCCCAGGTGGGGGAACACATATCACTAGGGATATGTGTTTCCCAGGTTAGGGAACACATATCACCAGGGATGTGTGTTTCCCAGGTAGGGGAACATATATTACTAGAGATATGTGTTTCCCAGGTGAGGGAACAAATACCACTAGGGATTTGTGTTACCCAGGTGGAGGAACACATATCAGTAGGGATATGTGTTTCCCAGGTGGGGGAACACATATCACTAGGAATATGTGTTTCCCAGTTCTGGGAACACATATCACTAGGGATTTGTGTTTCCCAGCTGGGGGAACACATATCAGTAGGTATTTGTGTTTCCCAGGTAGGGAAACTCATATCACTAGGGATATGAGTTTCGCAGGTGGGGGAAGACATAACACTAGGGATACGTGTTTCCCAAGTGGGAGAACACATATCACTAGGGATATGTGTTTCCCAGGTAGGGGAACACATATCATTAGGGATACGTGTTTCCTAGGTGGGGGAACACATATGACTAAGGGTACGTGTTTCCCAGGTAGGGGAATACATATCACTAGGGATATGTGTTTCCCAGTTGGGGGAAAACATATTACTAGGGATACGTGTTTCGCAGCTGGTTGAACACATATCACTAGGGATTTGTGTTTCCCAGCCAGGGGAACACATATAAATAGGGATACGTGTTTCCCAGGGGGGGGAACAAATATCACTAGGGACATTTGTTTCCCAGTTGGGGGAACACATATCACTAGATATTTATGTTTTCCAGCTGGGGGAACACATATCACTAGGGATATGTGTTTCCCAGTTTGGGGAACACATATCACTAGGGATTTGTGTTTCCCAGCTGGTTGAACACATATCACTAGGGATACGTGTTTCCCAGTTGGGGGAACACATATCACTAGGGATATGTGTTTCCCAGCTGGGGGAACACATATCATTAGGGATATGAGTGTTTCCCTGGTGTGGGAACATATTTCACGAGGGCTATGTGTTTCCCAGTTGGGGGAACATATATCACTAGGGATTTTTTTTCCCAGATGGGGAAACACATATCACTGAGGATACTTGTTTCCCAGGTGGGGGAACACATATCACTAGGGATATGTGTTTCCCAGTTGGGGGAACACATATCTCTAGGGATTTTTGTTACCCAGGTGGGGAACACATATCTGTAGGGATATGTGTTTCCCAGGTAGGGGAACACACATCACCAGGGATACGTGTTTCGCTGGTGGGGGAACACCTATCACTAGGGATATGTGTTCCCAGGTGAGGGAACACATATCACTAGGGACAGGTGTTTCCCATGTGGGGGAACCCATATCACTAGGGATACGTGTTTCCCAGCTGGGTTAACACATATCACGAGGGATATGTGTTTCCCAGTTGGGGGAACACTTATCACTAGGGATTTGTGTTTCCCAGCTGGGGGAACACATATCATTAAGGATATGTGTTTCCCAGGTTGGGGAAGACATGTCCCTAGGGATATGTGTTTCCCAGGTAGGGGAACACATATCACCAGGGATACGTGTTTCCCAGGTGGGGGAACACATATCACTAGGGATTTGTGTTTCCCAGGTAGGGGAGCACATATCACTAGGGGTACGTGTTTCCTAGGTGGGGGAACACATATGACTAAGGATACGTGTTTCCCAGGTAAGGAAACACATGTAACTAGGAATATGTGTTTCCCGGTTGGTGGAACACATATCAGGAGGGGTACGAGTTTCCCAGGTGGGGGAACACATATCACTAGGGATATGTGTTTCCTAGGTTGGGGAACGCATATCACTAGGGATATGTGTTTCCCAGGTAGGGGAACACATATTACCAGGAATATTTGTATCCCAGGTGAGGGAACAAATATCATCCATGTTTCGTTGGTGGGGGAACGCATATCACTAGGGATATGTGTTTCCCAGGTGGGGAAACACATATTACTAGGGACACGTTTTTACCAGGTGGGGGAACACATATCACTAGATATAGGGGTTTCCCAGGTGTTGAACACATATCACTAGGGATATGTGTTTCCCAGGTAGGGGAACACATATTGCTAGGGATATGTGTTTCCCAGGTGGGGGAGCACATATCACTTGTTACATGTGCTTCCCAGGTAGGAGAACACATATCACTAGGGATATGTGTTTCCCAGGTTGGGGAACACATATCACTAGGGATACGTGTTTCTCAGGTGGTGGAACACATATTACTAGGGATAGGGGTTTCCTAGGTCGGGGAACACATATCACTAGGGATACGTGTTTCCCAGGTGGGGGAACACATATTACTAGGGATATGTGTTTCCCTGGTGGGGGAAGACATATCACTAGGGATATGTGTTTCCCAGGTAGGAAAACATATATCACTGGGGATACATCTTTCCCAGGTAGGGAACAGAGATCCCTACGGATATATATTTCCCATGGAGGGGAACACATTTTACTAGTTATACGTGTTTGCCAGGTGGGGGAAAAGTGGGGAACACATATGACTAGGGATGCGTGTTTCCCAGGTTGGGGAACAGATATCATTAGGGGTAATGTTTGCCAGGTAGGGGAACACATATCACTAGGGATATGTGTTTCCCAGGTGAGGGAACACATATAACTAGGAATATGTGTTTCGCAGGTGGGGAACACCTATTACTAGGGATATTTGTTTTCCAGGTGGGAGAATGCATATCAGTAGGGATATGTTTTTTTCAGGTTACGTTCTGCGAAAGCCTTAAAGTAGCCTTTGATAACGCTGGTTGCCGGCGCTTTTTGAGAACCCTGCACAATGACCCAAAATGAGACCAAACACGTCCCATCTTCCTGGAAACGTCATATAAAAGTGATTTTGGGTTGTTGTGAGTCTTCCTTTTTTAGTGTTGGTTGTTTTGAATCTTTGTGTTGATCAGTGTGGGTTGTTGTGGATCGTAATGGGTTGTTTTGGCTAGTTCCTCATTTTTATAGTAACTACAGCTGTACATGTACATGAAGTATGGATGTCCTTGCGACCGATTTGAAACTGCATCTTTACACGAATGAACCAACACAGCAAAACCACAACCTGTGAGAAAATTAGTTGAGACATTTTGCCAACTTTTAAATTCGAAAATAAAGCTTTTCCTTGCACATCCCCTCCATGCAATGTTGTGTGGCACTGTTCGAGCTACCTGCAGAATACAAAAAACACCCCAACTTTGAATGAAGGGGACGTGGTAGGGTTGTGGCTTCCTTTGTTCCCTGAAAGTTGCCCTACTTTAGCATAAAAAGTCCCAACAATTTTGTTTCTGATTGCACATAAACAAAAAGAAATATCGAAACCCAAAAAGCCACTTTTCTTTTTGATGAGTAGTGATAATTGTCCTTCTCCAAGTATATTAATTAGGCAACACCTTCAAATTTCATGGGGATAAACTGAGAAAAATGATTTTAAAAGCTAGTTAAAACCATATAAATCGTAAAGTTTTCACATTGCACTTATTGTTTTCTGTGGAGAATGTTGTTGCTTGTGTTTGCTTTTCTTGAAATGATTTTAGTTTTGGTGTAAAATTTTTAACAGATTTTAAACATTGGAAAATCCATCAACTTTATTCGACATGTTTGTCAAGATCGTAGTCCCATCAGAGGAGGAGAGGAGAAGGCATTAGATTATAACAAGTCACAGGAGGCATCAGGTAAAATCTAGAAGACAGTTCCTAAACCTGTTTTAGTTTGTCAATGCATCTATAGCCATACAAACTTATTTACTTATGGAATGTATCCCCAAAAGAGAGCAACAATAATTTTTATAATCAACAGTGGACCATTTTAGCAGCAGAAACATGGGTGTACGTGCCATGCAATAATAGAGATGAACTTGTTGCATCTCAAAATTGCAGGTGGAAATAGTTGGTAAGTTTACAGTACAGACCATGGAAAAGTATTTTCGATTTGTTAATATGATCCATTTATTATAATTTTTCAGCTGCAGCTCAGTTAACAGCTGATGAAGAGTTTGGAGGAACAGCTCTTCAGGAAACAGTCGATATAGCCTATAGAGAAACAAGCAAGAGGCTGCTGGAGATTTTCTTCTCTAAATACAAGTTCCTTGATCATTTGAGGGTAAGAAATGTCTTGAGACCATTCTTCAATTATTTTTTCAGTGTTGTTGTTGTAGTGTTGGTGGTGGTAGTGGTGCGTCAGAGATTTTAGTTCTTGGACCAACTCCTCTTGATTATTTGTCACTATGATAAAGAGTGCTTCACCACTCAGATAGTTCATAAAATCTTCTATGTTGATTTTACCTTCTATTCTTCTGGTATTCTCTTCTGCGCTATCTCCAAATCTGACGCTTGAGTAGACTCGCAGTCAGTGTTAAATATTAAGTAGAGCTGTCTGTTTGTCCAAAGGAGCAATCTTATTCTTGACTACCTCTCTATTTTATTCATTTATATTTTCATGTATTTATTTATTTATCTGTTAATAATTTATTAATTCTAAATCTAAATTGATTATCCACGAATGGGAATACCCATCACTGTTAATTATTAATTTGTTTATATATTTATTTAATTTGATAGGCATTGCGATTGTATCTTCTTCTTGGCCAAGGGGACTTTATCAGGCATCTTATGGACCTGCTTGAGTAAGTTGATGTGAATTCCATCAGCTTAGAATACATGAATGTTAATTTTGCTTTCTTATCCTGTTGACAGTGTTTCAATGTTAAGCCACAAGGGTGCATGATCCATAAGTGGATTCAGAGCCGGTCCAAGAGGCTCCCCCCCCCCATCCTCTCCCCCTCACACTAAAATCTAGATCCTTGATTTATGGAAACAGAAATGCTTTCATGGTTTTTGAGTCTATCAATACATAATTACATATTGCAAAGCATATTCAGCATTATTGATTATGCATGTATTGTCCCGTTTTATTCTTAATTGCATATTGCAAAGCATATTCAGCATTATTGATTATGCATGTATTGTCCTGTTTTATTCTTAATTGCATATTGCAAAGCATATTCAGCATTATTGATTATGCATGTATTGTCCTGTTTTATTATTAATTGCATATTGCAAAGCATATTCAGCATTAAGAATAAAACGGGACAATGATACAAAGAAAAGAAGAAGCGGAAGTGGGGGTCCTAACGACAGTATTATGTTTTCGTGGCTGGTCACCCATCCAGTTCCTAACCCTGCGCATCAGGGAATAACTTAAGTGGTGCTACCAACACTGAGTTTCTCGATGGTTTGTGAGACACGCCAGATTTCTAGTATCTATATAGCTGGCAACTGTACCAGCCCTCTCTTTCAGAATTTTCTGGACATACCCCTAATAGCTTCAGTGTTTGTACTGACAATTTACCTGCTGTGTGCTCAAGGAAACCGTAAATGCAAAAGCCTTTAAATTGCCATTTTCAGCCATTTTATTTGGAACCTTCTTCATTGAGCAAGTTTAGCCTTCTAACACTGCCACCTCTTATTGCTCCCAGCCGATTTCGTTTATGTAAACACTCATTCAATATGTCGAGCTCCTTTTGTGTTCACTTCAGTAACTAACCATTCTTGTTGTTGTGGTGTAGGTCTGATCTCGCCAAGGCAGCCAGTACACTGTACATGCACAACTTAACTGGTGTGTTGGAGACTGCAATCAGGGCCACTAACGCTCAGTATGCTGACCCAGAGATCATTGAACGATTAGACTGCAGGCTACTTGAGGTATAGCATATATTCTCAATTAAGTACCAAATTAAGTTACTAATACGGAATCCATTAGGAAATTAAGTAATTTTAATTTTTAGTGGACAAAAACCTTGTACCAGAATATTTTAAGCCATATCGCCTTCTTTTTTACACTTTTCAATGGCTGTAGATGTAATTAGTTATCTGTAATAACACCAAAGACAGTTTCTTACGGGAGCCTGAGAAAATAAATTCAAACTTCTGCCGGAATTGAGAAAACACAAGTAACATCGCCGTTCCATTTTGTGAAATTTGAGGCTTTTGAAATTTGTTTTCTCGAGTCCATTAAGAACTTTTTCCGTTCGGAGTTATTTCATATAACTTATTACATTTATAGCCCTTGAAAACTGTGAAAAAAATACATGATGCTTGAAATTATTCTGGTACAAGGTTTTTATCCAATGAAAAGTAAAATTACTCAATTTACTAATGGATTTCGTCTTGATTCTTCAATATCAAATTTTAAATAAATTACGCAATTACCTTTTATGTGTGTAAGCACCACGCATTCGAATAGAGACCTACCAGACCAATCACAGCTATCAGTTAAAAACATTCAACAAGGAATCTGCATTTTTCTTCAAAATACAGTTACTAATGTTACTAATGTTACTACCTTAAAGACTAGTAAACTATTGATCACAAAAGTGCAAAAGAAGTTGGATGTTGAATGAGTGTCTGCGATTGTAACCTGCCATCAGGCATTGTTCTTTTTTTCCCCAGAGTAGAGACATCTAGTTGTCAGCGCATGATCGCGAGTGTTTAGGTTTGCATATTTTTTATAAAAATTTACAGCCGACTCTGTTTAAGATGGACACCTCAGGGACCTGCACTCAGTGTCCTTCTTCGAGTGATGGCCTTCTTATAGAGAATCAATTAAGGCAGTAAAGAAAGGCAGGGGCCAACTCTTGGTGTCCGTTTTACAGGGTTGTCCTTCTTATCGGGTGTCAGTTAACCTTTTAAGTCCCGATAGTGACCAACATCAGTTTTCCCCTAACAATATCCATATGTTGCCAAGAGAAATGATTATGAGAGTTAATAAAATGATCACCAAAGAAAAAATGCTTTGATCTGTTATCAAACTCTCTCAACTATTTTTTAAGGAATTGTATGAAGGTCAGTATGGAGAATTTATATGTGGATATCGGGGCTTAAAGGGTTAAGTCAGAGTAGACTGTATTCCAAAACTAAAGGGCAGTCGACTCTCTCTAAACGGTCACCTGTATAAGACAGACACCTTGGTAAAAAGGACACCTTAACTTGGTTCCTGCCTGTCTTTACTCCCTTGTTTGATTCTCAATAAGACGAATATCTCTCTAAGACAGATAACTTGGTGCCGGTCTCAAAGGTGTAAGTCTTAGAGAGAGTTGACTGTATTTTTATAGTCTGCGAGCAAGCTCTCCAGGGCGCTCTGGCGGCGGGGCGGGAAAAGAAAGGAGAGCTTTCTACTACGTCTCTGGAATTTGAATTCCACCTCCAATTCCCCTGTGGTTCCACGTCGACTGAGCTGTCAGATTTCCGCCAATCGGTGCGAAGCGGAAACGAGCGCGAATGTAAAAAACATTGAAAAACACGTCCCAATGACGTCATTACTAATGTCATCTCCGCCACCAATTAACAGTCAACTTTAAAACAGTTTGTAGCCAAGTAGTTGTAGACTTCATGAAACAAGAATTGCCAGTTTATGAACGGCTTCAAAAATATAGCCTGCGAGCAAGCTCACCGAGCGTTCTGGCGGCGGCGCGGGAAAAGGAACGAGAGCTTGCAACTACGTCTCCAGAATTTGAATATCCACATCGAAAAAGTCGATGCGAAATGCTGATTACTTATAAGCGCTGTTATCATGTTTTGAAGGTTTCTCCTGGTGATACTGGCTGGGATGTGTTTAGTTTGGATTATCACGTTGATGGACCTATAAGTACAGTAAGTACTACTGTTCGAAGTGACTGAAATGTCCTGCAAACGAGGTTGTATTAGAAATGAACTCAGTCCTCAACTGAGCGTCATAAAACTAACAGACAGATAAACAGAGAGTCTATAGGCCATTTGCTCGATGACGTCTTTTTACTACAAAATTGGGTAATCCTTGTAAGTTTTAAATAACAAAAGCCCAAATTTGCACAAGAAAGCAAAATCCTGAAGGATTTTGGTAGTAGTAGTAAAATGACGTTATCGTGCAAATGGCCTATTTCCCGGTTATAACCAGCTAAAAAGTTCTCAAAGTCCAAAGTATGAACTACTGGCCAATCACATCACTTGCACATTATCGGATGAACCAATCAGATCACAAAACAAATATGTGAGCCACTGCCAAGAGCGGAAAACGCGAACGCGCAATTAACGATTGGTTTTTGTTTTAATTCTGATTGGTTGAAAAAGTGGCGCCAAATTGATTGTAGCCAATCAGAAACCGTAGCAGTGTTACGCCGCCAACGATTTCATAAAGTTACAAAAACGCTTGAAATCTCCCGCTAACAGCGCTGTTCCGACTAGACTAACACTGCGATGGACAAATTGATAGTTCGGGCTTTCGTTTGCAGGTATTTACACCAGAATGTATGATTCACTATCTGAGGATCTTTAATTTCCTGTGGAGAGCTAAGAGAATGGAATACTGCTTAACTGAGATGTGGAAACAACAAATGACAACACGGAGAATGTTGAAATCATTACCAGGTGAATAATTTAATGTTAATGAATGATGCGCTTTTCAATACTTTTCTCAGTAAATTTCTCTTGTTTAGATAACTGTGCTTACTGCTAGATAACTAAATGTGCAGATCACCTGTTGTAATAAAAAAGATGTTGTGGAGATTCTTTAATGTTATAATTGTAGCCTCAAAAAATACTTGTTTAAGGTCGCCAATCGCGGTTCTTTTGTTTCATTATCGTTTTATGTAGACTTTATGTTGCGGTTAGAGAAAAAAAGCAGGAAACGAACCAAAAGAATAGGACACCCAGAATCCTTGTTTGCGTCCACTCACATTTCTGTAGAGTCTTAAGTTTGAGACAACAACAAACAACAACAACAACAACACTTTATTTCACCCCATAATATACAAGAAATAAAAATTTATAACAATAGTACAGACGCATTATTAAACGAACAATATTTCATTGAACGAGACAACTGTTAAGAAATTATTTTATGCAGAAAAAAAGAGGACTTGCGTAAAATATTTTCCTAAGAATGTTTTGGATATAAGATCTTGTAGCCCTGCATTATGCTAGCTTCTCTTGTCAAATGCATTTTAGTTCAAGAAAGATGTTAAACCTGTGATATCAACTTTTGTTATTTGATCTGGGCATGAGAAGGGTATTTGCCTGAGAAACTCTTTCTCGTGTTACCTTCAGATTCTAACTCGAGAACGACTTCGAGTACGAGATTTAGCTGGAAGTTTTTTCGTGTATTCTCAAAAAATAGACACCCCTGAAAGCTTCTATCATTGATATCACTGCTATCTTTGTTGAAGGAGATTAACCCTCTCCCGGTCGCAAAATGATAAAACTTCTAACATTTGATAAGTTGTTTCCTTCACTACGACATTAGGGAGCTTAAACAACCACGATGGCAACGGCAGCAAAAACGTCACTTAAAAGTGAATTCGCGCTATTTCAAACTTCATCACTCTTATCCCATTTCATTCAATTTTTCAAATGTTGGGGAATTTTTCTGGAATTAACTCTAAATGCCTGTATCTAAGTTCAGAAAAAGAAAAAGAAAATTGTTATCTTGTGTTCTACCCTGGGTTCCAGAGGATATTTTTTTCTTATGGACACTGATGGTTCGCGGCGAAGCCGCGTTAACGAGGCGCAACGCGGCTTCATTATCGATAAGAAAAAAAATCCTCTGGAACCCAGGGTACTTGTGTTCACGTTCCCCATAAAACGTGAATCTACGAAGTTTCACATTGTAGTCGTGCAACAACGACAAAGAAATGTACAAAAACGTGTGCCGCACGTGCAAAGTTGTTGTTTTGCCACTCTAAACCTATTGTTTTTTTGCCGTTTTCGTTGCCGTCGCCGTCGTCGTTGCTTAAGCTCCCTATCCTTGCTATTAAAAACTCGTAGGAGAATGACGACGGCTATCTCGTTTTCCCGCAAAATGGCTCTGGTCCACGCGCGCGCACTACTTAGAAAATCTCGTACTCGTCGTCGTTCTCGTCTTCAGAGAATCTAAAGGTCTCTAATATTAATGCTTTAAATCTATAACAGAGGTGTCCCCCATACTTCACATGTGTCACATGCTGGGAACAGAAATGATCCACTTTGTCCATCAGATGCAGTACTACATCACCTTCGAGGTAAGAACAAGGGGCCTGAGGGGGGTGTTCCCTACGGGTATCCCGGTGTCCCCCATACTTCACATGTGTCACATGCTAGGAACAGAAATGATCCACTTTGTCCATCAGATGCAGTACTACATCACCTTCGAGGTAAGAACAAGGGGCCTGAGGGGGGTGCTCCCTACGGGTATCCCGGTGTCCCCCATACTTCACATGTGTCACATGCCTGGAACAGAAATGATCCACTTTGTCCATCAGATGCAGTACTAAATCACCTTCGAGGTAAGAACAAGGGGCCTGAGGGGGGTGTTCCCTACGGGTATCCCGGTGTCCCCCATACTTCACATGTGTCACATGCTAGGAACAGAAATGATCCACTTTGTCCATCAGATGCAGTACTACATCACCTTCGAGGTAAGAACAAGGGGCCTGAGGGGGGTGAGCTCCCTACGGGTACCCCGGTGTCCCCAACACTTCACATTTGTCACATGCTGGGAACAGAAATCATTCACTTTATCCATCAGATGTAGTTCTATATCACCTTCGAGGTTAGAGCAAGGGGCCCCGAGAGGGGTACTCTCTATTGGGTGCCTTTTTCAGGCTTAGGTATATCAAAGGGTAGGGAATTTGCGAGTTGAAGTATATGAAAGGATAGGAAAATCTAAGATTCAAGTATTTTAAAAGGTTCTTTGTTTAAAATGCTTCGAAAAGACGTGCCTTATGGCTATGTCATTTTATTAAAACGTTACACGTCACGAAAAACAGAAAAGGACTGGCTGTGTTGGGGATTTATTCTGATAAGTAGGTATGTTGAAGGTTACAGTTTTTCAAAGGAAGGTATACGAAAGGAGTTCCTTTTCTGCCAAAAATGGTATTTGATGGTGAGTGATCCTGGAAGTAACGTAAAACCAAAACAACTTACGCAGTTCAAAATGAGCCGCAGGATTAGCGCAGTCGTGAGAGCGCTTGACTGCAGAGCGGGAGGTCGCGGGTTCGATTCCCGGGGCCGGGCCAATACTCAGGGTCTGAAAATAACTGAGAAATGAAGGTACTACCTTTGCCCTGGACCTTCGTATGGCTCGGATGACCACGTAAAATGGCAGTCCCGTCTCCAATTCAAGACGTAAAAGAAGTGTCCTTAATCAGTACTTTCGTGCTAAACACCTTGACAAATAAAGTGCATTTTTTAGACCTCAGAGCTGAGCTCTGGCAGTCGAGACAAGCGTAGGTAGTTCTTTGTCCTGTTGTACCCACCAAGCGAGTCGAGCAGTAATACAGCAAACTATAAATTTGGAGAACGAAGTTGAAAGCAATTGTTTGTCTCATGATCCTGTCAGGTCTTAGAATGTTGCTGGGCAGAGCTTAAGAAACAAGTAACAGAGGCCAGTGACTTGGATCATATAATAGCGGCACATGAGACATTCCTGGACCAAGTGTTAAACCGGTGCTTGCTGGATGCTGAGTCACGAGTAAGTACAGTCCTGACTGGCTTCTCCCAGAAGTGGCAAAGTCGTAATAGGCCTTTTTACCGATAGGGCGGCCATATTGAATTAATTCGATTTAAGGAGTATTCTAGGATGCCCAGGGGGCATGAGCACATTTTGTTTGTATTTTCGAGCGCTTTCTTAGAATAAGATTGTGATGGGAAAAAGATCCTTGTGCCGTGTTTGGATGTAATAATGATCGCCTTTTTCTAGTTTAGTATTAGAAATATGGTCTTTCACTGTATATTTCTCTGGAAAAAGGCGATCATTATTTCATCCAAACACGGTACAAGGATCTTTTTTCCTATTAGAATCTTATTCTAAGAAAACTTTAAGAAAAAATGTCCCGAAAACCGCTCGAAAATACAAACGAAATGTGCTCATTACCCCTGGACATCCTATAATACTCCTTAAATCGAATTAATTCAATATGGCCGCCGTAGTGGTAAAAAGGTCTATTAAAAGAAAAGAATTCGTATGGTAAAGTCTTTAAAAAAACCAAGAGCATTACTTCATCGTACTGGGAAAGAGGTCTCATTTGAATGGTTACACCCTAAAATTTCGTCTACAGACGCAAACGTTACCACCACCTTGTACAGCATAGAAAACTATCCCAAAGTTAAAGTACTGCTCAGTAGCGTCCATTTGAATGGTCACACCATAAGACTTTATCCGCGGACTCAGAAGTTAAAACCACCTTATACAGCATAATAAACAGTACCATAGTAAAGTGTTGCTCTGTAACTTTCATTTGAATGGTCACACTTAAGGAGTTCGTCCACGGACGCAATAGTTAGAACCACTTTTTACAGTATAATATACAGTAACAAAGACAAGTACTGCTCAGTCGTTTTCATATGAATGCTCACACCATAGGATTTCATCCACAGACTCAAAAGTTAGAACTACATACTAAATAAATAGTACCATAGTAAAGTGTTGCATTTGAATGGTTAAACTGCTGAAGACGCAATAGTTAGAACCACTTTTTACAGTATATCAAACAGTAACAAAGGCAACTACTGCTCAATTGTTTTCATATGAATGGTCAACACCATAGGATTTCATCCACAGACTGAAAAGTTTGAATCACCTTGTACAGCATAATAAAGAGTAACAAAAAAATATACTGCTGAATGGTCAAATACAGATTCATGTAGAACATCATGACACGTCTCCGTGACAGACTTGGAGAGGTGAAAGTGTCAATAGAGCTACTACGGCAGCTTATGTCAGGCTAGTCTCCTTCGAAGCTATTCCCAGTTGTGTCGTCACCCAGCGCTCCTCCCCAACTGGAGGAACACTGTGTGACGACACAAAGAACGGCGGCAAAGGGAACCAGTTTGGAATTTTCCCTTTCCGGTCTCCTATCCCCTATGTTCTAATAAAGACCCTGATACTCAGATTAGCTGTTTTCACTTGTTTTCACCTGTTTACTTTCTATGCCAGCTGTTCGATCGAAGACGCTAGGTGATAGAGCTTTTATGGTAGCAGGCTATGGAACTCTCTTCCAAAAGAACTTCGTGCGATTACTAATATGAACAGTTTTAAGGCGCATATTAAGACTTATCTTTTTAAAACTTTGTATTGGTGAGCAATTTTATATTCAGTTCTTACTTGCATGCATATATATTCTTTTTATTTTTTAATGCATTATCTTTTGTTTGTTTCTTTTAAAGTAATGTAGTTGTAATGCGCAGCTGATCATTGTTATGTTAAGCTGCGCACAATAAGTTCATAAATTATTTTTATTATTATTATTATTATCTTAGAAAATGCTGACACAGCTGCGAGCCATATTTGATCTGATCATCCAGTTCCAGAATGCTCAAGAGTCCTTCTTTTCTGCTGCAACTACTGAGTTACAGTTACGACAAAGGCTAGAAAAAGCTGTTGAACTGAGAACAGACGAGGTGAGGGACCTATCTGATTTGGTGCTTACGAAGTTCAAATACCGAATAAATAAATAAATAAATAACGATTTGCAGGTAGCACATCCACATAGTGGTTCTTCGTCTACCTGATTCCTGGTCGAATTGGAATTTGGAAATGTTGGTTTTTGAGGAGAGGGGAAAACCGTAGTACCCGGAGAAAAACCTCTCGGAGCAAGGGAGAGAACCAACAACAAACTCAACCCACATATGGCGTCGACGCCGGGATTTGAACCCGGGCCACATTGGTGGGAGGCGAGTGCTCTCACCACTGCGCCACCCTTGCTCCCCGAATACGATTCTTAGCCAGTGAATAAAACGTATTAGTAATTCTATGAAATGCGCATTCTGATATGCAGACGTACGCCATACATTTGCTTATAGATAACGAGAATAACTGGGGTTTTTCCCTATAAGTAGATAGATAGTATCTGTTAAATTTGCCAGACAACACTCTTATATTTCAGATAGGATACTAGCGATATTACTATAGCAATAATTAGAAGGCTCACTCTCCTTCCTTACATGCTTTCTATGTGTTGCAGCCATCTTGGTCTTAGATGATTCTTAGCAAGTGAAGAAGCTGCTAAATAGTGTTGTCATAGCGCGCGCCGGTTGTCCATACCGAGCTATGAGCGGCAAACTAATAAAACAGGGAAATCGTCGCCACCTCTCTTTAACAGAGACACCAAAGTAGCGACGTAGCTTGACTTTTTGAGGAATGAGCTACTAAGTTAAAGAAAGGGATCGGCGATCGTTTGAGTGTGAGAGGGTAGACCGGGCTGGTGTTGTGTTGAATTGCACTCTGGGACTGTTTTGGTGACGCTTTCGCTTCTTGTATTGGCTATTACAAGGGCGCACAGGAAACTGGGTCAAAATTCCTTCCCCAGAACAGCCCCATAGTGCAAATCGATACAACCTCGGCCCAGTCCTAACTGCAACGTTAAAATGGCCACTTGTAGAAATGACCGCAAGTGTTTTTTTTTTCTACTGACTTATAGGGCGAATGGGGTATGACAGAATGGGATGAGGAGGAAGAGAGGAGAAGATCGGTGAAGTTTATTGATGATGTGATTCCTGATACCCGAGCCCAGTTAAGGGTGCTATCAAAGTCATACCAGGTAGGTTGGGAATATACAGACAACTGAAACACGGATATTTTCACATTATTGAACGAAATATCTTCTCACAATAGAGTGCGTTGCCTGTAAGGATGTAATTACATGTAATGATTCCTTGTGCAAGATGTTACATTACGGAAGATCTCCATTGCTAGTTGAGTCTCCATGATTAATTAAAGAAAGCGACACGCTCCTTTGCGTATAAAACCTGTCCTGCGACAGAAAAGGTACTCCGTCATGGGAGTTCTCCTACCGGAATTACGTCCCTAGTGCAAAATGTCCTGCAAGAAATATCGCCTTGCGTTAGGATGGATTTCCACTGTCGCGTAATTTTAGTATAGGTAATAGCATGATTTGTAGTGATATTTGGCATAAATACCACAAGTGATATTTCGAAATTGTTATACGTAGTTTCACGAGCCTTCAAGCGAGTGAAATTTGAGACAATTTTGAAATATCACGAGTGGTATTTATGCCAAATACCACTTACAAATCATGCTATTATTTGTTTATACTAGTACCCATAGAAGGTTTGTAATTTTCACATGTAGGTATTTCAAATTAAGCTGAAATACCACTGCTCTAAGCCAATCAAATTGAAGAAAATATCTCATGTAGTAGTATAAACGCACGTAACATTGCCTCTATTTTATTTGCGCGTGTAAAATTTACCTGCGTACTCATGTACAACCAATTACGCGACAGTGGTAATCCACCTTTAAAGGGATGAGCGCAGCGCCCTTTGGGTGTACGAAGTTGGACGTTGTGAGAGTAGAGAGGGTTCAACAGAAACGTCTCCTTCTATTGTATCCTTCCTCATTTTTCGTTTTCTTTTTTCTGTTCGTAGGACATGGTCCAGCAGTTTCTAATGATGTTAACCAGCCATCAGGATGTCAGTTTAAGATTCCTTAGTTTCAGACTCGACTTCAATGAGCATTACAAGAAAAGGGAACCAAAGCTACGAAGTCCTCTGACCCACAGATTCAGCAAACGAGTTAAAACTCCAGCTAATTAGATACAACTCCTTTGATATAAGATGGACAGGTTATCCCTTTACCCTTGAAAAAAAATCGCCCATTGGGTTTGTTTGAAGCCAATCGCTTACAATATTTAAGCTGAATGTATTTTGGTGAGATCTTGTCGGGATACCCTCTTGATGGGGCGGGGTACAAACGGTCGTGTTGGGATACTTTAAAGCCTCATTCAAAGAACGAGACAGAAATCTCATATCCGCGGTGTTTAAAATTTTGACTTTATTAAATAAAGAAATACATGAAGGAAGTAACTTTGAGGCTTTCTTGAATACCGTAATCTGCCGCTTACGTGTCCCTCCTCCCTCCTCCCTCCCCCATCAGTTAAAAGCCCCTCAGTTGTAGGCCTACCTACCCGTAAACAAAAAAGTGCGTCCGACTATAACGTCACTCCGGATATAAGCTCCCCTCCAGCTACGAATATAAGCATACCTCATAATTCGATTTATTATGACGTTTTGAAGCTTATTAACAACTAGTAATTGCAAAACGTATTTTCATCAGCACTGGTGTGGCCTGTTTCGAGCCGCCTTTTCTATTCCGGTTATGACCCCCTTCGGATTTATAAGCCCTCCGACAGCCCCTTTGGAAGATGGGGCTTGTGAGCGGCAGTTTACGGTACTAGATCCACGAAGGCGTTTAGCCAATGTACGGTTCCCATGCTACCAATGCTTGGCGTTGGTCAGCGGAAACTCTAGCATCAATGGGAAATATATTATCAGGTGTTCGAGGATGTTCTTTACAGACCGTCGATAAGTTTGGATTTCTAAATATGGTAGCATAATAAAACTGCACAAAACTGCCCCTTATTGCAATGTCTCCAATTTTCATGATATTGTCAAATTGTTTGCTGCCTGCGTGCCGGTCGATTTTCTTCGCGAAAACCGCCATGTCGTAAAACAGCAAGGATAGATTGCGTAGTAAATACATCCAAAGTGTTAGGATGTAAAGGTAATAAATAAACTCTACATAATGCTGGTTTGAGACTCTTCTCTTTATCCACGTCTTTACGGTCGATTTATCGATAAACTTAAGAGCAAGGGATAGTACAATTAGAGTTGCGTTTTCAAGTATTAAACTCGCTCCAAGCCAATCCCACTTGTTCGAATTAAAGTCCATGTTGATAGTGGAGAGGGTGCCTATACAAAATAAACCAATCCAAAACCAGAATACGGCCAGACGAGGAGCTATAAGTAAAAGATTAATGACGTTGAATTTATCCCAGCAAAATAACAACAAAATTGCCAGAAATGAACTTCCATCTTCGACAAATGTCCCCGCCATGTTAACTTTGTCTTTCACGTCCTGGGTGAGAACTTTATTTCCACACGTCTCGGTACTTGTTTCATTTGCAAGACAAACCATCGCAGGTACAAAGAAAAAAAGTGTGAAACTCACCCTTATTACCCATAAGAAAGAAAAAATACAGCAAACGACGCAGAGAAGCACCATCTTGAAACACAACTCGGTGGCGCGAGACTGGAAGTTTCCAAGAAGACTCTTCCTTCCTCAGCCAAGGACAAGCTGTCAACTATACTGTTGCAAAGCAAATTGGAATGTTTAGACTATGATATGATAATGCACTTTCCTTCACTTATGCTTTGTTTTATCTTTGATGCCTCCTTTGATTCTGAGTACTGATTTCGATGGAATATATGGAACATATCCAAACGAAAATGTCGCAGCCCGCGCCAGGTTTCTTGGAAACCGAAACCTGTTCGGAACTCTATGGGTGGTCAGTAACGAAAATATAAACGGCCGTCGGACAACTTGTTTACATTTTTCGGATTTCGGATTTATAGTAAGTCTCATTCAGTTTCACCCTATTAGTCCATGAAAATTGGTCAGTAGTTTTTGAAAGATTTCACTGAAAAATCATAGCAAGATTGCAAGTACTCGATGCTTGTACTGAACACTCGCCAGACTACCTTTATAATAAATGCTCCTTTGTTTCTGAATTAGATAGAGTACCTTGCGCTACCCATCTAGTGCTGCCAAAACGCTCACCAGTTCCGGGAATTCACGATTTCAATATCGCTACGATTGAGGGCAATGTTTACAGATCCAGTAATCGAACCCACAACAGCGGTGAGAGAACAACACCATGCTCTGGTTTGCGGGATATGTTCAAGCTTTTCTAGTCCTCTTAAGATTTATTCTGAATCTTTTGAATTTTATCCCAGCCGCCGCCTGTCTTTACTATTCGACCCCAATCGAGCATTGTAGAGTAAACAATACGTCGCACAATATTCTGGGTCAACAAAAACTCAGCAATGCTGTGAATGCGATAGGAACGCTCGTGGAGGACGGAAATTCACTTCTGCTAATAACGGCTATCTTTTCCTGGAAGATCTTCAACGTCAAAGAGTTCTTCTGCGCGGTCCTTCGAGTAGGACATTTCTGGGTTTGGTGCCTGTTTTGCGTTTCCAACGCTTTGTCCATTCTCTACGTGGATATCGTCCATGGAAAGGATCACACTGGAAAAGTAAACGTCCAAGCAGTGGCTCTGATATCAGAAATGTTGCTTCTTACGATACTTGCCAGCGCCGTTAACTTCATTGCCCATGACACCTACATAAACTGGGTTGAAAATCGCTTCCATGGCCAGTTCAACACCCAACGCCTGTTTAAACCTCTCTGTCGCCTAGTTCTGAGCGCGTACTTTGTTCGCAATCTTGGTTTCTTTCTCTATGACACAGCGCTGGTTTCCTTAAGTATTTCGCTGGTTAAAGGAGGAACTGTGCAAGGCTCGCGCGACTGGGATAGCTTGCTCCTGTTGCTTAGCGCGGCATTTCGGGCAAGTTTAACCAAATTCTTCTTTGAAAAGATGTTTCAAGGACAACAACTACCCACGGTAAGATAAAGGTCATTAAAAGTTAATCTGGCTTTACAAGATTATAACATCTCTTCATTAAAAAGGGTAACAGAGGAAATCAGTCTACTGGACGAATTTTTACCTTAACCCCTCCACGTACGGGGAGAATTAAGTCTATTAAAATATGATATTCTCTGTGCAAGTAACTGCGATAGAACATTAACAGTAATTTCATTCAAATACAGTTGACTCCCGATAACTCGAACCCTCGCTAACTCGAACCTGTCGAACCTCGCGCGCGCTAACTCGAACCAAAATCGATTTCCCCTGAATTTCTGTCATACATTTACTGTATTTTACCCTCGGTAACTCGAACCTCCCGCCAACTCGAAGCAGTTTTTGTTTCCCCTCAGATCACTTCTATATAATTTTTCCCTCTGTAACTGGAACCGTGTTTTGAGCCCTTAAAAAGTCGGGGAAAAAACAGTCTATTCTATTGAATTTTGAATTTCCAATTGTCGTATTGTAGGCATATAGTTTATCAGTGGAGGTTGGTGTTGTTTGGCACAAATCTAACGTTAAACAGCTTTACTTTTCAAAACAGCAAAAACGCATGCTCTATTTAGGCTATTTTTTGTTACGTTACGTTCTGATTTATAATCTAGAAGTACCTTTTAATTTTCACTTGACATTTCTACAATTAAATGTGTTTAAAATATTTGCTGTGACTGCGCAGTTTTCCTTCCTCCCGGCTATTTTCTTCGAGCTTCCGATAACTCGAACTTTTTTCGATTTCCCTTGAAGGTTCGAGTTATCGGAAGTCGACTGTATTACTTTATAAACTAAGTTGGTTGGCAAGTTTCAAAGGCGGGCGCATTACCTGCTCACTCACAGAGAGGAAATATCATTTTCTCGCGAAGTAAGGGGCGGAAGACCAGAGCGTAGCGAGGTTTACACATTAGGCGGGATTCTCGAAGTCTCGCAGCCGTCTCTGTCTCGTCACGAGACAAAATCGGCTACGAGGGAGACTAGGATTCTCGTCACGCGTGGATCGATTAGGGCAGTGGAATCTTGAAATTTGTTGCCTGGAAGCTAGATTAATGGTTACTCAGTAGGACAGAAAATTGTCAATGCTTTTATTCTCGACAGGTATGCGAAAAGGAAGAGGACACGAGGACTTTATTGGGAGACATACAAAGCAGGCAACTGGGAGGATACCAATTTCTTGAAGCCTCAACAGAAAGAAGTTTGACCTGAGAATAGAAGGACCTTTCATTGTTATTAGTTTTGGGAAACCTTCTTCCCTCCACACCCCCTCCCCCTCTTCCTCTACTCATGAGAAAGCTTTCCGAGCGAATAGTTACAGTTACAGGTGGAAACGAGGCAGGAGCTGACCTTTTTTTGGTACAACCCTTCCTGCTTTGTTATGCCAATCATGTTCTTATGCTGACTAGCATTTTTTAAGCATAATTTCCATAAGAAAAAGAGAGAGGTTTGTATCAAAACAAGGTCAATCTCCGCCTCACATTCATTCAAAGGCTGGGATAACTGTAAAATGGTCTATTGTATGAAAGGAAAAGTTTCATTGGAAGAAACGTCTCGTTTTCGAAGGTTTGGATTGACGTAATCATCATCTCGTTGAGCATCATTGTTTTTTTTTTTTATTATTCCTATTTGGTTTTAAATGTACTGTGTAAAGGACCATATAGTACGAAGAGGTCTCTAAAACTTACAACCAGCAGCTTCAGTGGGGAAAAGGCGTACATTGAATGAGGGTAGACTTAAAAACCTAACACTTTCAAATCAAAGATACAATTAGTCTCAGTTTTTAAGAAAGTAAAATTGTGGTTTATTTGAGGCACTTCTGAAAGCGGAAGATCTATCAGTACTTTTTTGAAACCGTTCCATGTTATTAACTGAAAATGAAAATGGGTGGAAACAAATATTTTTGTTCACTGAGGAGAGTCTTTCATTAAGATTCCAAACATCGAGAAGAACTTACGGCTTTATAAATGAAAGCTCAGCTGATTTTATTTATGCACCGGTGTTTGTATACCTGTCGTATACAAGAAGAGGTCTGATGTGATTTTGATATTCCGACTTTTAACACTATTAACTATGGAAAGCATTCTCTTAGATATCAAGGACCTCATATATGGTCAAAAACTAGATATTAAATTGAAAGGCTCCTCGAATATTGAATCTTTCAAAAAAAATATTAGGAAAAAAGACCTAACGTCACTCTTAAACAACAACAATAGCTGCTGTAACCTTTAGAGACTACCTTTATATACCTACTGTTTTATTATACAATTTATACGTGCTACCTACATATTTTAATTGTATATACATTATTATTATTATTATTATTTATTATTTGTAAATAATTTTTATTTTTGTGTCCCCAATTAGTTCTGAAAACTAAATACATTGACACATTAATAAAGCTTTTACTTTACTTTACTTTACTTACTGATCAATTGGTGTCGAGAGCCATTATGTTATTATTACAATATTATGGCTCTTGTTGGTGTAGAATTTCATAGCTGAAATTAGCTAAATTTTACAGCGATCAATCCCAGTCACAACGCTAGCAATGAAATCTCCATCACAATCACCTGGTTTATTGGAACAGGGAGTAAGAGGTTGGGACAAACGAATTCAAAGGTTTGAAGATAAATGCCTGTGAGCGATGCAGTTAAGTATGTTAAAAAGACATTCGAAAATAATGAAATGTCCATGATCAAAAATCACCTGGTTAATGGTGGAACAGGGGGGGGACACGGTCATCCAGACCCTGAGATAAGGGGTTGGGACAAACCCGAGATTCAAAGGTTTGAAGATAAATGCCTGTGAGCGATGCAGTTAAGTATGTTAAAAAGACATTCGAAAATAAGTGAGGAAATGTCCTCTGTTTTTGATCAAAACATACTGAGATCTTGTCTTCATTCAGGCCCTTTTCAGGGCACAGTGGGGGATCCAGGCCCTTCAGTCATCCAGACCCTGAGGGGGGACACAGTCATCCAGACCCTGAGATAGGGGGGGACACGGTCATCCAACCCAATTTTTTGGTCATCCTTCAAGCCATCAGACCCTGAGATAAGGGAGGGACACGGTTTTGTCGGAAAAGATAAGGGGAGGGCGGTCTCAAAAAAATTTTCCCCGGGCCCATTTTGGTCCCTGGGATGGGGGGACGGGCCCCCCGGGCCCCTCCCCTGGATCCGCCCCGCTGCATGTTCACCTGTGGGTATGTTACCCTTCTAGCTTTATAGAAGGTGTATGAAATGAGTACTTCTTAATAAAAAGTGATATGCAAAGGGGAGATCGATCGAGGCTTTCAACCTCAGCGCGGCGAATCCCCGTACAAGACTTTCAATGAATGATTTTTGTTTTGCTTTTATGCCACGGCCGGCGGGTTGAAGTTTGGATCGTTTTCACATGACATCACGGCGGCCGTTGTTAGTGACAATGAAATGGCGGCCATGTATGTGTAGCTAGAAAATTCTGTGGGGATTGATGTAAAAATACCGTAAAATTCCCAAAATAAGCCCCGGGGCTTATATTTATCAAAGGCCCTTTTTGAGAGGCTTATTTTTGGAGGGGCTTATATTCGGAGGGGCTTGTTTGCGTTTCAAAATCGATTGGGCTAGCCTCATGGTCGGAGGTAAATTTACCTTTTTTGCTTTGTTTTACTTTGTATTTGAGGGCAATTTTCCAAGTACAAGCCCCAAGGGGCTTATATTTGGAGGGGCGATTTAACGGAGGGTTTTTTGCGTTACCGGTTGGGGAGGCTTATACATGTAGTTGGAAGGGTTTATACATGGAGGGGCTTATTTTCGAAATTTACGGAAACCTTGTTTTCCTGAGAAATTCACATAGGGCTCTGATCACTTGAGTTAAAACGATATATTATTTACTTTTGGTCTATTTTTCGTTGAATTATTGATTTTCAATTGGTTGACGATTCCCGTGGCGTTTTTTTTTGTCACCTGCGTTAATTCCACGTGTTGAAAAGGTTAGTTCGATTATTGGATTTTAAAAAAATTCATTTAAGAGTAAATATATCAAAAGGTAATTGCCACAATAAAACTTTTTTATCTGAGCTGAGGGAACGTGACCAAAAGTGTTTCGATGTCACCAACTTCATTCCCAGGTCGGGTTCTAGGAGAGGAACCTGTGAACAAAGTTCTTTTGAAATAGAAGTGACATATCTCATGATATCTAGAAGAAATATAAAATACAAATAATCGCTAGGAATTAAATTGCTTTTGAACTAGCTTTCCTGAATTTTTGTTTTGTTTTGTTTTGTGAATTGCGGTTTTTGAAAACACGTTAGCCTAACGGTTTTTCAAAGTTCATTTTTGTTGTTTTGCGTTTGATATGACTCTGGGACACAAATTTAGTGTCTGACACGAAGTTGAATTTTTTTGTTTTTAAAGTTTAGTTTAGTTCTATAACTAACAAAGAAGCTTGATTAGCAAATTATCAACATGAACAGCACGGCCTTGACACTGCAGCCCCATAAATTTTGTTTCGATTTTCGCTATTTGCGTGCAAGTCACCTGTTAACAATTTTTAATAATTATAATTATAATTATAATAGCTTGTATGTGTTATCATACTATCTTGTTTTGAAAGATTTAGGAAATAATTAATTCCTAACAGTTAGAGACCTCATTAGATTTTGAAGTCTTCAGGTTTTCATTCAATAAAATATACACGTGTCTGGGTCACAGAGACCGGCTTTAAAATTTGATGAAGAACCCGTAGTTAGCAGAATAAAAGGCACAAGCCGTCACAAAAGCTTAATCCATCTCAGCTGGATTTTAGCTTGGTCCGCCCTTTCGTATACAGCTGAGGAGAGACGCCACAGTTCGATCTGTTGATTACGAACCGCTTAAAGATAGCGTCTCAAGAAAGAAGATGGCTCGTCTAAGGCGAAAAGGGACTGGCGAATTTCCAAGAAAATGCTGCTCGTGTTGGGTGAGAATTTGGCGAGCTCTGAAGCAAGACATACTGCTTTTCATGATCATAATCGGCGTGGTCGTCGGGTTTATAATCGGAGCCGCCGCGAACCCCTCCGTCAACGAGATCGTGGATCCAGAGCAAAAAGCGACGACTATCATGTTGATTGGTTTTCCTGGCGAGCTGTTTATGAATATGCTGAAGATGTTGATCCTGCCATTGATTGTAGCTAGCTTGATCTGTGCGCTAGCTACGCTGGACTCGAAAGCAACGGGAAAAATCGGTCGACGTACAGTACTCTACTATCTTACAACAACCTTACTGGCTGTAGTCCTAGGAATAGTTCTGGTGGTTAGTATCCGACCGGGAGATTCTGGGGACAAAGGGGAAGTCAAACAAAAAGATGCAAATGAGCCACATCGTAACTTGGATTCATTCCTCGATCTGATAAGGTAGACCATTTACTTTCTTTAATCTTCACACTTTCGCCCGTCTATAATACTTTAAAGAACAGCAAGGCCCACAAGTTCTGCTTAGTAGCTTAAGTTTGTAGTGTTTATTTTGCCAGCGAACAATGCACACGACTTGTATATATAAAAACAGGAACCGCAAGAAAACACTTTTTGACAACGTTCATGTTTAATGGTCTCAAATTTATAGTGATAACTGAATGTTTCTTGTACAAACATCATAGATAGCTCAGAAAAGAAATAGGAGTTTAGGTTTTTGAAGTTTATTGTAAATGGTACAACATCCGCCGTAACTGAGTTGACTGGTTTGTTACATAATTCGGTAATGCTCCGGTAAAATAATAAATATTTAACTACTAGTTCTCAATTGAAGCATTGACCTAATAAAAAGATCAAGGCTTACTTTTTTTTGCCTAAAACCAAAGACATACACCTACTTGCAGGGGCGGTGGAAAACAGGGTTATTAACTACTTCGTTTCACTTAGTAGAAGAAATCATGTGGTTCTCGAACTTTCAATTTGAATTTTTGTAACATGCGTAAGCACCTTAACAACGAAATAAAGAAATCATAGTAAATGTCGATGTTTATGAAAGAATTTTAAAATCTTCTCCCTGGGAGAGCCTAGATCTCGTGTTGTGAAGCAGCTGTTAGTAAAGCGGTTTTTCACACACAAAAAGAAACAAGTAAATCTTTTTATGAACCTTTGTTGCAGAAAAATAGATATTCGAACTTTAACGATGTTTTCGCAGTTCAAATTTTTAAGGCTGAAAAGAACAGAAACATATTTAACTACATCTTAACCTAAAACTAATGAAATGTTTCATTTTTTGTCCTATTCCGCCTTCTTGAAAAACTAACATTTTTTAGTTGTTTGAGAGCACTAAACTGAAGTTTGAAACATATTTTGTCCTTGAATTAATATGAATTATCATTCGCATTTGTAAATGTGAATTAATTTTTCATTCTCACTCTGTAAACTAAGGGGGGAGGGGTAAAGGGCCGACTATCAATTTACGTACCAAAATATGTGAAATCAGACTTGCTGTAATAAGGGGAAAGATGGTAATTATGAATTCAGTTAGAACTTCTTCGTCAAAAGAGATTCATCATTTTAGCTTGGTCACTGATTCATGTGCTGCGGACTGTATGACTAACGTGTGATCGCTCTACTGAGACGATTGAGCTCCGAATTGCGGTTACTAGCAGTATATATACTAACAGTACATATACACCTTGTTTTCACTAACCAAGGAAACTTCTCGTGCACTGGTTCAAGTATTGATATCTTCTTATCATTACTTTTCTGTTTGATAAAGTTAATTATTACATTAGGCTGGATGAAATCTGATGTGGACCAGCTACAGCAATGCACACACACCGACACACATATATGTCTAAGGTTGACCACTGTACCGGCGTCCGAGTCCGCTACTCTTTACGAACAGACGAGTGTCGATTCTGTTGCGAACCACAAGATTCAGAACAATGAAAGATTTGTGAGACGGGTCTTAAGGTTTTTTCTCCTTGTTAAAGGAGTGCTTTGCCTGATCACAGTGTAATAAGGGTTTCAATAGACTTTTTTTCTGAGTCTTTAATATTATTTTGTGTTTATTTATTGTAGAAGCTGTTTTCCAAAGAATATAGTCGAAGCAACCTTTCGCCAGGTAAGATATGCCGTCCGCAGTTTTCAATTCTTTCAATTAGTCAACTACTGTAGCTAATCAGTGAAATCAGGCAGTTAGAAGTCTTTCGTATCATCAATCAGTTAGTCAGGTAGTCAGTCAGTCAGTTAGTTGATTGAGTGATCTGGATCAGTCAGTGTTCAGTCATTCAGTCAGTCAGGAAGTCATGAGTCAGGCAGGCAGGCATGCAGACAGGCAGGCAGTCGTTCAGTTATGCATTCAGTCAGGAAGTCAGTCAGGCAGTCAATCAATCAGTCTGGTAGTCAGTCAGTCAGTCAGGCAGTCAGTGAATCAGTCTGGTAGTCTGTCAGTCAGTAAGACAGTCAGTCTGATTCAGTCGGCCAGCTAGCTAGTCAGTTCAGCAGTTGGTCGGGCGCTCTGGGTCAGTCACTATTCAGTCAGGAAGTAAGTCAGTCACCGTCACTGTCAGTCCGTCAGGCCAAAAGTGCACAATCACTTCGGCTTACCAATCAAGTGTCTTTTCGCACGTTTGGTTTTTCCATCAGAAAAACACAAAATACAAGTCGCTTTCAGCAAAGATCAAGTCCTACAACAAAACAGTAGATGTCAGCAACCTAAACCCAAACGATTCCACGATCATTTACAACAATGGAACTCACAATTATACCACAGTCACTGACCTTATCTACCCTGGCTCGGATACCATACCTGATGGCCAGAAAATCGCCAGCGAAGGTGGAATGGATGTGCTTGGTTTGGTTGTCTTCTCGATCGTGTTTGGCATTGTTCTTGGAAGAATGGGCGATCGAGGAACGCCATTGAAAGCTCTCTTCGAGACTTTGAACGAGGTTGTGATGAGAATGGTGACCTTAGTTATGTGGTATGTTACCGATAGGTTTCACGAAATACAGTTTTTAACTTCAAGCATAAAGGTCATAGTTTTCCGAGAAAATTACCAGCTTCATTGTAAAAATGCAAATGCATGCATTTAAAATTACTTTATAAGTTGTTTCTCTCTGAAGTAATAAAACGAGCGACCCTCAAGTGTGCACGAAACCTCGTTTCATGAAGACTCCTGGAAACGCAAACTGGGGCTCTAAATTTTCTCGCTCTAATATCATCAAAGGCAAAACAACAATCGCAGTATTTTATATTCTCAAAAAAGATCTCTCAGTTATTTTGAAAAAGCTGTACTAAAATGCTCTATTCTCATGGTTCTTCAGCTACACTCTAACGAGATGTACAAACTTCCCCCAGGTACTCCCCCATTGGAATTTGTAGCATGATTGCTGCCAAGTTAGCCGCCATGGACGACATACTGAATGCACTAAGGTTGCTGGGAATGTTCATGGTGACAGTCATTGTGGGCCTTTTGATCCACGTCTTTGTTGTGTTGCCAGTTATCTACGTCACCATTACACGAAAAAACCCGTACAGGTTCATGAGTGGTCTGCGCGAGGCAATGGTGACCGCGTTTGGCACAGACTCGAGGTTAGTGTTTAGCAAATCTAAAGCACCTAGCTCGGATACTAGGGAGCAGTTCAGCTAATCGGGACGGGATACCAGTGGGCAAAATTTTGCATTTTGCAAAGTTTTGCACTTAACAGCAAATTAAAACGGCGGGACTAAGGAAATTAACCCAATTCTTTGATACGGCTTTACTTTTACAAGCCCTCCGTATTGCTGGATGTGTTAAGTGTCGGAACAAGATCTTATGAACCAACAACTGGCCTGCTCCCAGCATCAGTGGCTTTACAGCTCAGCCCTCAAGCCATTTTCAATCTCACTTCCGCTGTAGTTGCCGAAATTGCGTTTATAATACATGTAGAGGGATTATTTGTTTCTTTGACCATTTCGTTGTAACTCACGCTTAGACAACTGTTACACCAAAATATAACTTCAGTTAGTAGAAGATTTTCTGTGTTTGTTAATTTTTCTGAACTGGTTTCTGTCATGGTACCTTTTTTTTTACGTAAGAGGATAATCAGCCTTCAGTCTAACGCCCAATTTGGAGAACAAGCAGGTGACGGTTGCTCTTCGTCTGCTCCCCACCTTTCGACCTGTCCATCTTGGGTGGCCCTACAAGAAGTCTAGGACTTCAGCCGGCATAGCTTTAGCGTTCACTGGGATACTGAAACTGAACCACCTCAGCTAGAAAAAGAGGTGATCTCAATAGAGGCTGCTCTTTTTTTCAACGAGGCACAAGGAAAGTATGTGAGGTTGAAGATGAAGGTGCGGTGATTTTTCCAAACTTCTTGTTACCGTTTCTTTTATCCGTAGCTCAGCGACTTTACCAACTACCTTTCGTTGCCTTGAAGAAAAGAACAGTATTGACCGCCGTATCAGCCGTTTTGTTCTTCCCCTGGGCGCCACCGTAAACATGGACGGAACAGCATTATATGAGGGTGTTAGCGCTATTTGGATTGCTCAACTAAACCGTATTCCTCTTGCGCCTGGACAGATTGTTACTACAGTGTAAGTTTGATGAATATTCGCCGCTTTAGAAGCGAAAACTTAGCTTTCGAAAAGACTTCTGGGATCGTTACTCAGGGGACGCGTCGGTCAGTTCTTGGCCAATTCCCTCCACCACCCCCAACCCCCCCCCCCCTCGGGGGAAGTCTCATATAAAAGTGAAGGGGATGCTCGTTGGGAAATTGAAATTTAACCCCCTAAGGGAGCCTAATGTGGGTGTGGCTCAAGCTTAACTTACCCCTAAAGGAAATCATATTAAAACAGACATCACGGCATTTTTTGTAAATTTCTTTACGCTCAGCCCTAAGCGATACCTGAATGGGCAAACAAATAGTGCCTTTCCGTCCCAAACACAAATAAGTGAGACCAAAATCTGCAATTTACACCCATAAGCGAGATCAATCCAGTCAGTGTTAGCCTGCGCTTTAAGTCTTCCGGGGACAAACGAAGCGTTTATCCCAGTCAAGTTAGTCACCTGACCAAAAGTCTTGGAACCTTGCGGACTATCTCCTCTTTTACTGACATAATCACCTTACGCCGCCAGAAAGGAGGAAAAAGTTTTGTTTGCATAGGACGCATGCTACATAATCTAAAATCTCGAGAAAAAAATACATGGAAAATTTACACCCCTTCCCGCTCTTCCGCAAATCAAGGATGGGAAAATGGCGCGTTTTGGCGTTCGCGCGGCTGAATATTTAACTTCGGGGGAATGGGGTTTCCTGTTCCAGTTTGTTCTGTCCAAGATTGTAGTTTGGAGTTTCGATCGACAGCACAGTTTGCCCGCATTAGATTTGGCGACCCTAATCACCAGCTGTCCATCATTGACTTCAGTTATGAGCCTTTTTTTCCCAGAATGACGGCTACCGCAGCAGCCATCGGTGCAGCCGGTATTCCTTCAGCAGGTCTGGTTACAATGATCATAGTTCTCCAAGCTGTGAATCTTCCTACCGAGGACATTGGGCTCATTATGGCCGTTGACTGGTTTTTGTAAGTTTTTTAGTTAGATATCGTTTAATCACGTCTCACTGGTTTCTTTGAGTCTTTTAAGTAAAAATCGTTCCATTACGTCTCTCCATCACTCTACGTCAGGGTAGAAAGAAAGATGGGTGGAATTCAGTACAACGATTGTTAGTCGTAAAATGGTAGTTAGTCGTCTAGGTTTTAGTTGAGTCTGAAGTTTATTAAAAGCCCAAGTGTAATGATAAATTAATGGAGGTGTATGAATTATTTGAAAAATTGAATTTAAATCATTATAAAGTCAAACCGATAGTCAGACACGTAGACAATCCAATGAAGCAATCAGCTAAATGCGAATGGGTGTGGACAATATAGGACAAAAGTAAAGGTGTAAGAGAACTTCACTTTTTTATACCGCCCTGTCGAGCTCACAATCAATTTTCACTGAAGTTAGTCACTTGGGTACGCGAACCCAGTGCATTTTTAAAATGTATTGTTACTTTTAAAATGGAGGTTATTTCGTCTCACGTAGCAGGATTAGGTCAATTGGAATTAGCGATTGACTGGATGTCGCGGGTTCCATTCCCAGGGCCGGACCAGTAGTTAAGGTCTCAAAATACTGTGAGAACTGGAGGTACTGCTACAAACGGCTAGACCTTCGTGTGGCTCGGATGACCACGTAAAATAGCGGTCCCTTCACCAGTAGGAGACGTAAAAATATATTGTGCCCTCAATTAGTACTTTCGTGCTAATTACATTGAAACTCATATAAAGTGCATTTTTTCACGTGTCAGTATTACTTCATTAGGGATCGTTTCCGTACATGTGTTAACGTTATGGGTGATGCTCTTGGCGCGGGAATTGTGGACCACTTGTCACGTGATGACATTAAGCTTTCTGAGCTGGATGCAAACGACGAAACACCTCTGAAACACAACGGCGGCGCGCTTGAAGATGAGGTAGACGACGAAGAGGATCCTCTGAAGATGACCAGTGTCTAGCCGAAAAAACTGGAGTCTAAAAGATGTGATGATGCATCTTAAATAATATTTTGCACCTTCTTATCACCGAATTGTTAGCCTGCATAACAGGTACTTTAGGAACCAAACGAGGCAAACGCGGCATTTCGTGCCTCGCGCGAGATGAGTACGAATGGCGAGGGGAGGAGAAACAATAAAGCATTGTTTTTTTTCCTCCCCTCGACTCGCGCTTGGCGAAAAAATGCCGCGTTCGCCTCGCTTGCCTCATAAAGCGCCTGTAATGCAGGCTACCGAATTGTAAAAAACGTTATTGAGCAGAAATAACTTACACAAGAGTAGTGTATTAAAAAATACCCAAAAAGTAATAAAAGCTTTTGCATGGAGCAAATGCGTCTCATGCAAAGACTCATGCAAATGCACGCTGACCATTTTTCTGCAGACCCCTTCCGATCGTACGAATTCGTACGATTGCGAAAGAAAGGGTTAAAACAGCAGGATTTGGATGTCGTCATAGTTATAAATATTTTTAGTTTTAGCCGTTGAACAGGCCCTTTATGGTTTATAGGGTAAAGTGAATATTTTAGAAAGCTAGAAAGCGCTTAGACTGCAAACCGCTCCGTATTTTTGTGTATTCAAGTCACGCGCCGTAGTCAAACAAAAGATCTGGAGCGAGGCTCGCGCGCTTCGTCTTCAGTGCAGACGAGCGAAAAAACCGAGCGAGCAGTGAAATAGTGAACGAGCGAAAAATGGCGGGATGAGATAAGGGGAGGAACCTGTAAGCGTCTTTTTAAATACCTCAATCTGTCTACCCAGCCCACTTTCTGAAAAACAAATGTCAAAACGTCAAGGGTTACTCATGCTCGACATGTTCATGTTTGCAAGACTCTGTGTGCCTGAAGCCAATGATTGACGTAGTAGTGTTGACGTAAACTGTCACAATTGACCAATCATCGGGTATACCAGGAAGAGGTATACCGTTATCTTCACTACCCTGTCTCTCCCCAGCCCCCACGCGATTTTCGCGTATTTTTTCTCAACCCGTTTTCCCCCGACCTTTCCCACCATCTTAGAGTCTGGAACAGGCTACTTGTCCATTAGCCTGATTTTCAGACATCCGAGGTCATTCGCGGTCCCTTCGTTTCCCTTCCACGAGCCGAGGAAAGCGAAGAGACCGCGAACGACCCCGGACAAGGTACTGTCGAACCCCGCTCTACTGACACCCGCTTAATACGGACCCCTCGTTATTACGGGTAGTTGGCCTTGTCCCTAGGGCCAAGGAAAGCCATTCCTTACATTATCTTTTCTAAATTCAACCCGCCTTAATGATACGGACACTTTCTTTGGCCCTCTTTAGTGGTAGTATTAATGGGGTTTGACTTTGTACAGTTCGTTGCGCCCAGGACAATACGTGACTTAGCGTGGATTACTCTTGTTCAAATAATTCACACCAGAATTAAGGACGGCATTTTTGCTTACTGTCCGCCGGGTTCTGGTAAGTTTTGTGACAACAATGTGACCATCATTCATTTCTGTCCTCTGGTCTGAAATGATTGAATTTCAAAGACTAACCGAAACTCGGTCTCAAGATTTTGGTGTCGCTGATAGATAGGTCCCAAAGGATAACTTTCTTTTTAAAAACATTCTTTGTGCTAACAAGAACATTCCTTCGTTGCAATTGGCTGCTTTTATAATGGATTTAAAATGTCATGTTACAGTAGATTGACATTAGAGGTCATTAACACTGCACTGTTTATAACCAAACTTGTCCTGTGCCAAAACTTTGCAGAAGGCAAAAGCCCGTTTTCAAGACGACATTTTGTCGATACCAAGCCTCAATGAGTTCTTCACTTGAACTAACAAGGTTTGCTTTGTGTAACTGTATCTAGATCTACTTTATTAATAATGTGATTACGACTGACATTTCAAGTACGTAATTCAGTCAAAAAGACAATTCGGCCAACTCTAATTTATGCCGGGCTGGCTGGATGGCAACGGCCAAAAATTGCTTTGGATACAACGCTTTAACGAAGTAGGTAGACATATGAAGTCAAATTGAGCTTAAGTTGCATTTAAGGTGGTTAGCCTGAGTCTCTTTTTAGATCTTTTTATCAAAATTGATTAGAATTTCGAGAAGTAATGGCAATGCTGTGTAGAAACTTATCTGCTTTCTGCGTTATCTTAAGTGTTTTCCACTACTGGCGAGTTCGAAATAAGGATTATCTCAGTGTTTCTGCCTCTCAGTTTCGAAGATAACTGTATGATAGAGGCGCTTAAGATCTAGAGCGCGATGTTAGAGAGAAAAGATTGCCGTGACAGTATTTTTGACGAAAATAGCAGTAATCTCGGGAAAAGGTGAAAACGTTGAAGTCTATCGCAGGTCCAGTCGGTCTATGTTCCTGAGGAAGAGAATTTGAAATTAACCTCTGAACACGAAGCTTAATACATGTCATGAAACAACACGTAAATGAGGGACCTTCAGCGACAACTTTGTTATTTGTCCTATTTTGATCATCATTCAAGATGTTTTAACGTTCTTGAATCAACACAGCCCACGCTTGTTTTCATAAGACTGTTTCAGCATGTTTCATGTGCCAATTTGGTGCCCTCATGTCAAACTCATTCCCAGGGTCCTCTTACATGGTATCTTATATCCTGCTGTTGCCCGTTTACCTTTCATGTCCCCCGGCCTGCCTCGCACAAGAGACTGGTGATGAAACGCAAGGACAAATTTTCATCGAGAGCCGGACAGACGTGTCGGTAGAAGGCAGTCCCCGGCGACTTAGTGAACAGATCTCCGTTTAGTTCCTATGTAAAAATGTGGCTGATTCACTTGGTATCACATCCAACGCGTTTAATCAGTTATTCCTCTCTTCTCCTCCTCAGCCAAGTCACCTTTATGTGAAAATGTAGTATAAAAAAATCGTGAGACTTAAATGCTAATAACTACATATATAGCACTGTGGAAAAAGTCTGACAAAGAGGTTTCATTTGATTGGCAAAACCACAGGATTTCGTCCACAGATTCTAAAGATAGAGTGACAAAACAACTTGCTAAAAGGTTAATTTTACTGGTTGGATTGGAGGAATGAGGCGGGTACATGTGGATCTTCTGCCAGTTTGATTGGCTTTCTGCCCATCACGCAACTGTTACGTAAATATCAAGACATCAGTAGAACTGATAACAGGCTAAATCATGTCTGGTAGCTCGAGGGTGGGTGCCAAAGGAGCCGCACATAAGAGCATTTTGTACACACACGAGTGTTTCAGAAATCACCATTTGAATTAGTAAGCTATATTGCTTTCACGTGTACTAAGTGAAAAAGGAAACTTTAGACTTGCCAATATCGCAATAACGAACCTGTCAGATGCAGCATCAGGATCTTGCATTATTTAACGTCTGCTTCTGCTGTCTTTCGAAGCTAAGAGATCACGTAGAAAAATGAACGCTACATACAGTTCAAGAAATTAACTTTAATTCACCCTTGCTGCTCTCAGCCTGTGTGACAGGCGTTGAAAAGGGTAGGGTAGGAAGGGATAAAGGGGAGGGAGGGGTCGGGTAGTTGTTCTTTTCTTCTTTCACCGAGTAGTCACAGATAGCCCAGGTAAATGAGTGTAAGGGATGCAATAGCAATCGCTGTTGCGTACTCAACAAGTAAAAAAGCAGAAGAATTCCTTACGTTGTCTTCATGTGTCATTCACTGACTTCATTGAGTGTTGCTGACATTTGAGACCGCTTCAGTTTTAGTTGTGCCGTTTTCGTCCTTAGCAAAAGAGGATGTCATTTGAGGTTTAGGAGGCTTAGTCTGAACGAACCAAATATTTATGGCATCTACATGAATTATTTCAACTAAACTCGCTGGAATCGCTGTGAAACGGTCTCAAATGTTCGGAACACAAAAAGGATAACACAAGAAGACGTGTAAGGAATTCTGCTGCCTTTCCATTACTCTTTGACTCCTACAAACTAGTGATCGCTAGAACCCCTTATAATTTAATGATTCCCAACAACAGTGGGCTTGGGAGTCCTGTTGAATCACAAATGCAGTTTCAATATGTACTCTGGTCCAGTCCAGTTCTTCAGTATTCAGTATTCCAGCGCGCGGCCACAGCAGCAACGGACTTTGAACAAGGAACCATATAATAACGAACGGCAACCTGTTAGAACGTAGATGCAGATCCGATCGCTTACTACGTTATTTACATAATGGCATTTTTGTGGCTTTGTCTCGGAAATCACTCACGTGTTACTCGGCATGTAAATTACCAGCTGAAATTAACATTCATTCAATCCGCAGCGACGCTCAAAACGGAGTGAACGTGATGGCGAGCAAATTTGGCGGACGTTTTCGCAGCAGCAACAATGCTTGCAGCAGGTGCTGTTCGTCTTTTATGGGTGTGATCAGCCGAAACTTGCTTATGGTGCTTCTAGCTGTCGGCGCTGCCGTCGGTTTCCTGATCGGGGCTCTCGTAAACAAACCAGTTCAGGACATAACCGTTCCAGAAAAGAAGGCTACGACCACGATGCTTATCGGGTTTCCAGGCGAGTTACTTATGAACATGCTACAAGTTATTATTCTTCCTCTCATTGTTGCCAGTCTCATCACCGCTGTATCTCATCTTGACGCAAGATCAACGGGAAAGATCGGTCGGCGTGCACTGTTGTTTTACCTGACCACCACGCTTTCAGCCGCCATCTTGGGCATGGTGCTAGTTTCATCGATAAGACCTGGCAGAAAAGATGATCCGACTGGTACAGCTGCAAAGCCAAGACCGTACCGAAACTTGGACTCCTTTTTAGATTTGATCAGGTAAGGTTCAAGCATATTCATTGTTTGTTTGCTAAATTTGGGAAAATGCTTTAATTGAATGGAAATCACATGGAGATACCGATCAAATGCCGACGGTCGTCACGCCTCCCCAATCACACCTTTAGATACACATGGCACGCAATCCCCACCAAGTTTTATATATCGGGATTGATGGTCAAGATTTCAACTCGGTTGTTGGGCGTTTTGCACCAATATAAACAAACGATTTTGATCATACACCCTTCGAAACAACAGCAAAAGTGTACTCGTTAGAATAAAAAGAGGAACATAGGAACAGGTGGAGCTCCACAGGAAACTCAACCACAAGTTAGAGGTTTTCAAAATTATTTTCAAAGGAGCAAATTGAATTCTGTCGCTGAAATTCAAATGTAATTTAGTCAGCTAGGAAACTGAAGACCAACAAGTTAAATTATGTGCAACAACTTATTAAATATAACCTCGAAGACAAAAGAAGCTCTTGAACAGGTGCCAAAAAACTGTTCATTTTATGTAATTATTGTCCATTGTTTCTCAGAAGAGATTATCAGACTGTGAAATGTTGTCCATCATTCTTCAAAGCATATTTATCGACATCTCGTAATTTAACAGTCGGGTTTTGGAGGTTGAAATTCTCTCTCCCCCTGTAGATGGGACTGGGTGGGTGTGGCCTATGGAATTTGCCAATTTATGAGTGAATTATTTCAGACAATTTTTCTTTCTCTAGAACCAGGGTTTCCTAAAAGTATTGAAAGCTATTTGATGGGGAATGGAGACGATTCGTATGTGATGTGCTTTTTAAAATTTCATTTCCACTCAAAGATTTGGTAACAAATAGATTGGTGGATATGGTGGCCCACAACTGTCACGGCAAAACCAAAAACCTCGTGACAAAAACAAAATACCTCATGGCAAAACCAAAAACGTCACGGCAAAACCAAAAACCTCACGGCAAAACCAAATACTTCACAGCAAAAACAAAATAGCTTTGGTTTTGCCGTGGGTATTTGCTTTTGCCGTGAGGTGTTTGGTTTTTGCTGTGAAGTATTTGGTTTTGCCGTGAGGTCTTTGGTTTTGCCGTGAGGTATTTAGTTTTCGCTGAGAGGTTTTTGTTTTTGCCGTGACGTTTCGGTTTTGCCATGAGGTATTTTGTTTTTGCCATGAGGTTTTGGTATTGCCATGAGGTATTTTGTTTTTGCCATGAGGTTTTCAGTTTTGCTGTGGGTATTTTGTTTTTGCCGTGAGGTTTTTGGTTTTGCCGTGACAGTTGTGGGTAGGTGGACCTAAGAAAATGAGATAAGCAAACCTCTCATAAGAAGGGAGGGGAAAATACCTGAGCAGGGAAATTGCCATGATCTGGTAGCTTTGTTGTCTCCTTTGCAGCCGTTCAGGGCGGGGCCTGGGGGCATCGAGCATTGCATGACAGTTAGTGATCTAACCAATCAAATCATGATACCAGAATCTGGGATGGTTGGGGTGGCATCAAAACAAAGGCTTCAGGATTCTCTGCCCTTTTTTCTCCCTCAGGCCACACTCAGCTCGCTTTGCTCATCGACTTTATTTTCACCTGGCTCCACCTGGGAGCCTGTTCACAGGCTACAATGGGAAAGGAGGTACCCATGGTGACTCCTATTCCTGAAATTTTATATTCCTGTTTCCTTGTCCTTACCTGCCCTGCATTTCCCAGCAACTCCTTTTGCACAATTTCTTCTGCAAAATGTCTTGCACAAATTTGCAAAATGTTTTGAACTTGCTCCCTATTGCCCACTTAAATGCTAGCCAAAAATCATACGTCTGTTCTCACTCTCCCTCTTGATTGTGTCTTCCCCTTCCCTTTAAGTCCATTCCCTGTTGTACACGGCAAGTGCATGTATACAGGTCAAAATTTAATCCAGGTTAAATTTTTTAACCACGGTTGGTTCTCAATTACCTTTGAATTAGGGCTAGGACACAATGGAAATTGAGAATCAACCTAGGTTGAAAAATTTCAATCTGAATTCATTAATTTCAGCACAGTTTATTAAACAAAGTTTATTTGTAACTTGTAAGTTAACAACAACAACAATTCTGATTTACTTCACCTAAAATATACATAACACAGTGCTGTCAATTTTGACCTGTAAGATAATTAATGTGTTATCTTAGTGAGAGATCAGCTGACATTCCAATTTTTGCAATCTGATCTATAATATTAATGACAATGATAATGACAGACTTTATTGTTTAAGAAACTCCTGTTTTTTGTTAAAACGACAGACCATATATGGTGTTATTGATATCAGAGTTACCCTATTTTGTATTTCTTTACATATTTTGTAAGTGTTTGCTTTATACATGTATCCTGTCATACACTGATAGTTAAATATTTCCAGGAGCTGTTTTCCGAGTAACCTTGTTGAAGCGACCTTTCGTCAGGTTGGTTGGTTGTGTGTGAAGAATCAGGTGCCTTTCAAACTGAAGGAAAATAATTTTACTGAACATTTTTAAACTGGACAACAAAATTATTTTGCACTGAATTTTCTTTTTTTTTCTTGTTGTGGAAGAATTACAGTGTGGTTTTTATTTCTTGTTATTACTTTCTTGATTTGGTATGTTTTCACCTTCAGAGAGGATCATGCATACATTGTTTCCCTAAGCTTTTTTGCAAACAAAATTTTTTTTTGGTGAATTCTTTCATTTATTTGTTTGGCTTTAGAAACAGCTAAATTAAACAGCTGATGGAAAAAAATTCTTTTTCTAGATTTCAGACTGCATTTTGAAAAGAAAGGAAATTGTCAATTTTAATATTGTAGATTTGAACGTTATTTGTTACATGTATGTACACTGTAAGATTAAGCTTGATGTTTTGGGATGTCCATTATAACGTGTTTACAATATTATTCATATCTTCAGGAACTTATTAACAGGAACTAAATAAAATTCTTTGAATTTAGTTTGTTATAATTCATGACTGCGGTATATTTTGGTAGTTGATGTTCAGTAAAATGTTTTCACTGTTTGAAAGGAACTTAATTCCTAATTTCTTCTTCATCGAGAAAAGTAACCTGGATGGCTATATTTGCAGTAATGATAAAAAAGAATGAGCTGTTTGCAATATTGCATACGTAGTAAAGTAATGCAGCTACATGTGCATGTCAGGTGATGACAATAATATTGTGAAGCTTTCAATGATGCTGGTCAGCTAAACAAAAATTGCCCTTAATTTTAAGTGCTAATATCACAACTTGAACTAGTTAACAACATGTAATGTAAAGTCCTGTTATTACTGTACCTCTGTCTCAGGAGTGATTCAGACTCTGATCGGCCTCCAACAGGGTTGCAAGATGTACAGTAGGTTCAATATTGCTTTTGTAAATCAGAAACTTTGAGATTTAGCTTGAGTAAGTTATTCCACTGAGTCACAGTTACATTAAAAATCCTGCACATTTTCATTTCATCCAAAACACTCATTTAGATTACTTCCAGGACAGTGTTTTTTACATGACAAGAATTTTGTTTTACAATTTCCTGAAAGAAATATTGGGTGTGATGGTCGTTTTGGGTAAGTGGCAAGTGTGTGAATAGCATGAGGTGCACAGGAAGATCTTAATTTGTAAATGTAAGCAAAAAAAAGAAAGAACGAAAATAAAATAAGAAAAGAATAAAAAAAAGCTGAAAAGAGATGATGCCTGAAAAACAAGCAAAGACTTTATGACAGTGTTCTCCAGTGGACTGAGAGGGTAATGAAGGTATCACCAGACTTGTTATGGCAAAGGTTCATTCTTTGCAAATGTTGAGAAAGTCTGACTAGTTTCCTCCATTTTTTATCTTCCCTGCAGAAAAGAACACAGTATAGATCTGACCCTGGAAAATACAAAGTGTACAATGTAACAGGCAACTCCCCAGTAAAAATTGGAGACAATGAAGAGATCATCAATACCATATTGTTCAATGCCACAGTCAACATCACAACTATATCGCGGGAGGAGTACCCCAGCTCAGACACGATACCTGTCGGAGTTGGGACTAACCCCACTGGAGGAATGAATATTCTTGGCTTGGCTGTGTTTTCAATCGTTTTTGGAATTATACTGGGAAGAATGGGACCCAAAGCCAAACCTCTGACATCCTTCTTTTCTGCACTCAATGATGCTGTTATGATTTTAGTAACACTTATCATGTGGTAGGTGGCCCAGATGCAATTGAATCTGTTTAGTTTTAATTACATTATGTAACCCTAAGTTCTGAGTGACCAACATCAATTTTCTCCTTACAAGGTCATTACATAATCAAGAGAAGAGGTTATGAGAATTAGTGAAATAATCACTGAATTTAAAGTGCTTTGATTAAATTGTCTTAACTCATTCTTTATGAAAATGTATGGAGACCATTATGGAGAATTTGTATGTGGATATTAGTCCTGATGAGCCCATCAAGCCCTGATATCCACATTTAAATTCTCCAGAAAGATGTCCACACATTTCTTAAAAGATAAATTGTGAGTTGAATATGATATAAGATCAAAGCATTTTTGCTTAGGGGAAAATTTCTCACTACTTTTTCTCTTGATTATAAATGTGTTGTTAGGAGACAATAGACTTTAGTCACCCTTGGACTTGAAATCTTAGCATATACATGTACCTATCTTACACATACTAATGTCTTTCTTCCATTCACTGCTAGAGAAAATGATGGAGGCTTGAAAGTTTGGTGTAATCATTCAAATTGCACCTTTGTGGCAGTACTTTCAAATAGAACTATTTGTTTAAGACAAAACAAAAGTTGGAAATTTAGTGAACTTTTGACTTTGTTCACTTGTGCGAGTGAAAGGTTTAATACAATGTATTTACTGGCTCTGTTTACAAAATGATGTGGTAATGATTCAACCCTATTATTGTAACTTTTTTACTTTTCTTCCCGCCTCGATTAGCTGTAGGCTACTTTGCTGGCAAGGATCAATAATTATTATGGCTTGTATCAAACGTGTTTTTAATAAGCTTGAACTTAAGACAAGTTTTAGATTCATTAAGGCTTTATTAATTGGGGAAAAACTGACCCAGATAGAAGGGTCAGGTGCCTTTCCAGCCGAGTCAACCTTAGTAAGCGTTTATATGAGAAAAAAGTTTGACCCCTATGATGGACTGAGTTGGCCTGGCTGGGTGAGCTAAAGTGGTAATGTGGAGAAAAGTTGGCATGGCTAGGAAGGTGACCCTACCATCCCAAATAGGTGACCCAGCTAGATCACCACTCTAGCCGAAGCAACCTCTTGTTTCTTACCAGTGGCGGATCTAGGGGAGGGGCTGGGGGCACCCCTCCTCTCTTATTTTTAGACCAAACTGAAGCCCAAAGGGCCGAAAAGTTTTTTTTTGGAGACCACCCCCCCCCATCTCAGGATCTGGATGACCGGGCCTCCCCCCCCCCTTCTCTGAAGGTTCTGGATCCGCCACTGCTTATGTAAACAGTTCTCTACATTTTGTTATGAAATGTATGAAAAGTTGGCTCGCCCAGGATAGCTGGGATAAGGGGCTGACCCTAACCCTCGATATAATTAAATGGGGCCTAAATTTTTTGCTTTTACCAAATACTGGGTGTCTGCAGCTTCTTGATGCAGGGTTAATACAGCTTTTATTATACTCAATTTTTTCCCTAGTGTTTCTTTTTGTCCTGAAAGACTGATGAAGCAAAGGTTTACTGATTTTTCGCCAATACGTGCTTATTCAATATTTTATCTGTCAGAAATTCTCATTTACAAACTTCACAATATTTGTTATTGTAGAGGGGCACTAGCCTGCAGTGCAGGCGTTTTCTTCGGGCGCGCGAATGTTTTGCTCGCGAAAGCGCAATGTTGAAACTCGAAAAGAGGGGAGAAAATGGGGCGAGTCAAAAGGAGCGGGGTAGGGTGCCCCAAGGGTTACAATTTTTACTCTCCCTAATCTTCCTCCGTCATAACAAAGATGGCGGTTACAACAGTACGAACATAAACAAGCAGCAGCCCGCCCAAAATACGCCTGCACTGCAGGCGAGTGGGGCACAAAAATTCCGACTTTGCGTTCATTAAGTGACATTTTTTGAAAAGATTAAGACTGATCATTCATCTCACATCAGCCATCTTATTCTCCGTTTTTTTGTTAGGTATGCTCCATTAGGTGTGTGCAGTCTCATAGCGCAGCGGGTTGCCAGCATGGAAGATATCGGTGGTGAAATGAGCAGGCTTGCCTTGTTCATCGTGACAGTAATGGTTGGCTTGATTATCCATGCGTTCATCATTTTGCCTCTCATTTTCTTCGTGGTACGAAGAACCAATCCCTTTAAGTTCATGTATGGGATGAAGGACGCCTTCATGACTGCCTTTGGCATAAGTTCAAGGTACCTGTAACTGAGAATTGTCCGCCCTCCCGTTCCAAAGATCATTCAAGTTTTAGTCAGCACAATATCCTATTTTTTTCCTCACAGCTGTTTGGGATAAGACGCGACCTGCGATGTCAAAAACGTCTTTGGATTTTTTTTTGCGACGTCAATCAAAATCTAACGGCTCGGTGCTTTCTGCACCTTAACCATAGCGGACGTCTTAGGAAACAGAGGTTTACTTCAACGGGTTTCAAAAGGTCATGGTTTGTGACTTGTGATTGGTTGATTTTGAGCCGTTTTGTGTGTGTTCGTTGCTTTTAAACTTCAGCAGAGTTCGCGTGTTTTTGAAAAGCGCGGCAAGTTTTCCCGCCTAGGGCCTTGTCGGATCTTGTCGATCTGGAGGATTTGTATTTTGATGTTCTGTTGTGTGATGTAAACTTTTCACGTTTTAGCTCTCAAGTTTTTTTACCTTCTTACTGAAACATGACAAGTTTAGATTCCCAAGGTGAAATTGTTCCTACAAAGCTTCCAAATCCAGAAGAAACACAGATATGGGAGGGTGAAAATGAATCGGTACGTTCCCGCCAACATTTAGTTTTGCCGCTTCTGCTTGTTATTTCCTCCTTTATTCGACAAGCAAGGATTGGATGCTATGGTAACGGTTTGATTGACGTCAAAGAAAACCCCAAATTCTGAAACGTCTTTGATGACGCAGGTCGCGTGTTACCCGAAACAGCTGTAAGCACAAAAAAAATCATAAAATGAATGTACTTTTTTTAATAAACCCGTAGCGTTTAAGCTTTTCTTTAATGCACACGAAGGTGTTTTTGTCCCCAACCAGAACTACTACTCAAAGCTCAAAGTTCTGTTTATTGACGTTGAAAAAATAACAACCCCGACTGGTTATGATGTTTTTTTTTTATACATTAAGCTTGAAACCGTATCAACTCTAATGGATGGATTTACTGAACAGAAAGAAGAAGAAGTTATCTCGTTCCCAGGGTCCCCTTCTACGAGTCCCCCGGAGGACGAGTTGGGGGCGACCCTGAGAAGGAGGTTGATAAAGTAGAAAGCCTGTTCCAGGCGTTCAGTTAGTACCCCCCACCCCTCGCTGTTTTACTGCCCACATCTCTTTGCACTGTCCTTCCCACAATATGAAAGCCTGGAACAGGCTAAGAATTTATTGAGTTGCAATATTAGTTTCTTTTCCGCGACTCCTTGAATGTCTTTAAAAAAGACTTAGGTTTACACTAACTCCTTATTAGTTGTAGAGTTTTTTTGATCTTACCGACTTTTCTCACCCTGAAAACGCCCTTAAGTTGTCGTTTTGATTGTTTCAAAATTTCCGTTTTTCCATCAGTGCGGCAACTCTGCCAACCACTATACGCTGCCTTGAAGAAAACAACGGGGTGGACCCTCGCATCAGCAAATTTGTTTTGCCGCTTGGCGCCACAGTGAATATGGACGGTGCAGCTTTGTATGAAGCCATTGCAGCGATTTTTATCGCGCAGCTCAACGGATATGACCTGTCTGGAGGAAAAATTATCGCCATTTGGTGAGTGTTAGTAATTTATTAGCCAGAAGCTACTCAAACACAGGCTTTACATGTCTGATTTTTTTCGTCCAGTGTTTAAAATCTTCCTCTATCTGCATATAGAACAAGGATGAAGATTATTTAACCCTCATGGTCGCTTCTTAAAAGAGTTCCTACCGGGATGACAAAGACCACGCCACCGCTCAGCCAAAAAGCTGTCTAGTCACGTTGGCGGTATAAAGCCGTGTCTTCGTGTGCAAGACGTAACCAGAAAAACCAGTGGCTTTTTATCGCTTTGCCCACCGAATCTTGTTACAGCGTATTAGTTAGCCTGTGAATACCGCCGATTCTCATTGCTCTCCGCCTCTGAAACATTCCCCGTGACAAGTAGAGACGACAGGCGGTCGTATTCCTGGTTATCTACAGGGTGCAAAGAAAATCATTTTTACAGCTTGCCATTCGGGCAAGCTGAAGCTAGCATTTACTAGCCCAGACGTCATTTCAACTAGCCCCAAAAGCTTTTCGTCGAGCAAAATTGATTTACACTTCTTCTGTTATTCGAATTCCTCAAAGAACACCACTGGCCCGTCAGGCAAGTTAAAAACAGAATTCACTAGCCCGATAGCAAAATCCACTATCCCCGGGCTATCGGACACTACTTTCTTTGCACGCTGATCTAGTAATTCATAACATCAAATCCTGCGAATACGGCAGCCTTCTTATTGCTCTCTCCGCCGCTGGAGACTTTTCGAAAGCTGAGAGACGTTGGCGTGTTAGCCTGAATTACATTGTAGTGTCATACCGATGACGTAAGTTTGTTCCAAGCGGCGTGGAGCGGTTAGAGGCGGCTATATTCTGTCAAGGTAGTAACTGACGAAAAGGTCTTGCAATAGCAAGTAAATAATGTTCACAATACAATGTAGCTGTTTTTACTGTTCAGCATTACAGCAACTGCTATTGCCATTGGTGCCGCTGGCATTCCATCTGCAGGCTCCGTAACCACCATTATTGTTCTTCAAGCTGTCAACCTACCGTTGGATGATATTGGTCTTATCATGGCTGTTGATTGGTTCCTGTAAGTAGTATTCCCTTGAAAATTGTGGTGTCAACTCATAAATACCGTAAAAAACAAAACAACAACAACAACAACAACAAACTACATACTGGAGGGTAGAACCCCTATCATTCGAACTCTGATAACTCGTACTCCCCGCTTACTCGACGTAAGACCAATTTGTTTCCCTTGGATTTCAACCAACTTTTCAGCCTTTCTTACTTCTTTTACTTGAACTTTTCTTTCCCGTGATCAAAATTTCACTGAAATTCACTCGGATACATGACTCGGATTCTGGTTCTTGTAACACCACTCGGATGTCATCCCGTTAACTCTTCTTGTTATTTAATCGGTAAAAACAGTAAAACTAACACTATAGCAAGTTAATTGTAATTGGTGTAACGAAAACATAACGATTTATCCTAAAAATGCATAATCATGTTACCGCTTCTGATGAAATAAGTTAAATTAGCACGTTACTCTACAGTGAAGTGCTGAAAGCTCAGAAAATTTCAGTTATTCAGATAACTGAATATTCAATCGATCCCGATAAGTCGAACCCCCCGCTAACTCGAAGTATTTTTGGTTTCCCTTCAGCGTATGAAGTGTGACTTTCTTCCTTTTTCGTTTTACGCAGGGATCGCTTCCGTACCACCGTTAACGTGCTGGGAGATTCCATTGGCGCAGGCGTAGTAGAGCACCTGTCACGTGATGATCTGCGCAAGTATGACTCTTGTAATGGCGCAGTAGATGATACTTTGCCGCTTAGTCACAATGGAAATCAGGATAAGGCGGAAAATGACCTAAACATGGAGGCCACTTCCCGTCTATAATTCACTTCTTTCTTTTGCCCTTACTGCTTGTCTGAAGAGCCTATGCCAATTGTTTTTTATTTTATTTTGTTTTATTATAGGGGGATGCGGGGGAAGGGTTTGCTGACCCTTACATGTATGTTGTCTGGATAGAGAGAAAAACTCCTTCTCATGTTTGATATCACTTGTCACGGTCTGGATATCAGTTGAAGCACTTCTCGTGTTTGATAAGTAATGTATCAAACACAAGAAAGTTATTCATTAGATATCCAGACACCTTTCACTTTCGTGAAGAGGGTTAGAATAATGGGTTCTTATTACTATTACATGATGACATTTTTGAAAAGTTAGCTTTGAATTCCTTCAAGAACTGTTGATGATTTGAGAAACTATATGTGATGTTAAAGGCTCTCTATGTTCCCGCCGTACCACCGTCCACTTTGACAGCATATATTTTTTGATAGTTGCAATGCTTAGATATCACGAAGATATTGTAGTCGTTTATATTAATAATCACTGTCAAGGTAATTTGTTTTAGTAGTCGTGATTCCCGTCGATCACTTGTATTATATCGTATTTGTATTTTATAGTCTATAAGCAAGGATATATTTTGTAGGATTTTGGTAATTTGGTGTTTTACATAGCGTATTATTCGTGTCTGGCAGCTAAAGGTAAGGTAAAACCGGCAACAAGAACATGCAATTTGTTTCAGCAAACCCGATTTGTTACAAGATAAGTTTGATAGCTATTTCAACTCGTTGTACAGCAATGTTGCAAAAAAAGGTTGCTCGTCTTTATTGCCTGTTTTATCGTGGCTTTAAACAGGAAGCTTGCCATTTGCCATAAGTGATTGACCGGACTGGCAAGTTTGTGAATCTAAATTGGTCATTCCTTAAAAAGGAAACATGATTTTTTACTTACAGTCAGACCTACTCAGGCTGCCACCAGTTCTGGGAAATAGTAAACGTCTTTTGTTTTAATAGTAATGATAGTTTGAATATTTTAAACATTTATTTGCGTTGATGAATAACAGGCGACCAGAAGCGTTCGTAGAACACGGTCATTGTTTTGGGTCTTCCTCTAAGGAGTGTTATTTTGATACGACGTTGTAGTGCACATGTGGTTAGTGGTTAGTTGTTTGGATAACTTACTGGATTGTAGCTGTGGCTACAGGACTGCAGTTCAGGACACTCCAATGGGTGACCTGTGGTACTTTGCGTCCACATCAGTTTTCAGCCATCCACAAGGTCCGTGGAAACTTACTGATTATACACATGTGGGGCCATGTGGGGCCATAGCCCTAGGGCGCAACTTGCCAGCTAGTGCACACGTAGTTAGTTGTAAAACGTTATAGGTTTAAACGTTCCGTGCGATAAACGTATGAACTGTACACTGTAGTTAAAAGGACAGTTACCTCTGTTGTTTCATTAGTATGGTCAGGCTGCAGCCTTGTTCCTAGGGCACCTCTCTTTCCTTAAGAGATGAGAGAGGTTGGAAGTTTGGGAAAAACAGAAAAACCACAAAATCAACTTTGGCGAACTGTTAATTCCGCTTTTGATTGTCTAAGGTCCTGGGACCGGTTGCAAGGACTGGTCACCATTAGGAGCTACAATCGTGCCTTGGTGTTCATTCCTTGGTACCTAGGAAACTTCTCGTGCTCTATTTGTTTTTCCTGAACTTGTTTATCTGCGTTCGGCCGAGTTATACAGTGCAAGAAATTCGCCCGGGATGAAAAGAATGATTGTAGAAAATTCGCAGGTGATCTTAAGGTTGCTTTTTGTAACAGGTTCCTTCACGTAAGCCATAGTTTTTACAGTGACCATATATATTTGCTAGGATGAAGATCTAAGAAGGAGGATGTCTGATTAGACACTGAGAAACTGTCCTTTCAACGCATGTTTACATGAAAAAAACCCTGTGGTTAGTTCGGAACCCTACAATAGGCCTTTCGCAGCCACTCATTTACGTGGTACAAAACCGCAATGACGCACTGGGACTCTCAGAAAAAATCACGTTGTTTGTCTTTTCCCAGTGCGTATCTTGTTCTCCAGCCTGGTGGTTTTGTACAGCGTGAGGGACTGACTGCAAAGAGCCTTTTAGTTTGTTATGTTTGCTTTTAAATCTCCTGTTTGTAGGCAGTACTACTCTTTAGGTTGGTAGCCGTAAAATACATCGATATTGTGAATATCGGGGGCTATTTTGAACCAGAACTTTGTACAAGCTTTTTTTTCTAACTAAAACACCAGTTGTTTTTAATCAAAACCTTGTGTATCGGAGTTTTATTGGGTCAATATTGTAGGAAATAGGATTATTATTCATTGAAAAGATTTCACCGTTTCTGATTGGCTTTATACTAGCAGGCGCATGCCATATTACCAAGATGCTACTCCATATAAGGGCAATATACCGTTGACACGATTTTATGTTGCCCCAATTTATAGAATCCTCAAATTCAAGTAGCGGCGCTGCAGCCGAGCTGTCATGGCCTGAAGGAGCTCAAGAAAATGACAGAGTTCCCGTCTATCCTATGATTACTGGGCGGAAAAAATGCAACAGTCCGAAAAAAAGAAAATATTGCTTATTTTTAAGGAGTATCTGGAGAAAAATATATCTGTATTACGAAACTGTGCCGAGAAACCAAAAAATATTTTCAGGAACTTTTACCAGGAGGTAACAAGAACGCGCTTACAACGGTATCAGACTCGCCTGCTTGGAGATTAGATCGAGAAATGAGGAGGCGATTAATTCTACAAGAAACATGATTTACTCGCTAAAGGTTTTTTACTTCCTACTTTCTCAAAGTCGATACTTTTTATTTGTTTCTGAATTTATTTAGTACGCGTGTCAGCGACGACCAGAAATACCTATGCGGTAGCAGGCTATACGCGTGTATAAATACACGAAAATTCAAGGGCCTCGATTCCAGAGAAATTACATCGTCAGATATCAAATAAGTGACTTACATGGCACGTCCTTTCAATCATCGCCGAAAATAAATCGCATGCTCATCACAAGACCTATCGTTTACAACACCTGACCATCGCAGTTTTGCTAATTAAGAGTCTTGTTTTTTTTTCCGACCACTTGGTAGTGTTCACTTGTTCCAAGGTAATCAACGCTTTCAAGCGATAGAATTCGTGGACCGACACGTTTCGGAAAAACTCTAAATTTAATCTTTCCTAAGCTTTCATCGCAAAACATCAGGGGCACCCAACGAGAATATAGTTCAAAACCACTTAAACATAGCATTGTTGAACGTATTTTAGTATTTAAACGGTAGATAGAGGCATATTTTTATCCTCTAAAATTTTTTTCATCTGTTCGGATTTCCTAGCTGAAAGTCTAGTGGTGCGAAAATTATAGGGATCAAAACTTACCTTTTGAAAATTTCAGCCAGAAAAAGGGCTCCCGAAAACTGTAGGTGACCTTTTGAGCGTCAAAATCCGTTAAAAATGGGCAATTATACCATTTTTTAGATGTTCTAAAATCCTAGGAGAGGCAGGCAAACAAGAAATTTTACGACAAATGTTCCGAAAATTCTAGATCTCAAATCTTCTTCCGAACACACATTTTCCAAAAATTGTCGTTGGGAGCCTCTGAAAACATGTGTGGCTTTATGCGTGGCTTTATGCGTGGCTTTATGCGTGGCTTCGATCACGCAATGATTCTTAGTCCCGGTTTTCACGGTCTCCGCAAGGAACGCCTGGCACAATGACCTCCCTTTTGTGTCCTAAATACGAACAAAAATCCTGGGGGGGGGGGTTACTTCCAGAAAAATTGGGTGGGGGTGTGCCACACGCTTCCTGAAACCCTTACCCTATTTCAGACCAAAATCTGTGATTTTCCTTACCCTATTTCAGACCTGATAAAAAATTTGATACCCTATTTCAGACCTGAAGCCCTGGAGAGCGTGACAAGCTGTTAAGGCACGTACACGGTAGTTGGCGCCAACATTAAAAGGGAAATGGTCTTATCGCCAAATGACTGAAGAAGTAGCTAATTCTTCTAAAACACATTCCCAATTCAAGACTAGAGAGCACAAACCATACCCTATTTTAGACCACCACGGCTGAAAAACCATACCCTTTAGCTCGGCACATACCTATATAACGGAATTACTGTATGTAGTTGTATAGGTAAATTCTTTACCCTAATTGTTAATGACCGTCTTACAAAATATCTAGCCGCACACAATATAATACTCAACAATCAAATTGGCTTCCGAAAAGGCTATAGGACGTCTGACCACGTTTTTGTTCTGAAGTCTCTAATTGATCTTTATACGAAAAATGATAAAAAGGTATACGCCTGCTTTGTCGACTTTCAAAAGGCATATGACACAATTTGGAGAAACGGCCTTTTCCATAAGCTAATGAAATACGGATTTTCACAGAAGATTATATTTCTACTGAAAAGCATGTATGACAGAGTTGTTTCAGCGGTAAAAGTAAAAAGCGGGCTAACGGCGTCGTTTACTCATTTAGTAGGGGTACGATGGGGTTGTAACCTAAGCCCAACATTACTTAACCAGCTTGACATATTTGTAAATGACATTGTTGATATATTTGATTCCACTTGTGATCCCTTGATCATGGGAGAATGCAAAATCAATTGTTTACTTAATGCAGATGATCTTATCCTGCTTTCCAAATCAGAACATGGTTTGCAGAGATGCCTTGATAAGTTAAGTTGATACGCTAAAAAATGGCAAATGAGGATAAATATAAAGAAGACAAATCTATTATTTTCAATAAAAGTGGTAAAATATTTAGAAGTGAATTCAAGCTAGGAAACCAGCCAATCCAAGTAACAGATAGTTACGTCTACCTTGGAATAACTTTCACGCCTTCTGGTTCTTTTTTCACTGGCCCAGAAAAAGCTATATAATAACGCCACCAGGTCTCTTTATAGTTTCCTGTCAGAGGTAAATATTTACAATGGTGCATCTGTCTCAACATGTTGAAGAACCTTACTGGGGGTACTAGCAGGTTCTAACAACAAACAGCAAGACAGACAAGTACTTGTTCAATGACTTTCTTTAATTCTTCAGTAAGGTGTCACGAAGTTAGCGCAACTTGTATTTTACAATTCTCTACAAGATCAGTGTTGATTGGTTGAAACAGCTTCATTAGCATGAAACCTTCGAGATAATTGCTTTGTCGAAATGACTCTTCAACCGAAGTTTTCACTGCTAAGCTTAAGTCAACTAGCCAATATAAAACTAGGAGAACAATATAAAAACTACAAGGTATATACCATTAAACAGACTTTTCATACTAACAGATAGGAAAGTGCTAAAATTACCGTTTGAAAATCCAAGGTTGTTGTCAATTTACAGAAGGTGTTAAGCTTCTTCATCGAAGATGATTGGCTACAACTTTTCCATAATTTAACCACGAACGTGATCGCCAACTTAAAGGATAAATTAAAAATGCAGTTCAAAGTACAGGGCAGAATTTAAAACAATAGTTGTTTGATTACAAAAAACACCTATAAAATCACTAAGCCTAATTAAAGTTATCCACTGCCAAGAATTCGGTTAAAAACTCAAAGAAACACGTTTAAAACTCTTTAAAATAAACAAGCAGGGTAGTAGTTCCTGGTAAATATCGAAGGGAGACCAGATTAAGGTCAATGATGTCAAACTAGACAAAATACTTAATATAAACAAGGCTTTGTCACCTGTCAAAGGCTTTAATTAAACATATCTCATAAAAAGAAGTGTTACCGCGGACATGCACCAAGTTGGCACATCTCCTTTGTACCGAATTCATGTCAGGAGAAACTTTCTATCGATCATCAATTACCTTATACAACCAAACCTACCCGTAGTGAAGTAGCTTACTCAAACCAATCAACAAGAACGCTTATAACAACTCCACTACAAACATATATTGTAATAATTGTCCCAAGTGGCTAACGTAACTCTTCAATCAACATTTTCCTTCAACAAGACCAAACAGAATGAATGAACAGAAATCATTTTCTCATTTCGGGAGAGGATGTCGTTTAATCAGTGCTGATGCGTAGGAGTTAACACCAAGTAAAATGATTCAAATTGCTTTTTATGATATTTCTCTTTAACCTATAAATATTTCCCGAAACGAATGAATTTTGCAATAAATCCCAAACACCGAATAAAATTCCTTAATAATTTTAAGTCAAAAACGTGCGCTCTGCGAACATTTTCCATCGCTTCCATTTTTATTGTTTAACAAACAGTTCTTAAACTTTTTGATTCTCTTGTGAGCCCAATTCTTTTGTACAAATGTGAAATTTGGGGTTGTTTTTTTTAAAATCAGTCGGGAATAATTATAACAAATTTGTCTCGAGAATTTTTGACCAACGAATAACACCCGAGAACATGCATAACTAGGTATGCAAAATGGCCTTAGGGGTTCACTCTAAAGCAGGTAACCATGCTGTGAAGGGAGAACTCGGACGTTTTCCTCTTCATCTTATTATTTACACTAAAATTTTTAAGTACTTCTTAAGATTACTTTCCTTACAAAATAACCAAATTTTAAATAGCGCCGTAGAGATAAGCATCCATCTAAATAATGTTGGTAAGCATTCATGGTTCACTAATGCCACATCTTGACTACAGGACGTTTCCTCACCTGGTTAGAATGTTTAAAAGAAATTTGTTTATTAAGAATACCAAGAATGTTGGTCGAAAAGTCTGAACAAGGATAAATTCGACTCCTCAGTTTGCAATAAATTAAGTCTGTATAGTGAAGTGAAAAACTAAGTCAGATTTGAATCAGGGGCACCCAACGAGAATATAGTTCAAAACCACTTAAACATAGGCATATTCTTATCCCCTAAAAATTTTTCACCTGTTCGGATCTCCTAGCTGAAAGTCTAGTGATGCGAAAATTATAGGGATCAAAACTTACCTTTTCGAAAATTTCAGCCAGAAAAAAGGCTCCCGAAAATTCTAGGTGACCTTTTTAGGGTAAAAATCCGTTAAAAATGGGCAATTATACCATTTTTTAGATGTTCGAAAATCCTAGGAGAGGTAGGCAAGTAAGAAATTTACAACAAATGTTCCGAAAATTCTAGATCTCAAATCGTCTTCCGAACAGATATTTTCCAAAAATTGTCGTTGGGTGCCTCTGTTTGAATCTTATCTTGATAAAATAAAGAACGTTAAGACAAGAGTGGCAGTAACCAAAATGCGTATTTCTTGCCACTTTCTACCTATTGAATCTGGGCGCTACAAGAAGATACCCAGAGATGAGAGGCTTTGCCCCCTTTGTAATAGATCCGAAATTGGTGATGAATTCCACTATTTGTTGACGTGTACCCACTCATCACTTTCTCATATAAGGGGTATCTTCTTGGAGACTTATACTCGATAAACAGTAATTTTATGAATATGTCTTACCAGGCACTATTTTTATATATCATGTCCATGTGCGATCAAAACATGTTCAATCTCAGTGCCTCTTATATTGAAAATTTTCTAAATTGTTATGCATCCGAACTCTAATTAAACTTTCTTACCATACGAGTAGCGTAGAAGCCGTACATAGCCAAGTAATTTTTTTCTTTTATGATAATATTCAATTGCTCCTTTCTTTCTTACTTAACTTTTATTTTACTTTCTTCATTTGTTATTGTTTTGGTACTGAAATCTTCTTGTCGAAGATAAAGTCAATAAAGTTGTTGTTGTTGTCGTTGTTGTTGGTGTTGTTATATAAGGGACTATCCCCCGGGGCGAAAAACGCGTTGTAGATTATGAGTCTCGCTGCTTACGCGAGCGAGACTAATAAGAGAATGAATAAAATAAAGCCTGTAATAAATTTTCATACATCGTAATTGATTTTTTAGTTTTTCGATGAGAGGCAGCAAAGCGTGGCCATAGAGAAGTAATTCAAAAGGGGTGCAAAACATGGGTTTTGAAATCTCTCGCAGGCCAGTCTTCGGCGTTTGGAATCGTCAAGGACGTTGTGCAAGACTTTCCCGCATGGTCAAGCGAAATCTTTTGCTTGTTTTGTTGGTTTTTGGAGCTGTCGTGGGTTTTGCAATCGGCGCAATAATCAATGATCCAGTGAATCGCATCACTGACCCTGAGGAAAAAGCTACTGTTCTGATGCTTATAAACTTTCCAGGAGAGCTGTTTATGAACATGCTGAAGATGATCATCATACCTTTGGTTGTTGCCAGTCTGATAACTGCCGTATCGACTTTGAATCCAGACGTTGCGGGAAGAATTGGTCGACGTACAATGATCTATTACATATCAACTATGTTGTTAGCTGCCTTGTTGGGTTTAACATTAGTGATGGCAATTCGTCCTGGTTTAAGGGGAGACAACGGCACTGAAGAAAATGGTGAGAGGAATTTAAAACATAGAAATCTGGACTCACTGTTGGACATGATAAGGTAAGTTAAATGAAATATTAATCAGCTGCTGCATACAACGACCTGGTTTAAACTTATCTGTATAACAAGATATGTAAAAGATAGATATTAATAGATATGGATTTTTTGTGCACTGAAGAAGCCCAAAACGTTTAAAAAAAATTTGACAAGTATGGGTTCCGTTTCTAATAAGAGCAAAACAGAAACAACAGCCTTTGCAAAACTGGATAAGGCGTTGAGAAGTCCAAGGTGGCAGAAACATTCCTCAGCTTTAATTTATTTTATCAATCAACCAAAGCAACCGCAGATTTAGCAGAAAATAAGCATAGGCCCAAGCAAATGTGACATCAAAAGCTAATGAGCTATATCCAAAACGAGTTGCGATTTTAAATGTCCCGGTGCAATGTGAAGCTCAGGCTCAGGTGAAAGGCTCAGGTGTTGCCTGTCAATGCAAGAAATAAAATGCAGGCTTAAGGCGAAAAAGCCACAGAAAAACTGAATGAAAAGTTTCGAAGCCACTGAAGCGTGTGACCTCTTAATACTGAGCAGGCATTTGATATGGGGTCTGCTTAAGTAGGTCTCTTTGCCGTTTCGAATTTTTAAAGTCAAGGAAAACCATGCTAGAATATCATGGATGATATTCACACGTTACACGTATAATCTTTGCAAGAGAGAGGACAGGGTCTCTAGGAACAATTCTGCTCTCTTCCAAAAATTTTATATTAATACATAAATGAATAAAATTAATTAACATCAGTTACACAGGCCACTTTGCATTCAGTGATAAACTGACAGCCTTCGATCCTTTAATTGCACTAAATGGCTATACAAATGACTGTACCGATTGGATATAAAAATTAAAATCGACTTTGTGAGACTTTTTACACACGAAAATCTAGATTTATTAACTTTCAAATATTTATGCGAGCGTTATGTTTGCTTAAAACAGTCTAAAAATATACTGAATGAACAATTCAATATACTGAAGGAATAATTCTGCTCTCTTCCAAAAAAATTATAAATACATAAATACATATGCCTGGTTTTTTGAAAGCCGGGCTACTAAAACATGTCAGCCTCTCGCACTGATTCGTAATTTAATGCCCCTTCTTACTGGAAAAGTAAAATCTCACCTCAAAAAAAATTCTTGAATACACGAGTTTCCATTTGATAGAAACATTGCTCCCCTGGTGCATTTTTCTGAAATTTTCACTGATTTCTGTCAATCTTCAGCAGGCTATTTGGAGCCCATGGTTAAGAGCTGGGGGTGGGTAGTCCTGAAGAGAGATTTTTATTTTTAGACTAAAAGCATCGCGGCTTTTAGCAAATTAAGCTTTGAAAGATTGCCTGCAATGTGCTGGACTTGACTTAAGATTTCACGCAACCCGGTTTTTAAAACTCCACGTAGACATAAATGAATTAAATTTATTAACATCTGTTACAAAGGTCAGTTTGTACTCAGTGTTAGTCTCACAGTCTTCGATCCTCAACTGCACCAAATATTGCCTTATGTAGGGAATCCGAATTCCGGAATCTGGCAAATATTTGCTTGAGGAATCCGGAATCCAAGAAAATTTTGCAGGTTGAATCCGGAATACTGGACTTTGCAATCCAGAATCCCAATAAAGATTAGAATCCAGAATCCAGGTTCCACTGAGAAAGATTGGAATCCAGTGCCTGGAATCGGGAATCCACGACGTGGAGTCCAGAATCCATCACTGTCAAGGATTCCCTTTTTGGGGTGATAAATGGCTATACAAATAACTATGCCGATTGGAATTAAAAATTTAAATCGACTTTGTGAGACTTTTTTACACATGAAAAACTAGATTCATCAACATTCATATATTTATGCATAAACTGTTTGCTTAAAATATACTGAAGGAGTTCTTTTCCTCACGGCTTCAGGAATAGTGCTTCACAATCTTGAATATTATTTCTTATTAGGTTCGAATGTATCCAATTAACGACTGGAGACGAGCAAAGTCTTAGTCATAAAAGTATTAATAAACATTCTTTTCATGAAGGACCACGTGAGAACTTGGTCAAATTGAGAGAGTGAGGTAACCATTTAAGTGAGTGTAGGATTGGCGTGATGTGCTAAAATTTCCTTGTGTGTGAATGCAAAGTTCTGCGTAGCTTGAAGTCTCTTGATGTTTGAGGATGACGTTCTCGACCAGACAGTAGAGCAGTACATAAGCTTACTGAAGTCTAAAGCAGAGATAATTAACAACAACGTGTTGTGTTACAGTATCCCTGAGAGTTTGAGAAAACTCCAAAAGCATGCTTTTAAGAAACAAATACACAATCTATCACTACTTAATCTTCAAAGACACGAAGACAGGATAGTTATGCTGATATAAACACCCTTATTAATGAAATTAAAAAAGGATTATCTTAATCCAATGTATTGTAACCTATATTTATCTACTTATGTACATATTTATTCGTTCGTATTAATATTCTTTTTAACCTCTTTTTCCTTGATGTTGTAAATCTCTATTATTTTCCCTGTAAAATGTCTTAAAATATATCAGTTCACGTATGTAGAGTACCCACAATGCCTGCGTCGAAGAGCTTTAGCTAAATGAAGGTAGTGTGTACGTTTAATGTATTTCATTGCTTTTAAATAAAGTTGTTTTTGTTGTTGTTATCGAAGCGGTTCTTTACCCTGTCGAACTGACATAGCGAGTTTAGGCACAGTTTTGTCATCTACTTGCAATTGGTCCTTAACTGGACTACACCCTTACGCCACTCGTTTTTATTTTCGCTTACTACTTCTTTCGCAAGTTATACACGATAACACTACCGGACATACCGAACAGATTGAGATCATAGTGAGATACCCCAATAATCGGCAAGTGGACACCAGCTTTATCCGATTTGAAGGGGCTGAATGTGATTTCCTGGTTATATCTTTTAGGAATTGTTTTCCAAGTAACCTGTTTGAAGCAGCTATCAGTCAGGTCAGTACCACGTCTCCTTCAGCATATAAAACTATATGACGTCATTATTATTATTACTGATAATAATAACATATTATAATAATAAAACAAAACTTTATTCATAGATTTAAAAAAATAGACTATTTACAGATTCAAGAATATGAAATATTAAAATATATACCCTATGTACATTCTCCTTGTGTACGAAAGAGAATTGTCGTAAAATGACTATCTAAAGACTACTAATAACAATTATAAAAAGCATAAAAAAGTTAATTAAAAAAAAACACTAATAATAATAATAATAATAATAGTAATAAAAATAATTATAATTATAATTCCATTATTTACCCTGGGCAGTATTTGTAGCACTACGGTTAGTGGGGCCGAACAAATGCCTTAGACAAATAAATTCAAATCAAACTTAATCCACCATCTTGAATTATAATGAGCCAACTATGTCTGAGCACTAATGCCCACACAGACCTTTTTGCTCATTTAAAACATCAACCGATAAATGCTCCAGTTAGTTTAGAAATATGTTTCTTTTAGATAATATATAGAGAGAAAGACAATATAACAGACGAAAATCCTTGAATAACAATGACCGAGGCCATGTTTTTATGAGAGTCCGCGAGACTGAACACCCCATCCAAACCGATGCAAACCCTTGTTTTCACTAAAACCGCTGGACGCCACAACCTGGTTGAGGTCATTGTTATCTAGGGTCCTCTAAAACAGATATTGAGAAACAGGTTGTGTTGACAACGTGGTTATCATGGAAACATCACTTATCATGGGCAAATGATTGTTACTGGAAGTTGGCTCCTCGTTAAAGTCAGGAAAATTAATTTTAAGAACCTAGAAAAAGTACTAGTGAATTTTTCGTTAACAGAAAAAGACCAGATACAGATCAGCTCCTGCACGGTTCAAGACTTACAATGTAACAGGCACTGAGTTCATTCGCCTGGAATCTGATGAGGAGATTGTCGCAGTCCACTCAAACGGAACAGTCAACGTCACTACCATAAGGAAAGAGCTATACGCAGGCTCAGACACCGTGCCCGCGGGAACTACGTCATCTCCAGGGAGAATGAATATCCTTGGGCTGAGTGTGTTCTCCATCGTGCTTGGCATTGTTCTTGGAAAGATGCGCGAGAAAGGAAGACCAGTGGTCGAATTCTTCTCCACCTTAAATCAAGCGATCATGATGATTGTTCTTTTGATAATGTGGTGAGTAGCATAAAGCCAAAACCTTTAGCAGAAAATACTTTTCATTGCAAGGTTAAGGTAGGTCGAATACCATCTAGCCTGCTAGCCTGCATGTGCGAGTTGGACAAAAATTTTGGCGAGGGAACCTTGTGGGAGTTGGAGGAAACTTTTCATTTTTCCTTGTGCCGCCAAAATTTTCCCCGAACTCGCAAAAGAGAGCTTAGTGCTCGCGGGATAAGTACCATCGTCCTAATGGGTATAGTCCCAAAAAGGTCTTTTGTTTGAAGTGACTTTCATTTCGATAACCTGTTTATCGGCATTTTAACCAAACTGGTCTATTAAGTCACGTTTTTATTGGTCGTCTGTCAATTTATGTGAAGAATTGACTCGCTGTTGGCCCCTTTCTCTTCCTGCGTACAGAATGGAAACATGCCACACATTAGATTTCTAACTTCAAAGTCTTTGCACTTCCATGTATGTTAATGTTAATTGCGATTTGTTTCGTGAATTGTTATTAAGGGAAAATTGAGACAAAAGTTTGATTTCCTAGGCTTGCTCCAGTGGCAGTTTGCAGCTTAGTCGCAGCACGCATAGCTGCAATGGAGGACGTTCTTAATGTGATCGGAAAGCTTGCCCTGTACCTGGTGACTATATTATGTGGCTTGCTCATCCATAGTCTGGTCCTGTTACCGCTCGTATTCTTTGTCATCACCCGAAACAATCCTTATAGGTTCATGAAAGGTGTTGGGGACGCCTTGATGACAGCGTTTGGAATCGCATCCAGGTTTGTGGCATGTATATGCGAGCATATGCATGTAAAACTTACGCAGAGTAACTACAGCCCCAGAAATGATCCCCAAACCTGAAATCATCGTCCACAATTCCACCCCGATATGATACCGACCCCCCTCGTCACGTCGACCCCGAAATGATCCCCAGTTAATCATTGGAATGAAATGGTTTTCCGTCACGGAATTATTACAACTCTGTTGCAGCGTTTACGTTCTTGAATTGCATTTAACATTCACTACTTTTTAGCGGTTTTGTCATCTAATCGCCTTTCTGTCTACTTTTGCATCTTCAACATCATTTTAAAAATGTAAGAAGTGTTAAAACACCATTTTCATTATCCAAAGCATACAGGTTTAACATCATTAGTTTAGAATTCAACATCCATGCAGTTTTCTCTATAGCCCGGGCTGCAAGTAATTACGCTAAGAAATGTTATGCATTGGAATTTTTAAATTTCTTGATGTTACCAGTTGCAGTTCAAGATGTTACTAAACGTATACTAGACTTTGTGTATTAAATAACATTTTCTTTTAATCTAGTTCAAGGTAATGTCATTAAAGAATGCGAGCGAGTGGAGATTATCATTAAAACTTTAAATGTTGTGCATTCTGCTCGATCCATAGTTCTAGGATATGATTCCATTCCTAAAATTAATTAGGGATCATCTCAGGGTTGGGGATCATTTCTGGGTCTGTACAGGTCTCAAGATGTTTCTCGGGATACGTTTTAAAGGATAGCGCTGTTTTAGGTTAATTCAGTGCTGAAGTCACCACTTAGTACCTTTGCTAATACACAAAATTCCTCGTTAGCCTGAGATATGAAGAAGATATCCGTCAAGCGGCAAATGTCATCTGGGAAGACCAACTATAAACGTTTTTTCGGTGATTTTTGCACGCATAGCTCTAAAACGTGAAAAATTTTGCCCAACTTTTTCAAGTTTTATTTCCTGTCCATCTTTGGCATCTGTAGCAACAGACAATAGATAAGGAAGCAGTTTCGATATCAAGAATGGAATCCATTTAATACGAAAACAAATTTTTGCTTTTTAAAAAGACAGCAAATAGCGTGGCATAGCTTGCCTAAAGGGAAATGTTAGGAAGATTGTTGTTTGCATCGTTTTTAATTATTTACGGAATCGGACACTACATTTGGTGAAACAACAATGCTATAATCGAAAAAAAAAAGAAACGTTTTTGACATTAACTGACAGTCCATATTTTCCATTACCCACAGTGTCACAAGGCTTTTTTACCGTACCACTTCATCCTTTAATTTCCCACCATCTTCTACAGGCTGTCTGAAGATGAGAACTGATTCTTGACCCTCAACTCGTACAAAGGCAACTATTAGGGCACGTTCGATCAGTTCGATTGACTGTATTCAGAAACAAAGATTGAACAAATTCTAATAAAAAATCACCTGTTTTGACTTCAATTGTATTGTAAAAGCTAGAAATCTGGTTGAAAACTAATACTTAAAATGAATGTAACAGCGCAATTGTCTAAAAATCGCGGAAAATAGATTTGTCACAAATTTCTGCGTGTTCTTTTTTCGGAATACAATCAATCTAAAACATCTTTCATCGTTACAGTTCAAGATCAGGACTGAAGTTTCAGAATAACAGAATATAGCGAATTCTAACTAATATGATTCCTTCGATTGGTAATTCCCTTTGAATTTACTCATTTTGTATTATAAGTACTGGGCAGAGAACTAGGTCAAAGTTAGGATTTCCACTTACCTGTTCATTCAATTTCTACGGCGACTGACGCACATACATACTCTGAAAGAATCGATTGTTAGACTGAAAATAAATATTTTGTTAATGAAAGGAAAAAAGGCACTTTCTTCTGATTAAAAAATTGTGTTAATCCCAGATAGGTAGAATTCTCTAGAGTCTTCTAGGTAAAATGACATCTTGCCTACTTAGATAAGGTAAACTCGCCTGGCGGATGGTCAACTTTTACGTTTCGAGGCTACGGTGTCGGACTACGATGTCTTATACCGTGCATAATTCCTGCTTATTTCCATTTCAGTGCAGCCACACTTCCCACAACAATTCGCTGCGTGGAAGAAAATAACAAGATTGATCCTCGCATCAGTCGCTTTATGCTTCCTCTCGGCGCCACCATAAATATGGACGGTTTAAGCATTGCTCGCGTGGTCGCTACCATCTTCATTGCTCAGCTTAACAACATTTCCATGAGTCCTGGACGAATTGTTATTGTTTGGTAAGTGTGATTGCTTTACAAATACCACTTGAAATCCTGTGATTATTTAACTATAGCATTGCGATGATTTTGCATTCCCAAATGTGTCACAAATGGGCCTAATTTGGTCGTCTTTTACCAACATCAGCGACTAGAAAACAGAAATCTTGCACGGTGACCTCAAAAATCTCCCAGTTTCGATTGATAAGTCAGTTTTATCACCTTTTCCGGATCATGTGAATCTCTAAAAATCTTTACACTCTTAATTCATGTTATGAAAGGGCTTCTTTGTGATTAATTATCAAAATTGTGACCGTTTTCTTTAAAAGGGTAACCAAGCTTGTCTGCATTTGTGCCGGACTTTTAAGTATGTATTTACTAGTATTATCGCGGGCGAGAAGAGGAGCCCGTAATCCTAATCTTTAGCAGGTTGCTATTACACATGCGCGGCACTAACCAGCATTCGTTTGGACTTGCGCTAAAGGCGCTTTCCATTTGTCAGAACTGACTGGCCAGACCAGTCCCATCGTAATGAGAATTTAATTTTTGAGCAAAACTAACAATCCAGATAAGTCAAATCCTACATATTATGCACAAACAGGAGATGGTTGTACAGCGAAACTTCTTGGAAAAAGCCTATTTTCATATTTTATTGCCAAAATGTTTGGTCAGGCCATGATCCAGCCGGCCAGTTCTGACTTTTGGAAAGCGCCCTAAGAATGAATGGAATGCATAGGCCGAAATCTGATCACGCGCGTTTTGACTTCACGTGATCTTACGCAAAGCAAAACGTTGTTGACGTTTGAGCACTGCTGTTAACGTCGCCCGCACTTCTTAACCTTTGGTTATTCCTAGGATATGATGGTGAGTGAAGACCACTTCAGTCACCAATCACAAACGTGTTTACGAAGCGAAGCGGGAATCCGATTTGTTAACCAAGAGAATCATTACAGACAAATTTAGACATCACGAGTTTTTATTACCCACATTTTTTTAAAAAAATAATTTCAGCTTTCTCTCTTGATGTACGAAAAGAAAAAAGAAAACCCATTCAAGAGCAAGTGTTTTATTACAGCGTGTGCCATGGCGTGTTTTGTTTTTTTACGTTGGCATGACGCTTGTCCTTTCAGTGGGCTGCCGAAAGCCAATCACATTAGACAATTTTGTTACAGTTACGGCCGATTGTAAGTCGAATAGGACTGTGCGCGTCATGCCTCAGTAATATTGCACGGTTTGAGTCATCGATTTTTCTAATCATTCGTATGATTACAGACCCATTTAAACTCCTGTTAGTCTAGGCTCCGTTTCCACAGCTCTCTTGGATCCGCTTTTTTCCTTCCCGAGAGAGAGAAAAAGAGTCTTTTCGGTAGCCTGCAGTGCAGGCGTGTTTTGGGCGGGAGAAACCTTGTTCGTGTTCGTAATATTGTTGTAGCCGCCATCTTTGATTTTATGACAGTGGAAGATTGGGGAGAGTAGAAATAGTATCTTTTCGGGGGAGGAGCGCGGGCTTATTTCCTAAACAGTGGCTAGTAATCTAGCCTAGATTCAATCCTATTACCATTGCAAATAACTTTACCTAATATGTGTAACCAAAGCAATCGTTTTAGCACAAGTATACTGTAAGTATAAGAGAGAGATAGATACCTCAAATTGTTTTTAAATCCCAACCACAGTTTGATGGCGGTCGCGGTGTCGTTTGGAGCCGCAGGGATCCCAGGTTCAGGAGTTATGCAAATAATTCTTCTTCAAGCTGTCAATCTTCCGCTACATGACTGGGGTTTGCTACTCGCAGTTGAATGGATAATGTAAGTATCAACTTTGTTATATTACTATCTTTTATTTAGTGAAAGTTGTTACATTCAGATGACCCATTTTCTCTTTTTAGCTACTAATTATAGCCTTTGGCTGCACTTTGTATGAATACAGTATGTATATTTTTTTCAAGGACAATGTCGAGCCACATGTGGTTCATCCAGAACGTCAAGTCCATTTTAGAATATTTTTTTTCTTTTCGAAAATTTCTGTTTTCTTCACTACTGGAATTCACAGCTTTCTTCGCTAGTTTTTGATGACTCTCAAATCCAGTGGGATGATGGATGCTTGATAAAACTCTCGGACATGCTCGTGTGTAAATTTCGGAAATGACCTCTACGATCCCAGAATCTCGTTTTCCTGAAAACAATAAGTTAGCTATGGGAAAAAAGTATTATTGCCCCTTTAATGGCAGGGTTCGGGTAGTTTGCTGATTCCTTCCTGGTACTCTTTAAATGAAATTAGAATAAAGGTCATAATTAACGCATCTATTTTCGGTAATACATCATTTGACTGAAAGCGCTTATACACCCGTGTTTTCCTTTCCAGAGACCGTTCAGTGACGCTTGTGAACGTTCTTGGTGATGCAATGGGAACTGGGATTGTACAGCACCTGTCACGTGACGACTTGGCGTCTCTAATGAAAGATGAAGCGACAGCGTTTGATCAAAGTGAAAATAATCCCGAGCAGCTTCTATCTTCCGGCGTGTAAGAAAGACGCCACCAATTTAAGATTGGCCGGTGTGAAATCGATGTGAAAGGATAATCGATTTTGATATTTTCGATTGGTGAAAGCATATACAAAGTGTTTTCTTTAGTTTCAAGAGATAATCGCTTAAGAGAGGAAATTTAGTTTAAAAATAGAATAGAAATAGAATAGAAATGTTAACTTGAAAATGATTTTAGACTAAGCTGATCGTGCGTCCTTCCGCTTGTAACTGCAAACATGTCGTGTTCAGCACCAGCAGTGTTTGCTGTAGCATCCTTCAGATCAACTTGGAGCTTTGGTGTTTGTTTTAGACAGGTGTAAATCTTGTCCAATCTAAGCCAAAATTATTACTCGCTATTAAGATTTCCAAAGCCACGTATCATTATAGTCATATTACAGTCGTGGTAGAAATCGAATCGTGTACAATGTAACTCAAACTAGACGGACTAAAGCATAGACTTTGCCCATAGAACGTGACTATCTACATGCAGTTTTCTATTTACAGGTTTCTATTTATTTTCATTTTAATGTTTAAATAAGCTTGAACTTAAATGGTAGTTTTCTGCTTTGTTTGTTTATCTATATATTTATCTATTTAGTCAATGTTTACTTTATTCATTTACCATTTCATTTAGCTTTTTGCTTATAGTGCTAATATCTTGTGCCGACATTGTACTACTTGAAGCAAATAGGGATTATTAGTAATTGTGATTATATATTTGCTTGGTAAGAAAAAAATATAAATATATATTAAATAAATCTTGGCACAGAAAGACATATCTCCGGTTGTCTGCTTACTGCCACAATTTTTTTCAGTTTCTATTTACAAGATTTACATTATGGTTTTCACTATTCATATGCCAAGATTTCATTAGACAGGCTATTCCATAGATTATATACTAGCCACTCTATAGATGACCTGTTTTATAAGGAAGTACCGTGTAGGGTGTAAATTTTCGGATTCAAAAATGTGATGGAGAGAGGAATCAGAAAAATTTTCTCACTTGCCTAATGCGTTAAATTGCGTCTGAAATTTTCGGGAAAATAATTATACTGAAGCCCTCTGTAATTTCGAAAAGATTCAAAGTTCAACTAATTAAGATGACCGAACAGGTGCAAATTTTATAGCGCCGCTTAGAATGCGCTTCCAGATTGAATCTAAAATTACCTCTGGATAGCCTAAAAAGTGTTTTCAGTGTATTTAGGAGGAAAACGTCGTTGGGCGCCCCCGTATTGTATTCGTTGAAGTCTTCTCCAGAGGGAGTCAACCAGCCGAGAAACATTCAATCAAGATCGTGAGGGAGAATTACAGAGTAAACACTAACAAAAATTCTTTTGTTTACTTCGCATTTTCCTCCCTTACAATAATGGATTCTAGTCTTCTATTAATCTTTTTCTTTTTACATTATTTTATCTTTATTTGTTACCTAATGTCAGTAGAATGATAATGCATAAAATACTGAATGGTCAAGTTTATTTAAGAAACAGTTTGACTTGGCCGGACTAGACTGTTTTCCTCCAGAGATAACCGAGTTAAAGTCATCAGATATCAGTGTGCAAGAACATAACGTCTTAACCTTTGTTTACTCACAGTTTTGTATATTATAATTTGCAAAGGTTTCTCATCGTGCAAATACAAGTTTATTGCAGGTGTCGAGTAAATGGAAAAAGTTCATGTGTAGGCTAAATTAAAATTAAAATTTGGCTGGTTTTTGATTGAAAGGGTTGACAGACATTAGGCTGATTCGAAGGCTGCAACAGTCACCATTTCACTCTCAAATTTCAAATTCAGTAGAAAGAACATTTCATCTTTGAAAGTTAAAACTGATTAAAACTGCGTTTTAAAGCTCTTTCTTCTGAGGAAAAAAAATCATCAGCTTTTTGCTGAAAAAAAAATATGTAACTCAAACCATATCATGACTAATAGACTTTAAGTTTGTCCTGCCGGACGTTAGAAAGTCAACTTTAACCGGTCCAAAATGGCTAGTCATCGCGGATGTCATGGATACACATTCTGCGGTGACGGTCTGCGGCAGCGAATTTGGTTTTTAAGCTGCTCACGGAATTTGCTAGTGCGAAAACCATAAATAATCGGGTTGAAACACAAACTGAAAACGATCATATTAAAATCAAATACACCTACTAGATTAGAATATAACTCGTAGTCTATATCTAACTGTTCCCCATTTCGTGTCGCTATAAATGTGTAAAAAGCTACAAGTGGCACGAAGCTAATAAGCATTGGTGTTGTTGCCAACATCAAAGTGACAACGAGTTTCTTTTTCTCCGACGATGCATCTTTTTCTGTTTGCGGGTAAACTCTGTTAGAAAAGTACAGTTCCCTTATCAAACATCCATAGCAGTAAAATATGGTCACTATTTCAATGCAAAGAATTGTAACATTTGCCATAACATATATTTTGCTTGCTTGACTCATGTAAAAGGTCCATGGACCGATGCATGTCTCCTCTGTCTCAATCCATTCTTTTAGAAAAAATTCTGGGAAGCAAATAACAAGGCTTGAGAACCAAATGAAACAGATGGTGTAATGGATTTTGTCTTGAGTTAACCACAAACCTGCTCTGAATGGCGTCAATATAGCGTTGTATCTTTCTATTGCCAGCACTGTAAGAGTGATAGAAGATACCTGTAAAGTAATTTCAATAAGAACAACAAATTTGCAAACGAATTTGGCAAATTCAAAGAAGTAGAACGACCAGAGCAAAATGGTGATGATCGCTAGCAACCATGCTCGCCAAAAGAAAATTTGTCGGGGTATGCATTTCTCCTGTCTTGTGCACAATTCGAATAAGCAACATATTGCCGATAAAGCCAATGACGAGAAATGGAATGCTTGAATAATAAAGTTTGTATTCCAGGTCTTCGCTTTCCTCGATATTCAACATGCCTTCTTGAATAGAGAATTAAATGTCAGGGAAGCAGATGATTTCTTCCAAAGCAAGTAATTTATTCTTACAGTAGAACTGGCTATCATTGCACTCTGTGTGAGAGGCACTTTATTTTATTTACTCAATAGATTACGAAACCAAGGACCCTATGTCAACGAGCGCTTGGTCTCTAGTATCTTACAAGATTTGGCAACCCCCTACCAAAAAAATTTTAGTTGTTACGTGATTGTCCGTTCGTCCATGCGCACATCCTCATCGCCACACGAAAACCAATATGGCACGGCGTATTCATGCATGGAACATCCATGACCAACCGTGCTATTGAAGAGAATACAAAATAATTACACCATACGAAAACCGAGAGGTGAAAGGAACATTCATCATTGACTCAAGATTTTTTTACCCCTACAGAGGTCAGGCACGTAACCCACAGCTTTTCAGAAAAACAGCTCTAGACAGGACTGACCATGGGCCCATGCTTTAGATCATTGTTTTACTTTCAGGTGGCCCGAACCTATTTATATGCGTGTTGGTTATGTTTTTGAATCGCGTTTTTCGGCAGGAAAGATTTAACCGATTTCTATGATTTTTGGCATCCTTAATAAAGAATAGTCGAACTTTAAGAAACTGTTATTTATTTTCTTGTAGGTATAAAAGCGTTGGAGATATCGGCATGCGTTTAAAACCGCATTTTTACAAAAAAATGTCAATAACTTCGAAACCCTAACTAACAGATTTTTCTCTAACTTCAGCAAATAAGCCTGAGAGCTCTCTAGTTTTATATCTGCAATTTTGAAGTCAATCGTGACCGTAAACTCGCTGCACAAATAGCTGGTCAAATTTAACCTTAAAATGCAGCGCTAACACATTAACAAATGTAAAAAAATGTGGTTTTCAAGATATGCCGATATCTCAAACGTTTTTATACCTACAAGAAAATAAATAACAGTTTCTTAAAGTTCGACCATTTTTTATTAAGGATGCCAAAAATAATAGAAATTGGTCAAATCTTTCCTGCCGAAAAACGCAATTGAAAAACATAACCAACCCGCAGATTCGCCCCATGTAAGGTAATCCGGAATCCGGAATCCAGGTAATTTTGGTCTGTGGAATCCGGAATCCACGGCTTTGGAATCCGGAATCCAGCTAATGGAATCCGGAATCCAAGCATTGTAATCCAGAATCCAGGTTGCTGGAATCCACTCTGTTGTGATGGTTCCAGGGCCTCTTCTTTTCCTTTAGCGACTATTGCGTGAAAATCCCATGTCGCAAGGACGCACAACAGGCATGTTCACGCGTGTTTCACTCGACTGTTCCTATTGGTTTGGGCCACTAACTGCGATCCCAAGCAAAAGAGCTTTATGAATTCCATGCTAGCAGACAGGGCGAAGTACCCCTACCAAGTCCCTATTCGTGACTGCCCACACAATATCAAGTCAGTACGTTCTGCAGAGTTTTGGCATTGGATTGACATTGATGGATACCTAGTGAATCAAGTGAATGTAAGGCTGCTTTTGGTGCTACGTAGAGAATACGAAGACATCAAGAAATCAGTTTCATTGAAAGCAGTTCGAAACAAAGATCGGATGGATGTAGAAACAGCAGTGGAGATTCACCGGAAAGCGATTCAAGATTCCATACCAGATGAAAGAGTGAGCACAACATTAGTTCCAGAACTGGAATTCAAGCACTGCAAAAAGAACGGGGCCTCTCTTTTAAGCTACCCGGTAGGATTGGCATTCTCCCCAAAGCATAGCAGGCTGTTTATTACCGATAGACGTCTCCATGCAGTCCTCATGGTTGAATGCACTGTCCAGCAAATGTCACATTAATCGCTGGTGCTGATGAGCCCGGGCACACTAATGGATATGGCAACAAGGCCAGATTTAGAAACCCAGCTGGTTTTGCAGCGAAAGAGAGCGGGAAGCTGTACGTTTGTGACCAA